TTTTATAAAAAGAATTGAGGTTAGGCAGACCGAAACGAACTTCTGTGCTACCAATGTCACGTTTGCTGGGGGAGCAACTAGCTTGTAACACACAATTAACAATAACTCTGGATGTGCAGTGTTTCAACCTGAAACAATGCACATACATACACCTACCACCATGACCACTTCAAATCACTGAAATGGTCATGGTGGTTGGAGTAACACTTTATATTTGAACATGAGCAGGGCCTGACTGCCAAGCTGTGTGGTCGCACACTGTTTGAGCACCGCACAGCACCATGTATTTTGCCTAATTTGCAGACTCTTACCTTATGATTTTTCAGCCTGAAAGTACTGAAGGTCCCATACAGTTTGTAGGAGCAATATTGCCCATCTACCCTGGGACCCACTTCACCATTGTCACAAGGAAAATCAAGCTGTATTGCAACCAAGATGGGCGGCTGCCTTGTGTCAACCAGGCCCACAACTCCAACTTATGTTGAGGCTTGATATAATCTTTGAGGCTTTTTGGGCCAAACTGCCCATCAGATCACAAAACACCACACAAAAGCTGATACACGGTGACGTGCCCCAGCAGCCAAAAGAAGAATGTGACCAACAGGAGGTCATGTCTACCGCACACACGGCTGGGCTAGTGCTGTGCCGCAGGCCAACCAATCCAGCAATAACATCCCTGATCCTTGACTACCCAAGACACCTAGGAACCGACATGCTAATTGACCCTAAAAGTTCAGCCATCGCAACAGCACCCAAGGTGTGAACTATCGGATCGAGATCTTCCCTATAAGATCGGTTCAGTCGGGGCTGTATCATGGGAGGAAGCGCGTAGGCTTGCTGAAATGTGAGTTGGAGTCTGATCCATGTGACTATGCTCCACCAGAAGATGGTGTTGGCTAACTGCAGGAGCACTTATTAAACATTTGACCGCTCTGTGAGGGGTTACTCTCAGACCAATATCTGAGCTACTCCTTTATGGTCCCAATGGCCTTTCTCTTTTGAAATACAGGAAACTTAAGTCTTCATTTTTATTTTATTTAATACTGTTTGTCTTATTAACGAACTACAAAAACTACTCTAGACACTACTCTTAGACAACTGCATTTCCTGTGTAACAGCTTTCTAGTCATGTGAGTTTAGCATGGTTTTACCTTTAAAACAATTGTGCAAATGATTTACATACTATGTCACTGTTTTACTGTCTGTTTTTAAATTGCTTGCTCATACTGTCGTGGTATCGCAAGCTTGTCTGTAGTCACATGCACAGTAAAACAAAGATTAACAAAATGAATCCGAACCTCAATTTAGATTCACGTTCCGTTCTTGACAATTTACATTTTATAAAGTTGTCTGCCTGTTGAAAGTAGTATTTTATTTATCTATGTTATTTTTCTTTTAAATAAATGTTTGGTTTTTAATGTTTTCCATCCTTTTTATGTAAGAAGGGCATCTAGATTGTTTCATTATTTGCTCGACGCAAGCAGAATCAGACAGGTTTTTAGTTTTCTCTCACTTATCCTGTAGGACAGATGTTGAAGTTATGCTAATAGTTCAAACTCTGAGTGAAATATTTTAACACTCTGCGTAATCATGGAAACGTTTCATACTCTCCAGTATTTTTATAATGAGCTTGAGTGAATAGATTAAACATTTGAAATTATGCAAATTTACATAATTAACATATTTTTAGGTATACCTAATAAGCTATCTGTACATAAAAACACATTAGTTTGATGATCATCAGGCAAAACCTGTATCCTGCAAAGATATAATTATGATATATTTGTAACCGGTTTATTCACTATAGTCTATATAATCAGGTATTAATGTTATTCGCGACTATTCACATGGTTCCCAAACTCCAAATTGTAGTGAACTGAAATCAGAATAGCCAAGCTGGGACCGTAAGCTAAGTTGATAGAATTTACTTAAATCTGCTTCAATTCAGAGTTTAGTCAATATACCACAAAGGTGAATTAAAAATAATTTCCATATTATAGACAGACATAACCGAACTGCGAGCATCGCAGTCTTGGAGAATTTTTACAATTTGGCTATTTAAGTCTTAAATATGGATTTATTTTTTAATCCACTTACAACTCCAGACAATTCTCTCTATAGTGTATAACCCTCAGGTTCACTTTCTGAGCGAGAAAATGCTCCTTTCTTTTTTAGCATATTTTGTTTGTGTTGGTATATATTTTGTATCCAGCACTGACAGGGTTAATGTAAGGCAGGCTGTGTTGGTATATAACGTCCCCAGCACTGACAGGGTTAATGTAAGGCAGGCTGTGTTGGTATATAACGTCCCCAGCACTGACAGGGTTAATGTAAGGCATGCTGTGTTGGTATATAGTGTCTCCAGCACTGACAGGGTTAATGTAAGGCATGCTGTGTTGGTATATAATGTCCCCAGCACTGACAGGGTTAATGTAAGGCAGGCTGTGTTGGTATATAATGCCCCCAGCACTGACAGGGTTAATGTAAGGCAGGCTGTGTTGGTATATAATGTCTCCAGCACTGACAGGGTTAATGTAAGGCAGGCTGTGTTGGTATATAATGCCCCCAGCGCTGACAGGGTTAATGTAAGGCAGGCTGTGTTGGTATATAATGTCCCCAGCACTGACAGGATTAATGTAAGGCAGGCTGTGTTGGTATATAATGTCCCCAGGGTTAATGTAAGGCAGGCTGTGTTGGTATATAATATTCCCAGCGCTGACAGGGTTAATGTAAGGCAGGCTGTGTTGGTATATAATGCCCCCAGCACTGACAGGGTTAATGTAAGGCAGGCTGTGTTGGTATACAATGTCTCCAGCACTGACAGGGTTAATGTAATGCAGGCTGTGTTGGTATATAATGTCCCCAGCGCTGACAGGGTTAATGTAAGGAAGGCTGTGTTGGTATATAATGTCCCCAGCGCTGACATGGTTAATGTAAGGCAGGCTGTGTTGGTATATAATGTCTCCAGCACTGACAGGGTTAATGTAAGGCATGCTGTGTTGGTATATAGTGTGTCCAGCACTGACAGGGTTAATGTAAGGCATGCTGTGTTGGTATATAATGTCTCCAGCACTGACAGGGTTAATGTAAGGCAGGCTGTGTTGGTATATAATGTCTCCAGCACTGACAGGGTTAATGTAAGGCAGGCTGTGTTGGTATATAATTCCCCCAGCACTGACAGGGTTAATGTAAGGCAGGCTGTGTTGGTATATAATGTCCCCAGCACTGACAGGGTTAATGTAAGGCAGGCTGTGTTGGTATATAATGTCTCCAGCACTGACAGGGTTAATGTAAGGCAGGCTGTATTGGTATATAATGTCCCCAGCACTGACAGGGCTAATGTAAGGCAGGCTGTGTTGGTATATAGTGTCTCCAGCACTGACAGGGTTAATGTAAGGCAGGCTGTGTTGGTATATAGTGTCTCCAGCACTGACAGGGTTAATGTAAGGCCGGCTGTGTTGGTATATAATGCCCCCAGCACTGACAGGGTTAATGTAAGGCAGGCTGTGTTGGTATATAATGCCCCCAGCACTGACAGGGTTAATGTAAGGCAGGCTGTGTTGGTATATAATGTCCCCAGCGCTGACAGGGTTAATGTAAGGCAGGCTGTGTTGGTATATAATGTCCCCAGCGCTGACAGGGTTAATGTAAGGCAGGCTGTTTTGGTATATAGTGTCTCCAGCGCTGACAGGGTTAATGTAAGGCAGGCTGTGTTGGTATATAGTGTCCCCAGCGCTGACAGGGTTAATGTAAGGCATGCTGTGTTGGTATATAATGTCCCCAGCACTGACAGGGTTAATGTAAGGCAGGCTGTGTTGGTATATAGGGTCTCCAGCACTGACAGGGTTAATGTAAGGCAGGCTGTGTTGGTATATAGTGTCTCCAGCACTGACAGGGTTATTGTAAGGCAGGCTGTGTTGGTATATAATATCCCCAGCACTGACAGGGCTGTGTTGGTATATAATGTCTCCAGCACTGACAGGGTTAATGTAAGGCAGGCTGTGTTGGTATATAGTGTCCCCAGCACTGTCAGGGTTAATGTAAGGCAGGCTGTGTTGGTATATAGTGTCTCCAGCACTGACAGGGTTAATGTAAGGCAGGCTGTGTTGGTATATAGTGTCTCCAGCACTGACAGGGTTAATGTAAGGCAGGCTGTGTTGGTGTATAATGCCCCCAGCACTGACAGGGTTAATGTAAGGCAGGCTGTGTTGGTATATAATGCCCCCAGCACTGACAGGGTTAATGTAAGGCAGGCTGTGTTGGTGTATAATGTCCCCAGCACTGACAGGGTTAATGTAAGGCAGGCTGTGTTGGTGTATAATGTCTCCAGCACTGACAGGGTTAATGTAAGGCAGGCTGTGTTGGTATATAATGTCCCCAGCACTGACAGGGTTAATGTAAGGCAGGCTGTGTTGGTATATAATGCCCCCAGCACTGACAGGGTTAATGTAAGGCAGGCTGTGTTGGTGTATAGTGTCTCCAGCACTGACAGGGTTAATGTAAGGCAGGCTGTGTTGGTGTATAATATCTCCAGCGCTGACAGGGTTAATGTAAGGCAGGCTGTGTTGGTATATAATGTCCCCAGCACTGACAGGGTTAATGTAAGGCAGGCTGTGTTGGTATATAATGTCCCCAGTACTGACAGGGTTAATGTAAGGCAGGCTGTGTTGGTGTATAGTGTCTCCAGCACTGACAGGGTTAATGTAAGGCAGGCTGTGTTGGTGTATAATATCTCCAGCGCTGACAGGGTTAATGTAAGGCAGGCTGTGTTGGTATATAGTGTCTCCAGCACTGACAGGGTTAATGTAAGGCCTGTTTTGATGGTTGGTCAGGAGGAGAGAGCTCTGGGAAGGAAGTGCCAGCCCTGGCCTGTCTCCCCTGTCCCTAAACACTCCCTGCTGACTCAGACCTGATCATGGGATCAGGCAGCGAGCTGTCAGGATAGGGAAGGCTCTGATTGGCTGCCAAGTCTGTCACTCATTTTATCCCCTCAGGCGGCTGCAGGATACTTGTCTGTGCCTTGGATTGGTTGTCAGAATTGTCAATCACCTGAGGCCCCGCCTCCTCAGTCCTGCTGTATATGAGTGTATGACTGCCATCCCCGCACACATTGTCCCATCCTGCCCCGCGGAGGTTGCAGAGACCAGAGCTGGGAGATAACAAGCCGGCCATTATCTGATTATCTGATCAGCTGAGATCCGCACTGCTGGTATGGGGACTGCTAATAGAGAGATCTGGGGGGGGGGGCTCTGCTAATAGGGAGATCTGGGGGCTCTGCTAATAGAGATCTGGGGCTCTCTAATAGGGGAGTCTGAGGCTCTGCTAATAGAGATCTGGGGGGCTCTGCTAATAGAGATCTGGGGGCTCTGCTAATAGAGGGATCTGGGGGTGCTCTGCTAGTAGAGATATCCTAGGGGCTCTGGTAGAGAGATTTGACTCTGTAGGGAGATCTGGGGTGCTCTACTAGTAGAGTCTCAGGGGCTCTGCTAGTAGAGATTTGGGGGAGCTCTGCTAATAGGAGATCTGGGGGTGCTCTTCCACTAGAGATCCCGGGGGCTCTGCCACTAGAGATCTGGGGGGGCTATGCCAATAGAGAGATGGGGGGCTATGCTAATAGAGAGATCTGGGGGGCTCTGCTAATAGAGAGATCTGGGGTGCTCTGTAGTAGAGATATCTGGGGCTCTGCTAATAGAGAGATCTAGGGGGCTCTGCTAGTAGAGATTTGGGGGCTCTGCTAATAGGGAGATCTGGGGTGCTCTGCTAGTAGAGAGTCTGGGGGCTCTGCTAGTAGAGATTTGGGGGCTCTGCTACTGAGATCTGGGGGTTCGCCACTAGAGATCTGGGGCTCCTGCCACTAGAGAGATCTGGAGGGGGGGGCTAGTAGAGAGATCTGGGGGTTCTGCTAATACAGTGCTTTGAGAGATGAGTATGGGGAAACTGCTAATACAGAGATCTGTGGGCCCTGATAATGGCCAAAAAGTTGGTAATACAGAGATCTGAGGGCCTTGATAATGGGGAAAGCTGTTTATACAGAGATCTGAGAGTCATGATAATGGCACAAAGCTGCTAATACAGAGATCTGAGTGCTCTGATAATGGTGACAGACCTGCTTATACAGAGATCTTAAAGCCCTGATAATAGATAGGACTAAAGGATAGAACAAGTTGATTATTATAAGGGAGGTCTGCCAATACTGAGATATTGGTACATTAATATTGGGTAGGACTTATAAAGATCACATTATACAGGAGCTCTGCTAACAGAGATATCTGGGTATTTGGTAAAGATTAGGGGTATATGCACAGCGCTACAGAATTTGCTGGCACTATATAAATAATAATATGCAAACACAAACATTTGGGGAATCAAAATATTTGGAGGGGGTTTGCAATATACTGAGATCTGGGGGGGTCAGTTAATGGGGTATATAAACGAGCACAACATTGATACTCTGATATTAAGGGGAGATCTGCTGAATCCAGGGATTTTGGGGCTCAGGTAAAAAAGGGAGATCTACTAAATGAAGGGATTTTCGAGCTGTGGCAGTAAGGGGAGACCTGCAGGGATGTCTGTCTGGATCTATGCCTCTTTGTACCACGATATCTGGAATGTCGTTTCATTGTTTGTAGATGTTACCACCTTGTCTAATGGTAACCAGTCTTTCTTGATCTGTTTTCGTATTTTGTTTTGTCTTTGAACATTAACATGACCTTCCCCACTATGAATCTTGTGATAGGTCTGAAGAACAAATCTCCTTTCAGTTGGTCTTTTTGTCCAGTGACTGGTTTAATGATCTTTCTAAAATGTTATTCTGCTTTTCTCCAGTCCATGATGATGATGTTGTTGCAGGTAGTGTTATTTCAATACGTACCACCTTTTACAGTACAGTCGCTCAGTCGAACCATGTAGATTGCCTCATACTGTCTCTGTTTACATTTATGCCAATGGTCTTGTTACTGAGCTGCTTGCTGCAGGGGATAGTCATATGGTTGATACGGGAGCAGAGTTTCCTCAGTGTTGCTGCTTGTTGTTGTTTTTTTGTTTTTTTTATATACAGCGCTATAGAACATGTTGGTGCTTCACAAATTAAATATTTTTTTCCAGTTGAGTTAAGTAAAACCCTCCCTAGATCATCTCCTCCTCTTGTTTTTGCACACCTTAATTTTATTTATTTTGTTTACCTAATGTTCAGCACTGTGGAATGTGTTGTTGTTGTTGTTGTTGTTGTTGTTGTAGAAATAATACCACAAAGGATAGGTTGAGATTTTCTCTTATTCTCACGGATGCCATGGGTTATATTGCCATATTAAGTGATACTCTTTTTATTGAGACTCTGACCTGCAGTGCTGATGGTTCTACAGTTGGCGCATGAACCGGATGAGCTACCTTACTGGCTCTGATTTTGACCACAACATAAACTAGTACTGTTAAAACCTTTTGTCTGCCTGTAAGCAATGGTTGTAGAGTTATTCCTTTATCCCCACTGTTTATACTGAGTCTGGAGAATGGTATTCGTTTAATATGTTTGTGCTTGCAGGTTAGGCACACACTTGCGATATTATAAGATTATTTTTATTATCCTATAAAAGACTGAGTAAAAGCTTATAGTCAGCCCCAGGATACATGGGGCAGATATCTAAAAGTGGATACATTTTAAGGAATATTCTGTTGGTTTCTTTGTAATTTCACCACTTTTAGAACTTTTACATCCATACTGTTTTCATTACTTATGGTCTATGCTACATGAGCCGGATACATTTAGTTATTTATAGACAATTGAGGACTGAACTTTAAAGACAATAGTTTTAATAATTTTTTTTTTTTTTATATATGGAAAACTAGGCTTGAGATCTTGTCTTTGACTTTGTCAATTAGAAAGCTGAGCTGTTAGTTTCTGACTAAAAAGTGTTAATTATTGGTGGATTTGTGACATTTTGTACAGCGCTACAGCATTTGCTGGTGCTTTATAAATAATCAAATAATTAGTGTATAAGTTGTTTTCTAACTAAAAGTGTGTGTGTGTGTGTGTGTGTGTGTGTGTACACGTATGTGTATCCAGCACTCATGCTCCCAGTCCTGTCCTTGCCTAGGTGCAAATCACTTATGCCAAAATATCAAGAAGGTGCACTCAAAGGACATTGTAAATAAATCTTGGAGTTTTATTGTGCAATTATACACCAGGAAACTTGTCTACATTTCAGTCCTTTATGGGACTTTTCTCAAGACACGTTTCAATGCCAAAAACAGAATTTAAATAGGTGAAATAAGCATAAGTGAAGAGTGATTGTGATACAAAACAGTGTGTTACAAAACAGAGTGTGTTACATATTTAACGATGTAAACAAATTCCTCCCATTCTTCAAAACCAGACAGCAATACTTGCAATAATAATCACATGCGATCCTGAATATACAATCTAGTGTTATACAAAAGTGAAAAAAAATCACATACGGTGAACTAGCAGGTACCCCAGTGCTTACAAAGAAGGGCATAAGAATCCTGTAACTAAATATTCAGAGAAGGGCAATCATTGTCTTTTCCTGAATATTTAGTTACAGGGTTCTTATGCACTTCTTTGTAAGCACTGGGGTGGATAATATATATATATAGTGTGTCTCTATTTCCTAGGGGCAGCCGTCCTCTGTAGAAATAAATATATCTTACTGGGTCAAAATAAGTAACTATATTATAAGCCGTACAATAAGGGAAAGGATGAGAGAGGAAAAGAAAAGGAAAAACGTGAATGAGGATTTGTACTCTAAACACAGTATTATCAATAAAGGCAAGATCGTATGTGTGTAATAATGGCTATAATTCATTATAGGAAATATTAAATACAAGTCAAAAGTAGGAAATATCTTGTCCGGATGAGAGATCCTTGGGGCAATCTGCTTATCACATATAAAAGAGACTCACAAATAGAAAAAGGGAGGGAGATAAAAAGCAGTGTACAAATTGTGATAAAACAGACTATACAATTAATAAAATCAGCAAAGTATAACTCTCTCTCTCTCCCTCTTTCTCACTTTCTTCTGTTTCAGTACTTTGGTAACATGGCCTGTATTTTGATTCTTTTCTTACTTGACTCCATCTCTCAGTGGTGGTGTTTCTTTGTGCTGCTAGTTAGTCAATTTTATAAAGTAACATTGTTTCACACGCCAGCTGTAGATCTTTGTGGTAATTCCCTTCTGTAGGGGAAGTTCATTTAACTAGCAATCTGCTGCCACCTGGGATTTGTACGGAACCTACCTCTCCATGACTCACTGGCCACGTACTATATGATGGTTAAAAAATAAACTTCTATGTCGCGTTCAATATCATTCATACATCCTCTTTGATATATTCATTATTTTATTGTTGGAAAACATTTGAGGTTTACATCAGGGCTCGACAAATCCCAGGCGTGTGTGCCACTGTCAGAGTGTGTGTGTGTGTGCCACTGTCAGAGTGTGTGTGTGTGCCACTGTCAGAGTGTGTGTGTGTGCCACTGTCAGAGAGTGTGTGTGTGCCACTGTCAGAGAGTGTGTGTGCCACTATCAGAGAGTGTGTGTGTGTGCCACTGTCAGAGAGTGTGTGTGTGTGCCACTGTCAGAGTGTGTGTGTGTGCCACTGTCAGAGAGTGTGTGTGTGCCACTGTCAGAGAGTGTGTGTGTGCCACTGTCAGAGAGTGTGTGTGTGTGTGTGTGCCCCTGTCAGAGAGTGCGTGTGTGTGTGCCCCTGTTAGAGAGTGCGTGTGTGTGCCCCTGTCAGAGAGTGTGCGTGTGTGTGTGCCCCTGTCAGAGAGTGTGCGTGTGTGTGTGCCCCTGTCAGAGAGTGTGCGTGTGTGTGTTTGTGCCCCTGTCAGAGTGTGTGTGTGGGTGCGCGCCCCTGTCAGAGAGAGAGAGAGTGTGTGTGTGTGCGCGCGCATGCGCACACCCCTTTCAGAAAGTGTGTGTGTCTAAACGTAGGTGCTGGACACAGTGTTTACATTGAAAGGTCTGCAGGTACAGATTATAGACACTAGAATAACTACATTAAGCTGTAGTGGTTCTGGTGTATATAGTGTCCCTTAAGAATTGCATTTTTCTTGTTGAAAGCTAAACTTCAAATAATTTTTTTTTTTTTTTAAACTGACTCAACTTTTTTAGCCCCTAGATTCCAAACAAATTTGTCAATCCCTGGTTTACGTAAACACTCACCAGTTCCCATAACTTTGTATTTTAATTTAGGTTTTTAACTTCTTCATGATAAGATACACTCTCACTTGTATTTGTTTTGGTTTTTTTTGTTCTCTCCCCCCCCACCCCCATGCCCCCCCTTTGATCTATGTGACATTTTGATGGGGTTTTTCCACAGTTTTGTTCTGTGAGTAAGGAAGAGGCTACATTAAATAAATAAAATATAACAAGTGAATGAATTCCCAGTGGTCCAGTACACCATGTACCCACCTGTGGTTTTGTTTCATTGTAGATTGTACAGTTTTTATCTGTTTCTTTGCACCCGGTGCTTAGACTTTCAAGGAGAGACTGCTGGCCAGCTGACTGACTTTAGAATAAGCTGTGTCATGCATTTTAAAAGGTGGTTCTTCAGCATTTTCCTTGTGGTGGTTAATGGTTTGTGTTCTGCTAAACATTGAGCACATCAGCTGATACTCCTGTTGCTTTAAAGACACACACACACACACACACACACACTTACTACTCTATTTAATGTTAAGTACAAACTAAACTTTATTATGAAATAGCTTTAGATCTATGTATATATGAGGTTCTCTCTTCAAAATATGTTTTGTATTTTTGGCTCCCCCTCCCACCAATTTAATTCACATCTCGAGGATAGCCATTATGTCCAGCTATATGATCATCAAAGAAGTCTGCGCTTAATAACGCATTTTGTCATTAGGAGCTTTGTCCTATAGTCTCCCACCCCCCATGGCAGTAAATATCTAAAACCTTTTGTGCCAAATGTCTAAAACTGTTCAAGTAGAGAATTTATTTTCCCAGTTGCTGACCTTTAACCTTAAGGCTTAGGATTGATGTGCTAGTAGCCAAAAGATAGTTCTCTATCTGTTCTACAGTAAGCTCCTGTGATGCTTTGAGGGTAAGGTTTGCAAGAGCTTGGAGTGTCATATTATGTAAAGATGCATTAGAGCTGACTGATTGCACATTTGTTAAAGATTTTTGTGCAACCAAGGATGCTTTAATAATTCAGAGAGGTAAACTATAGACATTCTACAGTTTCTGATAATCCTGGTGAATGGGCTACCCTCTTTCACGGTTAAACTGGTGACGGCGCTACCATCTTTCACAAACAAAATGGTGTCAGGCCACCCTCATTCACAAATAAATTGTCGACTAGGCCACCCTAGCATCAATTAAATTTGTACTTTAGACCACTTGCTTAAAGGAGCACTATAGAGTCAGGAACACAAACATGTATTCCTTACCCTATTGGGTTAAAACCACCATCTAGCCACCCTGGTCCCCTCATGCCTCCCTAAAAATTGTAAAATCTTACTTGTATTCAAGTCTGCAGCTGCATGCTTTGTCCCTGTTTCCTTTAGACATGCCCAGTGCCTGCTGACATCAGCAGAAGTAGTGGCCGGATCCAATCACAATGCGTCCCCGTATGATTGGCTGAGACTGACAAAGAGGCAGATCAGGGGCAGAACCAGCACAATTCAAACACAGCCCAGGTCAATCAGCATCTCCTCAGTTCAGTGTCTGCATGCAAAGGGTGGAGACACTGAATGTTTGGATGCATTTTAGGCAGTCATGACCCAGGAAGGATCTCTAACAGATATCTAAGGAGTGGCCAGTGAAGTTATCACTAGACTGTAATATAAACACTGCATTTTATCTGAAAGGATCCTGAAGGAAATGATTCTACTCACCAGAACAAATGCAATAAGCTCTAGTTGTTCTGGAGACTATAGTGTCCCTTTAACCACAGTAGGTTGCAACATCTCTGAATTAGAGTCATGTGATAGAAAAAACAAGCCAACTTCCTTGTGTACCGAAATGAGACATCTAACCTAGGTAGCAGATAATGGCAGGTGTGGAGCTTATATGCAAACCCAATACAAGATGAATGCACCTGTTGTGCAATGCAACACCTTTATCATCAAACATCAATATTGGTTGTACATTTGAGAGAAGAAGTGTTCGGGTCCTTGACACATTATGTTTTTTTTTTATGTCTTTATTGGTCCCAGCTTTATATTTATTAATGCCCCCACGCCAAGACAAATATGAAGCATGCCACTGCTTTTTAAAGGTCTATCCTTCCCATTTTTTCTAATTTTTATTTATGCTATCCTACTTGTCAGATACTATTTGGTATGACTGTGGATATCAGTGAAGTATTATGTATGGATATTTAAAAAAGGACTCCCTATCTTTTTGACCTACCTATAGCAGAAGAGAGTAGCTGGTTCTCCTAAGAACCAGTTTAGCGAGTATCATATAAGTAATTATTAGGGATGACACATTCTATCCCCATCAAATATATAGACACAAACAAAGTTATTCACTAAAGTGTGGATTCAAGGGATAGGGGAATTTCAAATTTTAGGTCAATATATTATCCACGCTTGGAATAATCAAAGAGCCTTACTATATTCCGTTTTGAATAGGAGAGTATAATGTAATTGGAACATACTGTGTCATCCTAAAATGAATGCATGTTCAACCCTGAAAACGATAGCTGTAAGTAAACGTTACTTTAATTTCTTAACATGTTATTGTTAATTGTGATCGCGTACATATCCTCAGACATTATGGTTCGCCCTAAGATATCAGACAATTTTGCCAAATCAATGTTCTTCTGTGTTTGCTAATGCTGTAGTGGCTATGGTGTTATGAGTACCCTGGTGCCTTATACAGCAGGTAAACATTGATCTCATGTGACTCGTATGTGTGCACCCTATGCTCTAAACCAAATATGTATGGGTTATAAAACCTGAAGCTGCTTGCTCTTTTTTCATTTGTTGAATATTGTTACTCAGTCTTGCTGTACTACATGCATACTGCTTTTATGTTCTATGCTAGGACAATAGACACTTATTTTTAAATTTATCATCAGTAGAATCTGTTCAACCCTTGGGTCGCAGGTAGAAATCCCGGAAGTGTTAACTTAGCCCTTCATCCTTCCGAGGTAGATAAACTTGGTACCATTAAATTAGGTAATAGTAACAACCCTTGGATGTTGGGCTAAGGTAACATCCCTGGGATGTACTTGAAAATCAGCGTTATCTGAATGTACCTTTCCTGGTTAAATACTTTGTTATAAATATTTACAAAATAAAAAGTTTGTAACGTGTATTCTCTCTCTCTATGCAGGGTTCCGTTATCCATTCAGCTCATAATGTTTCTACCACTGAGCCTGCTGCTCAGTTTGGCATTGGCCGTCAGCTCTTTTCCAGTTGATCCGGAGGATAATGGAAAGCACTGGGTGGTGCTGGTTGCCGGGTCCAATGGCTGGTACAACTACAGACATCAGGTACCAATCACTTTATCAATGGGGACCTATGGGGTTTAATCTCCTTTACTTTTCCGGACAAGAGGATGGGACATTTCCATTATACAGTGACATATAAGTAATGCAATTGCTCATTAAAGGAACACTGCAAGTACCATAACTACTACAGTTTGCTGTAATCATTTTGCTGCCAGCAGTGCCCAGATGATCCCCCATTGTAAAGACTCTGAAACCAATATAGAATGGTTTTACATCTTACCTCCTAGGAGCTTCTGGTTCTCCCTAGTAAGTATTGCAAGGACACTATAATCACTTGTGCGCTGTAGTGGTTTTGGTGCTTGGAGTGTTCATTTAAGGAGTTAAAAGGTCCATCATTCATTTATATCATTTATATATATTTATGTTAGTGCTTTTTTTTTTTTTTTTTTGTAGTGATGCAGCTATATACTCCAAATTATGGTTTGCTATTAGCCACTCTTCTTCACCATCGTATCGTTGTTTTTTGTTTGTTTGGTTTTTTTTCGTTTTTTTTTCTTCTTTGTTTCAGGCTATAGAATACGATTGAATACAAGCTTAGATCTAGTGCATCTAATAGGGAAAAAAACTGCACATTTTTTAAATGTAAAAATAATCGTTAACTTGTCGAATATGCTGCACTTTTTCTAACTGAAGGCTAACGTGCTAGTCGGTTATGTCTGTATGCAAGAGGGAATGTGTGCCTTAAAGCAGGAAGCTCTGTACAGCTAGATCAAGCATGTCAAACTCAAATGCTAACACGGGCCAGATAAACGTACTTTAAGTTTACATGGGCCGCAAAAAAACGAAAACTTCAGTTTTCATAGAAACGTAGGTTTATGTTGACTGGTACAGTATAAAAAAAGTGCCTAACTGATACTGGACGTCCTCTCTCTCGTAGGGCGTAAAAGAGCGGATTTATTTTAAGGAGACGTGCATTTGCATATAACCAATGTTTCAGTCCAACTACCTTTAAGAAATGTTTGGTGATGGGACTGAAATGGTGAATGTATGCTGTTGCACAGCTGTAAAAAACAAATGACGTTATCTTGTTGATTTTGAAGTTCTATGAGTGTGTTCTTCACTTTGGCTGAGATCATCAAACTTGATGATCTCAGCCAATCCAATGCTCCCCCTTCACCCAATCTAAGACACTGCCCCTTAATCTAATACTGTTCTCCCTGCCCCTTAATCTAATACACTGCCCCTCCTCCCTCCACTCTAATTGAATACACTGCCCTCCCCCAGTTCAATACACTGCCTGCCCCTTACACCACTCTAACATACTGCCCCTTCCCTTAAATCAATACACCCTTCCCCAATTTAACACCGTACACAGGAAGATCCCCCAACCCCCTCTTCCCCTACCTTAAGATGAGCCGCCCGTCCTCCAGTTCCAGCTCTTCTCTGTTCAAGCAGGCCAGATGCTCCTCTAGCACTGCGAGCGGGTGGGAAGGGGGAGTGGCTGACCTGCTCTGCAGACAGGCAGCCACTATTGTGGCCATGGGAGGGGAAGACAAGAATCAGACAGGAAATATCTTGAGCTAGATAATAGGAAGTAGTGTGAAAACATATATGTATATATCACTCGGAGGACACAATTTGCTTCAACAGAATAAAGAAGCTTGACAACAAAAATATAAAAAACCGAGGTGAATGATAAACCGGTCAAAGGCTAGGATATGGAGCACTAAATAAAGTGGCATCAACCCACGCCCCTCCAAGTTAATGGCCTATGCCTGGTCGAGTCTCTGCTGCAACCACGTCATACCAGCCCCATGCGGGCATAGGATTTTGCGTGCTTTCCCCACCGTCCCAAAAGTCCAAGACACTATTCCTGATGGCCGTGGTATCTGAGCTCGATGATGCCTCTGCCACAATACACTCAGAGGCTGTGGGTGGTGCATGGGGTATATGCCCCAGTTGACTCCTGGCCTAGAAAGGCAGGTCTTCTAGAAGACATGGGATGTCCTCACTGCGTCTCTCAGTATGGGTTCTCGAGAGTATTGTTCTTCAGCCAGCTGGTCCGGTTAAGGTAGGTATGTAGTCGCTCTCAGGCTTAGCCGCTCCAAGAAGTTCTCAAAGAGACCATCATATTTTTCTAGAATGTTGTCCATCTGTGGGCTTGAGCCAGTGCCATGTGGTGAGGCAATCTCGTGAATCAGGCCATGTGGGCCTCTTGCTGTGTAGACCATCCGAGGCACACAAAGCTTGCAGACCCAAGAGTGGGGACCTGGATAACCCTTGCTAGTCCAATGGAACAACCGTTTCCCTCGCCAAGAACAGAGGGCCTCTGTGATGGAGGTTTCCTTGAGTCTCTTGCCGCTCATGTATCACCCTCCAGGCACCTTTTATTCATCACTCCAGTGTGTCAGATTGTGTAGAAGACACTTTTAAGAGGAGCCCTCTTGGCACATTTTGTCAAAATCAGCTGAGCTCCTCTGCAGTGCAACCGTCAAGCATGACCATCAAGCTCCGCCCCTAGAAATACAATTTAAATGAAAATGGGATGATCATTTATTTATTTTGTGATGTTAATATTTCTTAGTGTAATCTATGTCCCTAAATAGTAAAGTATTCCTGAAAAAAAGTTATTTCTAGGAGTCTATCAAATTCAAAACCTTCTACTAAACAGTTCTTTTTACGTTTTCTATATTGGCCTTAAATTAGAAATTCTCTCTGAATTCCTCGAAGTTCTTTTTTTAGTGGATATCCCAGCATGTGTTTGCTGGGATGAATACACAATGAAATGTCTGAACTTTGAGCAATTCTCTCTGAGTATGCATTATTAGCTTGTGAAGGGGTAACATCATTGCATAGGTTATGGTTCAGCAGTTTCTAATGAATACAAGCTTTAAAGGATTATTTCGACCAGCCTGATAGTGGTGTGTGCACATACACATACTACAGGGCTAGCAATTGAGAGTGATTGGCTTTCTATTGGGAGTGGTTAACGTCTCTATGAAGAGGGTGGAGACGACGAACATCGGTCTTGCAAAGATTGCAGGACCACAAACAGGAAGTCCCTTTAGCGGTTGTCTTAGTGACAACCATTAGAGTTGGCGTTGGGAAGCAATAGAAAAACTAAATTTTCTCAGAAAAGGCACGTTTTACACTGTTGAGGTTTCAGGGACAGTCTATTAGTGTAGGCTTTAACATTCCTTATTACATATTGACGTATCATCTTGACCTACTTTTGTAGTTTTATTTTTACTTTTGTGAAAATGTAAAGAGGATTTTAATGTCAGTCACCCATGGAATGTTACTGCAATCAAATTATAAATAACTGGCGCATGTGACTGCTGGACCTGTACAACCTGTAGAACCAGTGTAGGATACCGATTTAAATCACCTCTAGCAATATCTAGTTAACTTTATTAAATTTTTAATTGTTTTTTTTTTTTTTCCTCATGCTGTAAATGGCGTAGCCTGGTATAAAACATAAATTAAACAAATCCCATGTTGCCTTGTGCCAGCTCATGAGGAAGTGCCCTAGCGTGCATTTGTTTGTACACGTATGGTAGAATATACCCCACAGCGAACAAGCATTTTCGGCAAATGTATGTTTGTCTTTTATTTTTGTTTGTGGGTTTTCTCCAGCTCAAAAGGGTGGCTGATCCACTTTAGCCCTATGTATTCCAGATTGGGAAACTATATGTGTTTAAAGGGACACTAAACAGCAAAACTACTACATCTCAATATAATAATTTTAATGCACAAATGCAGTCTCTTTACTCAGACCATAGGTCTACCTCGCTCCTGATTGCACAGAGATAATCAATCCTGATCATCTAATTTTTTTTTTAACAAATGGGCCTTAATTTAAAGGACCACTCTAGGCACCCAAACCACTTCAGCTTAATGAAGTAGTCTGGGTGCCTGGTCCAGCTAGGCTCAACCCATTGTTTTATAAACATAGCAGTTTTAGAGAAACTGCTATGTTTATGAATGGGTTAAGCCTTCCTCCAATTCCTCTAGTGGCTGTCTCATTGACAGCCGCTAGAGGCGCCTGCGTGCTTCTCACTGTGAAAATCACAGTGAGAGCACGCAAGCGTCCATAGCAAAGCATTGATAATGCTTTCCTATGTGACCGGCTGAATACGCGCGTAGCTCTTGGCGCGCGTGCGCATTCAGCCGCATGGGAGGAGAAGAGGAGGATCGGAGGAGGAGAGCTCCCCGCCCAGCGCTGGAGAAAGGTACGTTTTTACCCTTTTCCCCCTTCCAGAGCCGGGCGAGAGGGGGACCCTGAGGGTGGGGAGCACTATAGTGGTCCTTTAAAGTTAAAAAAGGGGGAGGGGATACTGATGGTTTTTATAACATTTAGTTTTAATGTACAAGTGTTATTTTTAAATATTATATCTGACAGAATTGGTTTCATCTACACAGGGTTGTCTTTTCTGCAAGTGAAATAGTAACGTGAGCCATTTTTATACCTAAACAAAGTCATATTCCGCTTAACTTTTGGTTTCATGTAACTATTAGTCCCCGTGACTGCTCTCGAAATTAACATGCATGTGGATTCTCTATTTTCATTACTCCAGCGTAGGAATGGAACAAGTAAGTTCGCTGTGCAGGAAGTGACCCCTAGACTGATAATGAAGTACAAAATACATATGAAAACATAAATAGCTTGCAAGTTGCTAACTTTGCGGCACTGGCATTAGCAAAGTTCTGCAGCTGGCAGACGCCTGCTCAGCCGGTAAGAAGCTCCTCCAATCAAGGGGTGTAAGTCCTGAAGAAAGTTTGCTGTGCCAAAATTACAAGTGTATCTTTGCAAGGTTATTCTTTGAACCTCCCTTACTCTGAAGCCTTAGGGAGTCTCTTGGGCCTTTTTAACCCTCCCCCCAGCGGCACGAGGATCCCTCACCACAGCAATTCTGACCATTGGGTGATCACCCGTAGTGATGATCTCCTGGCAAATCCAATAATTCTCAGAAAATCAGTGGTACACAGGCCGCATTGGCTGAAATTGCCACAGAGTGATGATAATGCTTTTCTTAGAGAAACTTTGAATCCAATAAATAGCTTTTCGCCTTGTGGGGTACAATGCAATCCGGAAGGGTGTTGTTGAGGGTGCAATTAAGGAACATACTAAAGTGCCGATTTGATCTTGAAATCAGCATTATATTATATGTCAAGGACAGGACACTCTGTTAACCCCTAAAGCATTTCAGCAAGCATTGCAGCGCAAACACTAGAAATTCAAAGGCACTTTTAGGCATTTATGAAGTGGTCTCATTGTTCTGCCAGCTTACATTTATTTAAATGTCAAGTATGTTTGATGTGTTATGCAGAGTGGTCTTGGTCCCCACACTTGAGTAACTCACCTGAGAGTCTCTAAAACATTAACCCTTCCAAAGACCACTGCCAAGTCTTGTTTATTGTGATAAAAGAAAGGGTATTGCTACTGTACAGGGCTTAGTTATTGATAATTGGTTGTTATTCTTTATAAAGTCCCAATACATTCCGCAGCGCTGTACAGTTGGTACAAGTACAAAGACAAAACATACAATACATCTGAGACCATACGAAATTTGACAAATACAGGAGTTAAAGGGACACTATAGGCACCCAGACCACTTCAGCTCTTTGAAGCGGTCTGGATGCATAGTCCCAGGTTCCTTAACTCTGCAAAGGTAATTATTGCAGTTTTTAAGAATAGACAGAGTTTAGATCGGGTCACATATGTACGGCTGTGATAATATTTCACATTCATGGCTACATCTAACAAATAACAAGCAAAACTGAATAGAAGATTCTAAACATATATATAAATACCCTAGGTGAACATTGTCGTCTCATTGGGCAGGTGCTATCTAATCGTCTGTGAATGATGCACAATGCATTGATAAGAGGGCAGCGGGTTGAGTACTTTGTTAGTTGGCACAGTCTTGGGACTGTTGTGGGGGGTCCAAGGTGTGGCCCCATCATAATGGGTGTTCTGTTCCTTGCATGCCGTACTTAAGATAGGGGGGGGGGATAGGTATTTCCACAGCAGCCCCCAAGCCAGCCAAGGAATCATTTGAAGTTCTGTGATCCATGGGTTCCATATTTTGTGGAAGGATTAAGTGTTTTCATGGATCAAGACCAATAGTTTGTCCATCTCCATAGTCCTAATTTTGCTAATCACCTCCAGCATTTGTCAGGATGTTGCTGCATCCCCAGTGACATGCGATGGTCTTGGTTAGGCTTGGATAGGAGCCATACCCAGAGAACCTTGGGAAGGATAGAATACGTGGACAAAACGTTTTTTAAACCCCTTCTGCAGCACAGTGGACAAGGGTGGGAGAGCTATAATGCAAGAAAAACCAGTTTGTTTTCCTGACACTATAGTTTCCCTTTAAGGGCTCTTTGCCCTTGGGAACTTACAGTGTAGATGGATATGAGTGATGAGAAACAGGATTCATGTTTATTTTTAACAGGTGTTCAACCAATAGCACAGCAATCCCATTCATCTTATGCACAGCTATCTGTAGCTAGTATAATAAAATCAGTGTGCAATATCACGTGTTACTCGTTGGGTCTGCATTTATCTAGTTTGTTTTACTGCCATGTCTGAACATATGGATAAATAAACAGCACTTTTAATGGAACTTCCTTTTGCCATTTTGTGAGTGTGGTTAAAGGAATCCTACATTAACCATTTACCAGGTTGCTTTCAGCTAGCAAGAAAAATCCCTGTAATTATAAAGTCTTTGAAGTTCAGAAAAGCAGAGCACAATAGTGTGTGTGTGTATATATAATATTTGTGAATCAAACACCATTTCAGTTAATTTTTCATTATGTCCAGGGACACTAGTTAGACTAAGACCTTTTCCCTTTCCACGATGTTGGTGTCGTTGCTAAGGCACATCATGATATCTGGTCTAGGTTAAACAGCCCATGATGTGCAGTGGGAGAGTTTGCACGGGTGCTATTAAAAATTGCGCCCCCTGCTGATTGTACATACCCACACAGTTTATTTACCCAATGGCAGGCATCCTGTAGAATGCAAACAGTCAAATCTAGTAGGGGCACAATTCATAGTACAGAGAATGGGAAGCAGGACTGGACAAGCAATTTGTCTTATTTTCCACTGACTGGTCACATGGTGTTTAATTATAAAGAAGTGAAAACCATCTCTGGGGAAGTTAAATCACTCTTACTCAGAATGTTAATGCAAGAATAAGCATTTTAAGGAAACACATGCCCAGGACATAACATAACACCTGTTTGCTGAGACACCAGACAGTGCACACGCTTTGCTCCGTATTACAGTAATTTCATGGTAAGCGCTTTATGTGGCTGATTACTATAGCAGGAACCAGTCAGGAGTGTCAGTACTGTTTTTGAATTTCTTTTCTTTTTCAAGAATATTGACATGTGACAATATTTGCCAGACTGTGATCAGTTGAGTATTCAATTCGTGCACACTGCATCATGGAAAAACAATCTTACCATGTATCATACTGTATGATAGAAATATAGGGGATTCACATGGAACCCTTTTAAGTAGGAGCATCAATCTTTTCTGTTGCCACTCTATGAATGGAAAAGGCAATTTCTGCGTCATGCCATTATATACTGCTAGTTACCTTTTTGTGTATGGACCGCTGCAAAGAGGTTTATGGGAAAACATTTCAGCTTCATTTTGTACTGAATTATGTTTTGGGTTTTGAAGTGAGTATATCACAGAAAAGAGATGTTAAATGTGGAAAGCCAAATGCTAATTATTTTTTTGGCAGGGGAGGGAAGTTGTAATCTAAACACATTGTGCTAGCAGGTATTGATATACCGTATTTATCGGCGTATAACACGCACCGGCGTATAACACGCACCTCATTTTAAGAGGGAAATTTCAGTGAAAAAAAACTTAAAGGATCACTATAGTGCCAGGAAAACATACTCGTTTTCCTGGCACTATAGTGCCCTGAGGGTGCCCCCACCCTCAGGGACCCCCTCCCGCCGGGCTCTGGAGAGAGGAAGGGGTTAAACACTTACCTTTCTCCAGCGCCGGGCGGGGAGATGTACTCCTCCTCTCCTCCTTGCTCGCGACGTCATCGGCAGGAGCCGCGCGCGCATTCAGCCGGTCGCATAGGAAAGCATTTACAATGCTTTCCTATGGACGCTTGCGTGCTCTCACTGTGATTTTCACAGTGAGAAGCACGCAAGCGCCTCTAGCGGCTGTCAATGAGACAGCCACTAGAGGCTCTGGAGGCTGGATTAACCCTCAGTATAAACATAGCAGTTTCTCTGAAACTGCTATGTTTATAAAAAGGGTTAATCCTAGAGGGACCTGGCACCCAGACCACTTCATAAAGCTGAAGTGGTCTGGGTGCCTAGAGTGGTCCTTTAAATTTCAAATAAAGAACTTCTTACCCCCCTTTCTTACCCTCCCCCTCTTCTTACTCCCCCTCCCCTCTTACTCCCCTCTCCCTCTTCTTACCCTCCTCCCACTTCTTACTCCCCCTCTCTTCTACTCCCTCTCTTTCTTACCCCTCCTCCCTCTTCTTACCCTCCCCTTTTCTTACTCCCCCTCTTCTTACCCCTCCCTCTTCTGACCTCCCTCCCTTTCTTACTCCCCTCTCTTATTCCCCACTCCCTTCTTACTCCTCCCCTCTTCTTACCCCCCTCCCCCTCTATTCACCCCCTTCTTACCCCCCTCCCCTGTAGCGTGGCCGAGCCGCTCTGCTGTCCGCGTGGAACAGGAGTTTCTGTTTCCTGTACCCGATCGGACTGACAGGAAGGTGCACACTGAGCGTGCACCTTCCTATCACTCCGGCCGGCCACCCCGGACAGCAGTGCGGCTCGGCCACGCTACAGGGGAGGTGAGTACCAACTGCAGCCGCCGGAGCGCTCTTGACAGAGCGCTCAGGCGGCTGCAGTATTTAAAGGGCCGGCGTATAACACGCACCCACAATTTCTCCCCTATTTTCATGGAGAAAAAGTGCGTGTTATACGCCGATAAATACGGTATATTTATTACAAACAGTTGTTGGTTAAATGATGTTTAAAGAATGTTCAGTATTTCCATGGTGGATTCTCAGCTACCACAGATGTGCCCAATCACGTATGTCATAGTTACATAGCTGAAAAGAGAATTGCGTCCATCAAGTTCAGCCTTCCTCACATTTGTTTTTTGCTGTTGATCCAAAAGAAGGCAAAAAACCCAGTTTGAAGCACAATTTTGCAACAAGCTAGGAAAAAAATTACTTCTTGACCACAGAATGGCAGTCAGATTTATCCTTGGATCAAGCAGTTATTACCCTTCATTGAAAGATTATATCCTTGAATATTCTGTTTTTGCAGGTATGCATCTAGTAGCTATTTGAACATCTGTATGGACTCTGATAAAACCACTTCTTCAGGCAGAGAATTCCATATCCTGATTTGTTAAAAAACCTTTCCTTTGCCTTAGACGAAATCTTCTTTCTTCCAGTCTAAACGCATGGCCTCGGCCAAGTCCGGTTTGTGAATAGATTTCCACACAATGGTTTGTATTGGCCCCGAATATATTTGTATAATGTTATCATATCCCCTCTCAGGCGACGTTTTTCTAAACTAAATAGGTTTAAATTTGTTAACCTTTCTTCATAGCTGATATGTTCCATTCCTTTTATTAATTTTGTAGCCCGCCACTGCACTTTTTCTAGTGCCATAATATCCTTCTTTAGAAAAGGTAACTTTCAATGCTGTCTTCAAGATCATTTATAAACATGTTAAATCGAAAGGGTCCCAGAACAGACCCCTGAGGGACACCACTTGCCACCTCTGTCCAGCTTGAAAATTTACCATTAATGACAACTCTTTGTACTCTGTTTTTAAGCCAATGTTCTACCCAAGAACAAGCATTTTCATCTAGACCGATTTCCTTGAGTTTGAACACTAATCTATTTAATAATTTGAAACCGTTTTATTTGCAGGCCGATGTGTGCCACTCTTTCCAGATAATTAAGAAAAATGGCATTCCTGATGAACAGATTATAGTTCTGATGTACGATGACATTGCACAGAACGAGGAGTAAGTATCCAATCTGTGAGAATATGTTCTTTGTGTAGTTTCTCTACGTTGCTATCCACCTGCTAGGGAACTTTCCCAGGTACACCATGTGTTCCTATACCACGATCACTTCTTGTTTATGGACAGCACATGACAAGTGCTGACTAATCTCTAACCCCTTACATGTCCCTCTCCTCGTTTACAATGCGTTTCCATTTGTGGATCTTCGCTGCATGTCTCGCTGCTTCCCAAACCGATGTGGAGGTAGCCAGTGCCTGGTCTCATTTTTGGTTTTACAGGGCATGCTTTTACTCCATGCTTTTGTTAATTGATCTGATCTGGAGCTCCCCATGTTAGATGATAATGTGATATTCATGCTCCACCCCTATGGTTAATCATTACTGGCAGATGTAGTTAAAGTGGTCCTGAATTGTGTCAATCACTTCTGCTTCTGTAAAGAAGGGCCTAAAGCATCACTGCATCTAAAATGGTCAGATGCACCATGTTGTCACCATGCCATAGAGTGATACTTTAAACCTGCTCCTCTACAATATATAAATTGTGTATTGTTGGAGGGAATTCAGTTAAATATATCAAGTCCCCTGGGATACTTTTCTTAATTATTTGGTTATTTGATTCTGTGACTGCACTCTAAATGCTGTGCCCCACAGATTGTGTAAGCAATATTTGTCCAAGAAATTCAGAGCATCTGGCAGCCTTAGCTGCATCTCAAAGTGAATCGAGTTTAGTTGTTTGGTTTTTTTAAGCCTGGAGTGTGTGTCACTGTCCTTTGTCTAACTCCCAGAAATTAGGCTACTGAGGCTGGTCTTTGGGATCCCCGTGCCTTGAGGGTTCATTGCTCCCACTGTTCCATCCCTCCCTGGCCTTGTGAGTTTAGACAGACAGGTAGAATATTCATTTTATGCTGGCTAGCACTGTAGTGGCTGCTTTGCACACTGCCCACCATCTATGGGAGAAATCCTTGGTAAGACAGACTGTAGAATGACTTGTCCGTTTATAAATCACCTACTAATTGCATGGAAACCTGACTTATAGAAATCCCGCTACATTTTGTGCTAAAACGTGAAATTCCTTTTGAATTTATGTTTTAGTGAATAACTGTGTTATTGTGTGTTTAGTATTGTAATAGATCAAACAGGGACACAGAATGTTGTAGACCTTATGTATGTATGTATGTATGTATAGAATGTTATTCTGTGTATGGTGGTATCATGTCTAAAATCAATATTTTAAATTAATGTTTGTATCATATCATTGTCTAATGCAGATATCTGTATTGCTTTCTTTAATACGTCCTGTCTATATCCCCTTAGAAATCCAACTAAAGGAATTATCATTAACCGACCCAACGGGACAGATGTCTATGCTGGGGTCCTAAAGGACTATACAGGGGAGGTAGGTTGTGCTGTCATAGTTAATAAAACAAGCTGAAGAAGGACAAATATTGTTGTCAAACATGTTTGTGGTGCTTTTTTTAGTTTTTATATGCAATGAGGAAATTGAAGCATAGTCATGGCTTATGTTCCCAGTTCTGTCAGATTCTACAGGTCTCTTAGGGTAAGTTATGTGTGTTTATATTGCAGAATGTCACCCCCGGTAACTTCCTTGCTGTCCTGAAAGGAGATGCTGAAGCTGTAAGTGGGATTGGATCAGGCAGAGTGCTTAAGAGGTGAGTAAGTGTCTTCTCTTTTGTGGGTTTCCTGTAGTGAAAGTAAAACAGCTGCTCGAAGTAGATGAACACATCGTCCAAGTGATCTCTATAAAACACCAGATTATGAGCCCATATTGTTTTTTCATATCTACATTTACATTCCGTGTCTTTTCTGTGGACAAGCCACAAGAGACCCAGGTGTGTGCTTGCACTGATACAAACCTCTGTCACAGCTTCCTTACAGTCTAGCTCTGCATGTCCACTACGGTAATGCCATGCTTTATGTTATATAACTGTTTCATTTTGAACCATGAAGGAGAAATTAATACGGTTATCGCAGGTACCAGCACAGACTTGTACTTGTTTTCAGTTGGGTAATTGCGTCTGAACATTTTACAGGCCCCTTTGAAAGCCACTATATAGATCCCTCAGGCAAGGTTTTTGTACTTTGTTGGGCTTATTCTTCAAAATGTATTCTGTGTTTCATCTAATTTATGAACTACGGAAGTTATAAAGTGGGTGCACAAGTATAGGTTACCTCTTAAATGAATACTCCAGGCACCATATCCACTTAAGCACGCCATCGTTGTTTTGGTGCCAGGACTGACCTGGTGATGTCCACTGGACGTGGTTAAACCATTTGCTTGCAGTTTGACAACTTACATGGGGTCCGCTAGAGAGCCAGAAGCTCTCCATGAGCTCTCAATGGAGAAAGTGATTGGTGCCCCGCAGTCCCAGGTAATGTTTCTGAACATTATGGTTTGACTCTGTAGCAGTTATGGTGCTTGGAGTTTTCCTTTTAATTAGGCTTGCATAACTTCCAGGCATAGAAATGTGTATTATGCCAGTAAAAAATATTCTGTTTTATTGAAAACCAGTTTGATTTTGTTTCATGCAGTGGCCCTAATGATCACATCTTTGTATACTTCACGGACCATGGAGCAGAAGGCCTGCTGGCTTTCCCTAATGACGATGTAAGTAGATTGTCACCTTTTCTGCAGTAGATCTCTGTAACAATACATTTTAGCCAAATACTGAAAAAGCTGTACCGTTCCAAGGTGCTGATTTAATTTCCTGAAACAATACAGTGTATTCAATAAAGTGATGAATGTCAGGAATTACGTATGAATTTAAAATTTAAGGCCAAAGACTTTTGAAACACTTCAAGGTCATCTATTTGGCCTTAAAGGAGCACTATAGGGTTAGGAACGCAAACATATATTTCTGACCCTATAATGTTAAAACCACCATCCGTCCCCCTCTTTTCACCCTAAATATAGTAAAATCTTAATTGTATTCAAGTCTACAGCTGCAACATCTGCCTCATCTGCCGACATCATCAGAAGTGGTGGTGTAAGCCAATAACAGCGCTTCCCCATAGGATTGACTGAAACTGTGAAGGAGGCAGAGCCAGCACAAGCCAAACACAGCCCTGGCCAATCAGCATCTCCTCATAGAGATGAATTGAATCAATGAATCTCTATGAGGAAAGTTCAGTGTCTGCATGCAGAGGGTGGAGATACTGAATGTTTGGATGCATTTTAGGCAGCCATGACCCAGGAAGGGTCTCTAACAGCTATCTGAGGAGTGGCCAGTGAAGTTATCACTAGGCTGTAATGTAAACACTACATTTTCTCTGAAAAGACAGTGTTTACAGCAAAAAGCCTGAAGGTAATGCTTCTACTCACCAAAACAATAAGCTGTAGTTTCTCTGGTGACTAATGTCTCTTTAAATTCCCGATAGTTGACACTTTGGTGAATAACCGTGTATAATTACTTAAATAAAATCAGCACTTTAGAATAACTATCAAACCAAGACCTCCATCCTGATCTGTCTCACCTTCTCCAAACCAGAAGAGGAAAGACACTGCTTTCCCAGTATTTAACTGGAACAGTACATTTTATCACTTTTGTGAAAACCCTGATAATCTGTACAAATGATCTGCGACCTTGTGAAGAGAGATACTCTGTTTAGTCATCAAACTGATAGCTATAAACAACTCATGGCAGAACTTTTTATCGTATTTATCAATGGTGGCTATGCTGCCAATTTTATGTGGACAGGCCAGACCATTAGGGTTATATAAAGTGAGAATTGTCAGGAATTCAAAGATAATTTCACATTTTATATCAAAATCGCTGACTTGGAGCTTTTCCTATTTTGACATTAAATTTAAAAAAATTCACATGAATTCCCAACAATTATCACTTTATTAAATTAACATGTATAAGTTGAAGTCACTTTCATAATTTTTTTTAAAGGAAAACGGCAAACACCATAACTACTACATCACGCTGTAGTGGTTATGGTGTCGAGTGTCCTGACACCACCCCCACAGGGCCTCTTCTTTCCTCCACTACATGAAAACTTAATGACTGCAGTCTTTTCGTTTTAAAAACATTAATCATTTTAAAGAGTGGTGGAAATGAGTTTTGCTATGGTTAAAGTTTAGGATTAAGTTTTGTCGAATTTGGGAGTTACCAAGTTACAAGTAAAATAACACATAATTGTTTTTCAAATTTTCAGCTGTATGCCAAAAATCTGTCGGATACCATTCAGTACATGCATGACAATAAAAAGTTCAAAAAGGTAAGATTTACTCCGCTAAGCTTAACGCTGGTCATATCCAACAACACGAAGCTGTCCTGTATATAACCGCACCGCCGTGATCTATTTATATGACAAAACTCCAACAGGTAGCTCTGACCTGGGGGTACAGTTTCTTAAACAGAGGCAGTAACATGACATTTTAATAATTGTTTTATGGTAGATATCAAGAACTCATTTTAAGGAGAATACAATTAAGGTCTCGGCGAAATATTATATGCCCTGAACAAATGTTTCATGATTCTTTTATAGTGATACAATGTTCTCTTATATCTTGGTAGATGGTATTTTACATTGAGGCCTGCGAGTCTGGCTCTATGATGAAGGATCTTCCAAATAACATTAATGGTGAGTGAGCGATTGAGAAATGCATTAGAACATGATACAAGCACAACTTACCAAGGGTAAAACTTGGGGGAGAACATGAGACAGAAACAATTATCGGTGAAGGACACCACTTAATGTGAGGTAGAACGTGACGAAGGAACACCGCAGACCAGGAGCCAATAAACCCTTTATTATGAGATCTTTTCTTTTCATGATCTTAAGAACTCTTTATCACGTGGCTGTCAACGTGTTTAACAAGAGGTAAATTAGGCTAGGCCAGATTTTTCCATATCAACACGTGTCTCGGGAAAGATGGTGCTGTGATCTGACACCATATCAAAATTTCGAACATTCATTTAGTTTTGGTCTTTTAATAGATTCAGTTGTTTAAATTTGCTGATTTATAGGTACGTATCCCTAGATACGGAATACATCTATATCTTAACAGGAGAACACGTCTAGCATAATATCTAAACCAAAAAGAATACAATCAAAATAGGCACAGTCACTAATATAAAAGAGGGGGGAGGAATATTGTCAACAAACTGTCTTTTATAAAGGTCCTGTGATTAATTAATCAGGTTGCGCTGGTAATGAAAATATCACTTGTTTCACAATATTGTCTGTATCTCAAGCTCCCCTTTCCCCCAGAGATCCTTAGCATGTGTAATGTATGCATATTTATATACCCCTATGTAGTAATCGTATTACATAAAAAATGACTGGGAGCAAATTGCAGAAGCGAAACTGCACAGCAAATCTTGTGACCAATTAGTAACATAACATTTTGCGAACAGAGCAGCTGTGACGCACGCACACCCACAAGGTCATGGTTTAAGTATCCGTTACATTCGCGTGTTACGAAAAATCCATCACAGGACTGCCAATAAACTAACTTTAAAAAACAAAGGAAAAAAAACCCTTGGCAGTGTATATGCAGTTGTTATTTTAATTGTTTTCTTTTTTTCACTAGTTTATGCAACCACGGCAGCAAATCCCCATGAGTCATCCTATGCGTGTTACTTTGATGAAAAGCGGAATACCTACCTTGGCGACGAATACAGTGTCAACTGGATGGAAGACTCTGATGAGGTTAGTAGTATTCTTTGACCACGATTCTGTGTCTTTTTCGAGAGGTTACGGCACTTAATTTGTTGTGGTTTGTTGTTTTTTTTTTTTGTTTTTTTTATTGCTGTTTAGTTTTTGGCTTTTTTTGAACAAGCTAGGGAGAGATGATGAGACTCATTATGGGGCTGATTTTCTAAACAGTAAATTGCAGTAAACAGAAAACTGAATCAGAAAATTTAGGTTAAAACAGCCATGCTAGGACTACAGCGGGGTTTCAGAATTTCTCAAATAAGTTACTCTGGGTAAACTGTCAAACCATTCACAGACTGTGAAAAATATATATATTTCCCCAACCTCTCGTTTAAAATTAAGTTGTGGGTACTGTGATAGGTACACTTCAACCTCTCTAGGACATTGGTTATGAACATTATTAAATTTGCTAAAAAATATATATATAGAAAACAGACAAACTTGCATTATCTCAATAAGAACGTATTATACTTTAGTTAGTTTTACAGCAGACAATACATCAGGACTGCAGTCTCTATTTAATTTGTCCATAGTGTGTAGACATACAGCAGGGTTAGCTTTGTGTTTGTGCGCGGCTGCATCCTTACATACAATACAAGGTGCTCTCTGATTTAATTTACAGGAAGATCTGACCAAAGAAACTCTGCATCGACAGTTTGCACTGGTGAAAAATCGCACACACAAAAGCCACGTCATGCAGTATGGAAACAAGGTATGTCGTATTCCTCTGTCGTTAACATTTGCATGTGATAATAATCCTAAGCTTTGGTACGGTTTATAATTGCTAAGACCCCACTGTGAAAATTTGATCTAGGAAACGGCAAGGTTAGGGTTTTATACCCAAGGGAATAACCCAGAATAGTAAGGACTACCATGCTGGACCTGGAACACCTTCCATTCTGCCCTCTGGGATGCACGCTCTGTGTGCAACATAACTAATCTACTTCTATCCATGACTTATTCATCTCACGCCCCCTAAATGTACTTGCTTTAACTGAAACTTGGCTCTCTTCCTCTGACACAGACACCCCTGCCTCATTATCCTATGGTGGTCTACAGTTTACACACAACCCAAGTCAGTCTGACAGTAAAGATGGCGGTGTAGAGTTTCTCCTTTCTCCCCACCCCCCTTCCCTCTCTTTCTCCTCCTTTGACATTTGCTTATTCAAACTCATATCTGTAAACATTGCAGTTCTTTATCGGCCCCCAGGTTCTCCTCGTCTCTTCCTTGACCATGTTGCTGCCTGTCTTCCTCAGTAGCCTCAAAATTTATTTCAATCACCTCCTCCTTATCGCAGTGGGCTAATTCTTCCACATGTAGCTGGTAATACCCTCGATCTTATTTTTTCAAATGCATGCTCAGTCTCCAGTCTCTGTAATACGCCATTTTCCTCTATCAGACCACCACCTCCTATCATTTGTTCTCGAGTGCCCCCACATCCAATACCCTCAACCTAACCCCCCACATCTCAGGAGTAATCTGAATTCTCTTGACCTCCAGCAACTCTCAGCTGATCTCCATTCCAAACTCTCATCCATCCCTACCTTCTCCTGTCTTTCTCTGGCTATCTCCTCATATGCTACCCCAACTCCAAGCACGCTCCTCAAGGAGGGCGTATCCAACCGTGGCACACTAAGTCAACCCACTACCTGCAGAGATGCTCCCGTTCAGATGAACGCTGCTGGAGGAAGTCTTGCACCTTGTGAGACTTACTATACTATAAATTTGTCTTGTGCTCATACAGTGCAGCCCTCCTTTTCTTTTCTCATTAGTTCATGTTCCCGCAGCACCAGTAATCTCTTTAACACTTTTAACTCACTTCTTCACCCTGGTATGACCACCCCACAAACTAATCTTTCAGCTGGTAGCTTTGCATGTTACTTTACTGACCAGATTAAACAGTTAAGGAATGAATTCTCCCCTCTATCTCAACCTCACTTGGACCATACCATTCCTACAGTCCAAGACTTCCTTCCAGCTACTGAACCGGAGGTGGCTGTGCTTCTCCTCTCGTCCCACCTCCTGTCCACCTGATCCAGTACCTTCCCACCTCATTAGAGCTCTCACCCTTTGTCTTGTACCATCCTTAACACACATCCTAAACTGCTCTTTCATTTGGCATTGTCCCTGCTCTCCTTAAGCATGCTACTGTCATACCCATCCTTAAAAAAAGCCATCCCTTGACCCATCTTCCACTTCCCATTACCCTGCTTTCTTTTTCCTCAAAGGCTCTAGAAAGGCTTGTCTTTACTCGTATAACTCAATTCTTAAATTTCATCTCTCTCCTCCTCCTCTTCAATCTGGCTTTCGCCCCCTCCACTCTAGAGAGACTGCTTTTGTTAAAGTTACAAGTGACCTAATCGCAGCCAAAGCCAAAGGCCACTACTCTGTACTAATTCTTCTTGACCTCCCTGCTGCCATTGACACTGATCATTATTGCCTCCTTCTCCTAACTCTATCTCTTGGTCTCTGTGACACAGTCCTCTTGTGGTTCTCCTCCTATCTCTCCCAACGTTCCTCTGGTGTCTCTTTTTCCAAGAGCACCTCCTCTCCTCGTCCTGTCTCCGTCAGAGTCCCTCACGGTTCAGTTCTTGGTCCCCTTTTTTTCTCTCTCTATACTGCCTCTCTTGGCAAACACATTAATTTGGATTCCACTACCACCTGTACGCTGACGACACCCAGATATATCTCTCCCCTGCTGTCCTACAACGTGTCACCAATTGCTTTTCTTCTATCTCCGACTGGATATCCTCCCGCTTTCTAAAACTCAATTTCTCTAAAACTGAGTTTCTTATTTTTCCTCTTCATAACACTGATCCTCCTCCTTCACTCTCACTGCAGATTGACTCTACCTGCCTCACCCCTTCCTTTCAAGCTTACTGTCTTGGTGTCACTTTTGATCCTGTCCTCACCTTTGCGCCTCATGTCCAGTCTGTTGCTAAAACCTGTCGATTCCAACTTAAAAACATTGCCCGCATACGCCCCTTTCTTACGCAAGATGCTGCCAAGGAGCTTGTTCATGCTCTAGTAATCTCTCGCATCGATTACTGTACTAATTGGGCTCCCCAGAAGTCGTGCTGCCCCCCTACAATCTGTGATAAATGGTGCTGCCAGTCTGATCTTTCTCTCCTGTCGCTCCTCTCACACCTCACCCCTCTGTCGATCCTTACACTGGCTTCTTGTCCCCTACAGGTGTCAAATCAAAATACTAACCCTTACCTATAAAGCTCCAACCAACTCTAGCCCCCCTTACATTTCTTCACTGATTCATAGGTATTGCCCCTCTCGGTCTATCCGCTCTGCCGGTGACCTTCTCCTGTCTGCTGCTTGCACCCTTACTGCAAATTCATGCCTGCAAGACTTCTCACGACGGCTCCTTTCTTTTGGAAAAGCCTGCCTACCCCTGTCAGACTCTCCCCTAGTCTTGAATCATTGAAGTCCCTCAAAACCCATCTTTTCAGGATTGCTTATGGCTTCCAAGAGTAACTTCTATCTCTCAATCCTTTCTCTTGCTTTCTCCTATAGGGCCACACTGCACTCACCTCCAGTTCTGCTACTTTCCCATCATGTCTATTTGCTGTCTCCCTCAATACCCTTCCTATTGTGTTTTTATACCCCACCTTCTCTAGACTGTAAGCTCATTTGAGCAGGGTCATCAACTACCTATTGCTCCTGTTACATTTTGTTATTGTCTCGTTTGGTAAATTCCCCTTTTTTATGTAAAGCGCTGCAGAATAAGTTTGCGCTATATAACTACCAATAATAACTTTAAATGGGTCTTAAGATACAATCAAATGTCAAAAGGTAAAAGCATTTGTTTTGAGGTGGCGGAAAACTGGCTTACATTATAGATTGAGATATTCGATCAAATTCCTGTCTATTAAAATCATCCTTTGTCCAATCACTGAGCCATTTCATGTTTTTTTTCTCCTTAAGTAGCCATTTTGGCAATCAAAGTGCACAAATGGCATACATTAATTGACCACTCTGGGTCCATAAACCAAAGAACAAAATGTTACTAGCCCACTATCCCAAATCCCTGTGCACATTTAAATAACTGGAGGTATTTTAGTGTCACTCGAATGGCCAATAAAGTGCAAGCTCACCTGCCACGGCAAGGCACAATCTCAAGGTGATTACTACACTAACAATTCACCTTTCAGCTAAAGGCAAAATCTCTGAGACAGAGAGAGGTATTTTTGGTGCCTATAGTGTCCCCTTAAAGGAACACTATAGTATTTAAAAAAAAAAAAAAATATATATATATATATATATATATAATTTTTTTTTTCTGCATGTTTGCTTTGGCAGTATATATGTGGGAAAGTAGTTTGCAAAAGTTGCAGGCAGCAAGCATAAACTTTTAGTCTGTGATTTTGGCTTTGCCTGTAGCACGGCTCATCGAGAAAAGGGGGCAGCCACACTCGAGCTCAGCGCACCTGCCAATTCCGATAGCTAAAGGAAGAACGTTGTATCAGCCCCAGTATTAAGGTTTTCTTTGAACTCTGCATTATCACGATTAGAAGTGGTCTTAAAGAACACACCAAAGTGCTTTGTGTCTGGAATCTGAAATCATTTTTTTCCAAGGGTCACTGTAAGCACAGTAACCACTTCATCTTACTAAATGTGATAGTGCAAAGGCCCTGTCCCTAGAGCCTCTTATGCAATGCAATTGCCCACTGCTTTTTGTATGTGCCGAAGTCAGAGGAAAACAAATACATTCGTTATTCATATCCCACCAAATTGGGTGCGAGAAGCTGCTTGCTGCTCCTGCTGGACTACAACTCCTATCATACTGCAGACTCTGTCTGAGGCTACAGGGAGTTCAAATACACATCTGATGTATTGGGATATCGAGGCAACCACTTGCTAAACAGTTTGCCAAATCACCTCACCCAGTGGTTGGCCAAACCTGATAAGAATTTTAGTCCACACTACTTTTTGTTTATTTATTTTAATGGACAATCCATAATATTTAAAAAAATTTAGAACTAATACAACTCTGAAGAGTTTTATGAATCTCTATATTTCAATAAAACCACCATTCTTTATAAGAACCTTTGGACTGGAGATTGGTCCTCCGTGCTTCTCATAATGCCCAGCACAAACAAGTAAATGTTGGGCAAAAGGGGGGTTGTTAGCTGCAGAGTAAAGTTCTGCAGCTAATGATGAAAGGTACATTTTTATTGCTTAGGAAATAAAAAATTTTATACAGTAAGCATCTTTGGACATAGCTTCTCTGTTATCAAGTAAATACATTTTTGTTATTTTTTTTCCCTTTTCTACTGTTTTTCAGACCATTTCCTTGATGAAGGTTAAGCAGTTCCAGGGAAGCACCAACAACATTGCTCCACGTCTAAACCTAGCACCTGTGAAGAACAGAGACCTGATCCCAAGTCCCGACGTTCCCATGGAGATCCTGAAAAGAAGACTTTTTGCCACGAATGATGTCGTGGAGGCCAGGAAAATTGCAGCAGAGATGAAGTCACTCCAAGAGGTATAGAGACCATCTATTCCATTCAGTTTAAATGGAACCAGCTGTTAGAGTAGCATTGTATTTCTGGGAAAACCATCTTCTATTAACAGGTCCAGACTTAAAGAAACACTACTGGCATTACAAATATAGATATATTTTTTTTAAATAAATCTGGCTATGTAGAGAACACACACACTTTCTATTGCTCCTCTTATATTGTCTTCCCACATGTACAGTCATCGTATACATAAGAAAAGAGTAAAGGGAATAAAATACATTGTGAAAACTGATTTTCCATAATATAAGTGCAAAAGTAAAAAAAAATTACCGGAGAAAAATATTTTAAAAAATGTTTTTCTGGCGAACATGCATACTGTCACACGGCTGTGTATTCATTGTTCTTTCTTTATCGAACAGGCAAAACAGTTGATTAAGCAATCAGTGGTGAAGATTGTGAACCTGGTGACCGAGTCCAGCGAGCTGGCAGAAGATATCCTGAATGATCGGGTCGGTCACAGGGACCACACCTGCTACATTGGGGCAGCCGAACACTTTAAACATAATTGCTTTAATTGGCATTCACCTCTGGTAAGCATTACACGTTCTATACGTTTACGTTACTTGCAGGGGCAGCCTGCAATATGAAGTAGCCGTTACTGTGCTTAGAAGTGTTGGTGCTGTCCCCCTGGTTTTTAATCCAGCTGTTTTAGCGGTTTGACAAAAACTGGGGAGATTTTGCTGCTCAGTACCTGATTATCAGAACTGAGCTATAGAAGCAGTGACTGCCCTAGTTTTTGTTTAACAGCTCAAATGGGCTTCTCTGCTGCTGTTTGGATCCTGCAAATTGGAAGATCTAGGTGTCTTGGATATTTTCTGAACCTAAGGAGAAAATATAAAGAGTGATGATATCTAGTGCAATATCCCCTATACCAACAATAAGGGAAAAACACAAAAAAATACCCACTTACTTTACCAGAGCTATGGGCACACCTTGTATGTCACAATCTAAAAGGACAACTCTGGGCGCCATAACCATTTTCTTAATGTAGTAGTTATGGTGCCTGAAGTCCCCTGGCATCATCTTACCTTTTACTGTTAACTGTTTTGTACAGAAATATTGTCCCCATGTGCCTGTCAACTGCCTCTCCTTTGCTGCTCGAGCAAATCCCGTATTAGCAGAACAGCTAAGTGGTAACCGTGTCCGCTAACACACTCATCCCATCGCAAACACAACATTTATACAGATACTCGTGATGGACTGTCAGCCTATCGTTGGCACTCCATCATTTCCACATTAGCAGAGCAGCAGAGGAGTGGCAGAAGATAGGTACCTGGGAGTGCTACTTCTGAAACCCTTTGAAAATGGTTTAACAGTAGGAGATAGGATGGTGCCAGGGGTCTACAGGCACTATAACCACCTAATTGAGATAAGGTAGTAATGAATTAAAGGAACATTCAAGCACCATAACCACTAGAGCAGTGGTCCTCATGGCCCACCAACAGTCCAGGATTTATGTATTTCCCAGTTTTATTCCAATGGAGATACTAACAAAACCTGGACTGTTGGTGGGTCTTGAGGACTGGTTTGAGAACCTCTGCTTGGCTCATTGGCTGAGATCACCTGACTCTCTCAGCCAATGAGTTTGCCCAGAGAGAGAACTTTTGGCTTTGTCAGATATAGCAAAGGCAGAGAGCGAACCCCAGCTTGGGAGAGCTAATTGAAGCTCCTGCTTAGTAGTGCCCAGCTCTAAGTTGGAACTATTGGAGGCAGTGTGCAGCACCTGAGACCCACAAATAAGGTTTGACTAGCCACGTCCCAGTGTAATCTGACATATCACGATTGTACAGTTTAACACTTACCAGGCCCCTCCGCTACTTCTAGTCTTATCAGAGCTGGAGAAGCCAGATGCCAGTTTTATTTAGTGCAGTCGAGAGTGGATTAGCTGATGTTCTCTGCCAGTGTATGAACACTATCTGTCTCATTCAGCTTCTCCTGCGTGATAAAACTGGAAGCAGCGCAAGCACACTTCACCGATCCGTACAGAGTCAAGCTATACTAAAACTGATTGATTTACTCTGGGACAATACCAAGGCACTATTGGTACCATAGCCCTCCCAGCAGGCTACAAGTCATTATGGAGTGTTTATGGTGCCTGGAGTCCCCTGGCAGAAGTATTATCCCTAGGTGCCGGTTAGCTGCCTTTCCCTTCTGTTCTGCTAACAAAGAAGAATTTGCTCCAGCAGCAAAAGAGCAGCAGTGACAGACTGAAAGCACAGCCGATATTCTCAGCTGGTCACTGCCACCCTGTCGCTACTCAAGTGAATTCTTCCATGTTTAACTGAGCAGCAGAGTACAGCACCTGCGGACACATAGTGTGTGTTAAACTGCTTCAAAACTGATTAACAGGGAATCCTGGCACTGTCACCACTTCAGTGAGGGGAAAATGGTATGGCACATGGAGTCTTCCTTTAAAGATATCGTTTAAGTCTTAACATTTGCATCCTATTAGGAACCTGCGTTTCTTCTTGTCTAAAAGCGTTCGGCTAACGCTCTTAACGTGATGTGCAAGTGTTCATTCATTGGTTAACACATATCATTTGCTGTAATGTAAAACGTGCATATAGCAAGCCTCTCCCGTTTGAATGTAGGAAGTCTGTATTACCCAATCAGTTTTCATTAGGTTTAACTTTGGAGGGTTGGTTTTAGATTGTACTGTGGAGTAAAGTTAAGGCGATATTGCACTACATCATGTCACTTTCTTTCCCTAAATTCTCAGACTGTTAATCCAAGATCTGTGTGATTATATAATTATAGTGTGTACAAATACCTTGCTTTTAAAATGATGTAGTTTGTAGTGTAAAATGGGAAAATTAAAGTCTATCCAGGATTAGAGTCTCAGCCAATGAGCTCAGCCCTGCTTAGCTCGGTGGAATTGACAGGATTCTCCTGAAAGAAGGATCTGGAAGTTCTCAAACTGTTCCAAAAATGTGACAAATTACACTGGGAGGACACGTGGAGCATTATAGCAGGCTGTGGTGCTTGGAGTGTTCCTTTTTTTTTTTTTTTTTTTTGTCATTTGCTATATTTTAAAAAAAGGTGCAGAAGGGTTGCATCTTGAATTTTGGACGTTTGCGTGATTATTTTGGCCTGAATTTACAACAGAGCTGTGGCTTTCAATGTTTTTAGTGAATAAACCCCTTGCAGTTTGAGATTGTTCTCTTTGTATTAGAAGCTAATCATCATCTCTCTTCTTGCAGTATGAATATGCCTTGAGGGAGCTCTTTGTTCTTGCGAACATGTGTGAAGCTGGATACCCACTGGAAAGGTAAGTAACCAAATATTCTACTGCATGTACTCTATGCAGGGCTCACACACCCTAACTCTAACACTGTTTTAATACGCACACTGAATCTTCCAGTCATTTGTTAGGATATAGACTAAAAATGTATACTACTACTTCAATGTAGTCTTTATCAGGAACATTCCTGCCAAAAGAGAATGAAAGAAAATACAAATTGCGCAGCTTCTCCAGTAGTCCTACAATAAGAGAACATAGGAATTACACTGTAAGAAATCTATTGTGTGGCTCACACTATCTGCCTCCGGGTGATGGGAATCCCCTCACCACACTGTGTATATTGCCTCAGCTTAATAGGGGTCGAATTAAGCTCCTCATTGTATTAAGAGAAAGACAGAACAGGAACCATAATGTAGCATGAAAGATAAATAGTTTATTACACACTTAAACTGCTTACATCACAAATTGCTAACGTACACAATAGAGCCACTTACAAATGCATGTTTTTCTATGGGTGATATTGGTTTTATGACTGTTAAGTTCTCTTCTGCCTCTGGTCCGAGAGTGTACTCTTATTTACTGATCATCCACGCCTTCTCCAATCCGAGACCGTCCTCTTATTTCCAGTTAGTCCAAGCCTTCTACCACTCTCTTTCCATCCACAAATATTTAAACACCATCTACCTTAGTTTCTATTAGATATCGTCCAGTCCAATCATTGATCCCTCAAACTTAATAGAATGCTGCCACCACTGTAAGAACTTCAGATCTTTGAAGTTATGCATAATTGTCCAGGTGCCATGCTACCATCAGTGGTTACAGTTTTCCAATGGTAAACCCCAAAATTGGTCCTCTGGCAGCTCTCAGTCAATCACTGGATGCCTGAAAAACCTTCCAAATACTGTGTCCTCATAGAGGGAAAGGTATCAACTTTAGAGTTAAACAATTGTAAGAATGCTCAACACCTGAAGGTAAGATGCCATCTAGATACTCCTGGCACCATAACTTCAGGAAGCTTAATTTGTTATCGGGGTAACTTGGATACTTTTTAACACCTAGCATAGGACCAAAGAATGAGTTAATATGCCTATTAGCTCTATCATTGAATACATATATAAAGTACATTTTCAATATTTCTCTAACATTACAACAATTCTCAATTAAAGGGACACTATAGTCACCAGGACAACTACAGCTTAATGTAGTTGTTCTGGTGAGTATAATCATTATATGCAGGCATTTTCAGAGAAAATGCAGGGTTTACATTGCCCCTAGGGACACCTCCAAGTGGCCACTGGATGTGCTTCCTGGCTCAGTTCTGTACAGTAGGCAGCAGTGCCGTTCAGCGTCTCCACGCGGAAGTGCGGATTGGCCAAAACACTGTTTGGGCCCGCCCCCTTGCCAATTTTAGCCAATCTAATGCTTATCCAATGGGAAAGCATTGGATTGGTTAAAAATTGGCAATTCTGATGTAACCAAGGGGGCAGGGCCAGCACTGCGCTAGAAATAAGGTTAGTTTTTTTTTTGTTTTTTTTTTTATTGACTTTTAAGGGGGCACAAGCGTATACATGTTTGTGTTCCTGACCCTATAGTGTTCCATAAACCCCTTAAGGACCAAACTTCTGGAATAAAAGGGAATCATGACATGTCACACGTCATGTGTCCTTAAGGGGTAAATGAAAACAAACAAAACTTTAGAACAAACTTTTTGCGTATAAGATTTGTATGAAATACCTTTTTCGAACAAAAGATTTTAAAAACATTAAAAAAAAGTTTGCCCCACTTATCTTATATGTAAAACATTTGGATGTCAAAGTACATAAATTTAGTAAAAAGTAATAGCATGTTTAATTTAATTTCGTGTAATTATGTATTCAATGTTGGGCTAATAATGTATTACTGATGAAGACTCATTTAATAGTTTTTACTCGTTCATTATAAGGTATACAAGCTGCATTAGTAGAAACTTTATGGCAGTAATTGAAGTGGATGACACACAGTTAAAATTACGGGTCGATGGTGTTTAAATATCTGTGGATGAAAAGATATGTAAGTTGTGGATTACTGGTAAAAAGCATAATAGAAGACAGTACGGGACCAGAGTGAAAGACAGCTTAAGGTTTTTATTCTTAGACGTCCCGGGGACCAGGCAGAATAATACAAATAATATCGCCCATGGATTTAGAAATATTCTAGTTTTGGGCATTCGTGAAATACGCGGTTGTGTACTTCAACCATTTTTAATGTAAGCCAGTTTTAAGCATGCAGTAGTTTTTATGGTACACAACAGTCCCTGTTCTTTCTTTTTCAATCTTTCAATATTATGTGGGGGGGGAGATAACAATAGGATTTTAACCTCTATCGAGCTGAGGCAAGATTCACATTAGCATCATGATGGCATTCCAGGTAATGGAGCCGATAAATAGGTTGCTTAGAGCGTGATTCTCTTGACTATTGGAGAAGTTACAGCAATTTGTATTTTAAAATTTCACTTTTTATGGATTAAGAAATGGAAGAATTTCCTTTATAACCAATTCTAATGCAAATGTGTTACAATGGATTTAATTAAATGTCAATGACTAATTCAAATCACGTGACTCATTTCCTAATTGCAAAAATTACAAGAAGTCAACAAAAGCAGCGCTGTCTACCAAAAGTGTGTTTAAATTTTGTATATACAGGGATACATGGTACATAACGTAGATATATTTCTACAGGCAAGATAATCATAGTTATATCAATACATTGTGGGGAAAAACCATTATGGAACACATTAAGGTCAAACTCCCTATTCAAATCCATGGGGTAAAAAAAAAACAGTATTTTTCAATACACTTTAGTAATTTACTGATCTCATGCCTCCATTTTTAAATGGTATGAATTAGTTTCTGCCTCTTTATAAGAGAATCAGTCAGTCTTGTTGCTGAACATGTCTGTTTCTATGTAGAGAAAGAGGATTAGTGGAATATAATCTTGATTTAGGAGATTAGCTTTTTGGATCTTATTAGATTCCACAATTCCTCTCTCAGACACGTTCCATAAACCAACTAGTCAAATGAGTTGTTTCATTATAAGAGTTATCACCCTCCTAATACAAATGAATTGACTGCCTCATAGCCAGGAATGCCTCAGATGAAACCGATTTAGATATAAGATTAAAAGGCACGGTGGAAAAGTTTGCAAACCTCTTTACTAAAAAAAATTTAAATATTTTGTTTTGACCCTAAATCGTCAATATTTGCTAAATAAAATGGACACTAATATTAATGAAAACAAAATTCCCTTTGTGAGTAAATCTAGTCATCTGAGCAATCACATGGCACACACACATTACATAGATATTGGGGCATTCTTAAAAACATTTCACACCCCACTTTGTCCTTAAACCGAATAGAAACATTAAAGATATATTGGTTAAGGCAGATGTGGCTCCAAATGCAGCTAATACGTTTAAACATCCCTATACAGGTAAAAAAGCATTACATTTAAGGAGCACAGACATGTATTCCTGACCCAATAGTGTTAAAACCACCATCTAACCTCCCTAAATATAGTACAATCTTATTTGTATTCAAGTCAGCAGCTCCTGGCTCTGCATCTGAACTGCCTCTATCTGCTGACATCATCAGAAGTGGTAGCCTGAGCCAATCACAATGCTTCCCCATAGGATTGGCTGAGACTGACTTGTACTGGCTCTGCCTCCTTGACAAACACAGCCCTGGCCAATCAGCATCTCCTCCTAAAGATGAATTGAATCAGTGTCTGCATGAAGAGGGAGGAGACACTGAATGGCAGCACTGCCACAGGAAGCACCTCCAGTAGCCATCTGAGGAGTGGCCAGTGAAGTTAACACAAGGCTGTAATGTAAACACTACATTTACTCTGAAAAGACAGAGTTTACAGCAAAAAGCCTGACGGGAATGATTCTACTCACCAGAACAAATTCAATAAGCTGGAGTTGTTCTGGTGACTATAGTGTCCCTTTAACCTGTGATTCACATTTTGTTGTATATATTCTTAAATGCCTATGTGGGTGTATTTCTGTTGTCAAAACAACAATGAAGATCAGACCGTTAGCAAGCCACAAATCTACCAGTAGAACAGGTATAACTGACTTATCTGTAACTGAACATTTAATTGCAGAAATCACACAATTTAACAACCAAGGTATCAGATCAAGGGTCAGCAACCTACGGCACGTGTGCCATACATGGCACTCTAGGTGCTTTTGAACGGCACTCAAGGCTGCCAAAGCTAAAGTGGCTCTGGCCCATCAAGAGTCCTTAGTGTAAACTGAGTGGTTAGGGGCAATCCTCAATTTACGAATTTCAGCACTTACAGGAAGTAACTGTAGATAATTTAATCCCAGTACTTGCGAATGGAAATCCGCACTAGATCAAAGCAGTCCGCAGAAGCTATTGCAGCTCCTGCCCTTGACCTGTACCTGGCCAGCCCGGTCCCCACTGGACTGCAGGAAAGCCACCCACACTGCTAGATATACACTGAGCTTCAGAATAAGTGTCCCACTCGTACAAACAAACCTCCCCACAACAGCACTGACAAGCCACATACATGCACACAGCCCCACAAGCAGACTGTCACATACACACAACAAACACACATTGTGACATATTACACAGCCCACTTTCACAGGGATCATATACAATACCACAAACTACTCATGAATGTATACTTTACAATATAACCGCTCACATATCCACAAGTACAACGCTACAAAGCAACAGGAGCACTCATAAATAACACAAGCAAAGTACGGCAACATACACACGTCAATTTTAAAACCGAGGATCGGAACACCAAGAGACTTAAAAATCTTATTTTGGCCCAGTACTGCTGAAAGGTTGCCTATCCCTGCATCAGATCATTGATTATGTGTAGCCTCTGAAAAGAGGGGGGTGACTGTTAAAGGGACACTCCAGGCACCAAAACAACTTTATCTAAATGAAGTTGTTATGATCCCTCAAGCCACTCATACCTCAAGGGTTTAAGCAGTTCTTGAATGGTTTAACCCCAAAGTCGCCTCAAGGCTATCGTAGCTCTCACCCTTTTAGATTCAGAAAGAATGGAGGGGCGCTCCCGATCCGCTGAGAGCGGTAAGCTGATGCTCCAATCAGTGACTCTACATTCAACAAACTCGCTTGAGAAAGGTGCATTTCTTTCCCAGACAGTTTTGCAAAGAGAGTCACTAATTGGCGAGCGCATCAGTTGACCGCTGTCAGCCAATTAGCAGCGCTCCTGCCTGGCAGCACTCCATGCTTCCTGAATCTGAAAATGCAGAAGCCGGATGGCACCTGGGGGAGCTGGTATCGCCAGTGGAGGCAACTTTGGGGTTAAACTGTTTAAAAACGGTTTAACCCATTCAGGTTGGAGTGTCTCTGGGAGCCTCCTTCATTTAGATTTTAGTGAGTGGAATGTCCCTTTTAAATTGCTAAAACACAGGAAAATACTGGGTTTATACCTTGAATAGCCCACCAACAATCTAGGATTTAGGTTTTTCCCTTTTTTTATTCCAATGGAAACAGTGACAAAACTTGGGACTATTGGTGGGTTGTGAGAACTGGGTTTGGGAACCACTAACCTAACGGACTGAATAGGGAGTGGACCTTAATGTGTTTCATAATGTGTTTTGTTTCCACGGTGACTTGTGTTGATAAAACAGTGATGTTTCTTTTGCTGGTAGAAATACATCTACAGAAGGCCTGGTGTATACCTGTATATATGTAAATATGAAGATGTTGAACCTAAACACACTTTTCATAGACATCGCTGCTAATGTTGATTTCTCATTTTAACCTTTGTCCTTTCTGTGCATATAAAGGAAATAGTGTCACGTGATCTCATTGTGAGTCACATGACATAATTAGTAACATCATTGTTTGCATTAGAAATGGGTATAAATTATTGTCTAATGAATTGTTTCTTTAATTTTTAACAGGCCAAAACATTGTGAAGTTTATAAGAGGGGGGAAAGGATGAATAACTATCTACAGGTTACCAGTGGAAGCCTGTTCCAATCTGGTTCTTTTTTGCAAGCTTTTACCAAAGTAGGCGATACATTCTAAATCAGGTGGATCCCCAGATGCTTTGTCATGCTACATATATTCTAAAAGCATTGTGAGAGTTGTAGTTCTACAGCATCTGGGGATCTATCTATTAGGCAGCCCTGTTCTAAATTATACTCAGTGCAGTACACCAGGCCCAATGTTTCAGTAAGTGTGTGTAAAAGCTATAGTATGGTAAAGTAGGGATTGCTGGCTGTATTCCTTAAACCTGACAAGAGGGGGAGTTACCATTGTCAGGTTTAGTCATTTTTGGCATGCATGAGAGTACAAGACTGATGTGGGCTCCTGGCAAATGAAGCTAAAGATGGCAGTGGGCTTGAGTGTCATGTTAGTAAAATTCGCCTTCCGCTTTACTCTGCGGTAACCGGGCACCATTACCACTTAATATCCTCATTATACCGGTTATGTTACTATAGCTCTGTCCTAACTGCTTAAACTGTAATTGCCTCAGCTCCCTACCCTTCTATATCATGTGTGAATCTGTCCAACCTGAACAATTGTGTCGGCGTAGAGTGCTGGTGGTGGAGTAACCTGTCTGCACTGCCACCCAGGTTGGACAGATTTACAAGTGTAGTAATCACATTGTCAGTGCGGCTGAAGAAGGGGTGTGCTGTTGGGGCTATAGAGAACTGAAATAACTAAAATAGCCTGGCCAAAAACCACTAAATGGAATCCTTAGACTTATAGCTCTTTTGAGCTGTAGTGGATATGGTGCTAAAAATGCTTACAGGAGGCCAAAATGTATTGTCAGAGATTGTCAGCGGAGTGCTCTGTCAGCCAATGGGCATGGGGTGCCTAGGAGGACACAGCTAGGTTGTCAAATCATATTGAAAGCTGTAAAGTATTAGCACAGGTTTACATTTTACCTGAGGACTGCTGGGCTTAGTTCAGACAGAGCATCCAGCTTTCTGTTAGAAGTAGTGGAGACAGGCAGTAACGCCTAGTGGACCACATGTAGGAAATCAAACACTTCTAAAATGATTTGTCTACATATAATGAGGGGGCACCATAATCAAGGGAATGGTGTTTTGCTTTAATGCTACAAGAGTAATGTAAATGGGGCGCTTTATCTACAAACCATTAGCTGTTTCTGTCTTTCTTACAGAATCCAAAAAGCTATGGATGAAGTGTGCGTGGGCTGGTATTGAAACTTCTAGCAAGACAGTCCACACCGCCTACTGCGTGAAGAACAGACACTGCTGCTAAATTGATCATTCTTCCTGTGTGTGCTTTACAGAATATTGCACAATCAAAGAGTTTAAATGCAGATCTACAAATCGTTTTAAATCTCAGATTCACTAAAAGCTGAACGTTAAAGAAATGGACATTTTAAGGCAAGGGTCGAAACCACTACAGCATTGCAAACCAAAGGAAAGTAACTGACCTTTTTCTTGGAGTAGAGTCAATCCACTGGGCAGGCAAGGTGAGAAGATTAGAGAGAGACCCAAATCTTGTCTACTCTTCTGGGTTTCGTATCGGAGCCGTATGACTGACCATTAACCTTTCTGGTTCCAGCATAGTGGGGGATGAATTGCATGACTCTGCCTCCTGCAATTTAATGTTAAAACCCAGTTTCTCTGCTTAACAGACTGACTTGGCCAGTTTTCACAATAATCCTACTTCCCTACACAAACAACTGTTTAATTTTAATAGAATTTTTGTCTTTAGATGGAAAAAATCTGCTGTTTTTATTTGGGTTTTATTTTAAATTCATTTTTTAAAACAAGTTTTGATTGAGTAACAGGTCCTTATATTCAAGATTATGGAACTAGTTAACAGGTTAACTTTTCTGATTGTGCCCCCGTTTACTGGAAGGGCCAGAATGTGAAAAATATCAATCAATGCCTTTTGTTATTAACCCCTTTGTAGCTGAAAATGTAGGGGGTTAATATAAATAAAATGTTTCACATTTGACAAAAACCTAAATCTTATATGTGGATTATTTGTGTAACTGGTGTCGGCTCAACTCCATGGACTGTGATACTATCTATTCACAGATCCAAGAACGAAAATGGTCACCTGATTGTTCTTTATAATACTTGGTTATGTACATATATACGTTACAGGAATGTATACATTTTAAAAGCTGTAAGATATCTTGAATGCACATGTTGAGCTGGAGTTTTTTTATGGACAGATAATGCAGGAACAAAAAGATCCATACTCACATTTGATGTTCCTGTATCAATCTCCATTAATGCTGAGCCTGCAATCAGTTCTTTATGGACACAGCAAGGCTTTATGCTTTAGGAAATCAACAGCTGAACTTGAACTCAGACACTTCCAATCATAATATCATGTACTTCATCTCTTGAAGTGGTCTGGGTTCAGTTTCCCTGTTAATACAGTTCTGTACTCCTAACACTACAGTGTCCCTTTAGTGCCACATTATACATGAGGCCAAAATCAGACTGACCCATACTGAACGAGTAATCTGTATAGAAACCAAAACCGTCTGCCAAACGAATCAGTCTATTGTCTTATGATATAATGTTTCAAGACCCACCAACAGTCCAGGTTTTGTCAATATCTCCATTGGAATAAAGAAGAGAAATCCATAAATCCTCCAGTGTTGGTGGGCCATGAGAACTGGTTTGGGAACCATTGATATAATGCATTCAAATCAATCTGCAAACACCTGGTCTACCAATCAACAACCAAGCCAGAACAGAAAATGGTTCACTAGAATATAAACACTCTACACCAGGGGTGCCACAAAGGGAGATCCCCAGATATTTAAGAACTACAACTCCCATGATGCTTCGTGTGTCTTTGCATGCCTTTAGAATGATGAGACGTCATAGAAGTTGTAATTTTAAAACATCTGGGGATCTTTTGGGCAGCCCTGCTCGACACAGCTATCCAGCCTTTTGTAATTCACAAATTCATCATTCAAATACAATTGGAATTGATTTTATTTTCAGCTTTGTACAGGGTGAATTACAGAGGTTACATATTTATAAATTTTTACCCTTCAGTTTACTGCTTTTCATTTTAGTTTTCCCAATTAACTTATCCTCCCCATGCCCTTTCCAGTTTGTTTTAGACAATATTCTCAGGATTCAATTTTGAGAAATGGTTTCATGTTAAACTTGCAGTAATACATCCTTTATATAAAAACATACATTTAAGTTATATGGTACATTCCAAGTAAAAAATACAGTAAATACTTTTCTTTCTTAAAGGAGGAGTTAGGCTGCCCCCTGCTGGCAGACATTATCATTTGCGAATCCATTGACAGATCTCGCAAATCTGCAATTGTGGTTAACAAAAGAGTAGGAAAATGTGAACCATCTATTTACTGTGACCAAGACGGAGCTATTGTTTAGATCCAATAAGCAATGGCACATGTCAGATCTGTGGACTTCCAACAGGGTCAATAGGGAGTGCAAATAGTGATCCCTATCCTTTCCATTAAACTGCAACCTAAACAAACTATTACTGACATTCACCTTTGTATTCATGGCTAGATTTTCATTTTAAAAGGCACTGGTACAAATACACACACACACAACTCTCCTCCACTAAACACTGAGAGATCTGGTTCTGTTAAGCATTAAGACATGGCCACTTGCCTGAAATTTAACCCCTGTAGATGGTGTTTAAGCTCCATATAAGACCATTCATTGGTCATGGTGATCGAATACAGCCAATCTGTTTCTCTTGTGTACTCTTAACCCCTTAAGGACACGTGACATGTCATGATTCCCTTTTATTCCAGAAGTTTGGTCCTTAAGGGGTTAAAACTAATTTCTCTAGAGATGGGAGTAACCAATGTTTATAAATCTGCCACAAAATACACTAAAAAGAACTTCCCATGAACAGTTTTTACAATGCTCTACCTGTCCCCTTTGCATTGTGTCTTATTTCCAAGATATCCTTTAGGAGTTGTACGAATGATCAAGACTATCGGCCCTGTTTCCTGCTAAATTGTAAGCTCACAGTCCAAGTCCTTTATGTAAAAATGCAGGTAGAAACTTAGTTGTTAATTCCTCTGTTATATTGTACAGCACTGTACAATAGATTGATCCTATAATAAGATACAGTATATTGGTGCCCAGATTAATGCCCTACTAATGATTAAACTGACCGAAAGTCTGCTATATAGCGCCTCATTTTCTGTTCGTCTGGGAAGCCTTGCACTTAACGGCATCACTGTTAAAATGTTTTGTTTCCATCCGGCCCAAGACTAAATTTACCAATCAATTTACACACTGACCTGACAGTCTCCATGACATCCCTTGCACTGTACACAGTCTGACCATCCACCTGCACTAGCTAAACTTTGCCGTGTCCCTACATGCTTCACATTCTGAGATTCTATGAAAAGGGTTACTGATTGGAGATGTTAAGAAAAACAATTGAATTATTTTTAGATTGCCTGCTGAATAAAGAAACAAACATCACATTCACATTTAAACTGCTTCCCCCACAAGTCAAAGCAAAACCTGCTTGCTTTTCTTTTTTCACTTATGGTGCAAGACAGTAACACAAAGTGTGCACAGAATGTTCATCAATTCACTTACTATGAACTTGCACCGCAATTACTATGGTCTAACTGTTGGTGCATGCCATAAGCAGTTCATCGGGCATCGAGATATGTTAAAGGAAATCCAAGTCTTTAACCACAGTGTCTTCCTTGTGGGTAATTCTGTACAGAAAGTGAAAGTCAAGTTTTTGTTCGTGCTTAAGCAAGTGGGATTTCACCTGGTGAGGGAAGGAGGTTTCAGCCAAGCGAAGGCACCGATCGTTAACCATCACAAAGAGTCCGTAGTCCTGTGGCTCGGACACCTCAAACTTCTCCGAGCACTGCTGCAGGACGAGAGACACGCTGGTGTCTGACTTTATCACTAGTGTGGCTGTCTTTGAGTCCAGCTCTTCCAACGAGATTGTGATGAAGTCCTGGGTAGTATAAAGAGCAGTCATAAGCATTCATTTGGACCAAAAGGTGCCCTGTCTTAGCATGACAATTTGTCCTGCATTGCAGGTCTCATAATTCCCAATTCTCCTCTGCCAGCACACTGCTAGCAAAGAATCATGGGAACTGTAGTCCAATAACCAATTGGCAGAAGCTTAAAGGGACACTATAGGAACCCAGAACACTACATCTAATTGGAGGGGTCTGGGTGCCTGGTACCCTTAACTCCATGAAATGAAGCAAATATCCCCCATAAGAAAATGGAAGCAATACTTTTCTAAGGGAAAGGCCTAATGCATGCGTAGTGCTCACCATGCATACACATGTTTCCCTCTCAGTGCTGGAATAAGGCGAGTGTAACCCTTTATTTGCCAGAATGTGGGGGAGAGAAACACTTTAGTGTAGAAATACAGAGCCATATTCCCAATGCTAACTTGTTCCTTTAAACCTTACGATTACACCACACTTTAGGGCTCCTCTACCACTGAATGATAAGTATATACAGTCTCAAAACTAGAAACTAATCAACACCTTTTAGACTTTTAAAAACATCCTTATTTCTTATATTCCTGACTGATCTTGCCTTTACTGAGCGCTGTAGCTGGAGGTTGGCCATTGACATTGTTACTCAATAAAGTGTTAATTGATGGGAATTTAAAGTGAATTTCACATTTTAGGGCCCCAAACCATAGCAGGCTTTTTCTTTTTAATTTGGCTAATGTGGCCTAAAATTATAAATTTGCTTTGAATTACTGCCATTTTACTCTTGTGAATAACCCTGAAAGTATCCATTTTAATGTGCACACAACTCATACCAAATGTTCAGCTATGTGAAGTTGGACCCAATGTTTTTAAAAGATGAATAAAAATTCACCATTCGTTTGTGCCGATTTGGTTTCAGAGATATTGTGCATTAGATTGGCTCAAACCCCACATGTTATTAAACATATCATGCGTTTGTGTCACTTTGGTTTTAAAGATACTGCGCACTGTTTTTCTATTTTTATTTTTATTTTGGAAGTGTAGTGATACATCATAAATACTTCAAGGCAGCAAAACGTCAGTAAAGGAGAGACAAATATTTTGTATCGGGCCATGGTAACATTTCCAGGACGTACTTGAAAACCAGAGTAATCTAAATGTACCTTTCCTGGTTAAATACCTTATTATTATAATTATTATTATCATCATCATCATCATCTATCCAACGTATGTCTGGCTGCACATTTTTACTAACATGTCTGGACAATAAACAGCATTTCCTTGCACAACTAGTGTAGTCTATATAGACATGAGACCATCAGATGCCAAGAGAAACCACTGGGTTCTGAGACACTGTCGTTACTGCATCACACTATACCAAGCATGTACCAGCATAGAAAACGTTGCATACTGTATTCCATCAAATCCAGCCCACTTTGCATCCGATGTTATTAAAATGTGAATCCAAATTTCAAATTTGTTTGTGCTGATTTGGGTCTCAAACATTTGTGTGTTTTTGGCTTCGGAGATATTTTAGGCCATGGGGCCTTAATCGCCACCCAGTTTGCACCCCGTGTAATTAATTAATCATAAATAAAAATACACTTAACTGCACCAGAGAGGATAATGTGGCATTGAGGGAGTTACCATGGCAACATACCGCTTAATACGGCATACATGGGATTATTTCAATCACATGACCATTCAGTGTTTTGAAGTGGTTATAGTGCCAGGAGTCTACATGTTCAGCATTTAACTACTGAGTTTAAGCCCCTGTAGAGGTTATGACGGCAGGAGTGCCATCCGGTAATAAGACAAACCATTTAGCAATGCTTTGCCCCCTTACCCAGGACCACACCAGGCTCTGAGGCTCCCTGGTGACACACGTCCAGGTTTTGCAAAGCTGCAGAAGCTGAAAGCAGCACCATCGCCATTCGTTGGCTGAGAGTACCAGCTGACTGCTCTAAGCCAATGACGTAAATTCTGTGCAAATTTCATTGTTCAGAATGTCAATGAGTCACCCTAGATCTCTAGTCCCGGGCCGACTGATGACACCCCAATGACACTGCTGTAGGTGGAGTTACATCTCAAACCGCAGAGGTGTTAAACTGTGAAATGCTGCAAATACAGACTCCAGACACCATAACCACCTAAAATCACCAGTGGTCCTTTAGCTTCAATAACCCAGTGTATCCCCAATTAAATTGTATGTTGCTATGTTAACCCATTCAATGCCACATTAACCAGTCTGGTGCTATGTTAATTCCTGGTTTCCTGTAGGAGAAAAATAATTTTTAAAAACACCCAAAAATTGGCACAGACCAGCAAAATAATGTATTTTATTATTTATGATTAATTACATGGTGTGTAAAGTGCTAACTGGTGGAGACAGAGATCACATGGACAAAAATATGTAAACTATCGCGGAAGCCAAAACTACAAAATGTTTTATGAAATGCAAATCAACACTAACAAATGGGGAATCTGTACTCACGGCTTAATAACATGGCGTGGAAGGAGGGCAGTGTTTCATTAAATACAATGCACAATATCTCTGAAACCAAAGCAGCACAAACGATATTTGCAGCATAAATTAGCACAAATGTGACACAAACTAATTATATATATTTTTTTAATTTAATAACATGGGGTTCAAAGTGGTGCAGGTTTAATCAAAAATAATGCACAATATTTTAATATCTAAAACATTTTTGCTGCCCAAATCTGTGCCAACAAATGGTGCATTTCTTTTTACAATGTAATAATATGGGATGGAAAGTGGGCAAAATATCTTATATAGAATATATATATATAAGATCTTAGAAACCAAAATTGACACAGATATTCATTGTAGTACAATGACCGCACAAACAGATGGTGTTTTTAAAAATTTAATTACACGGGGGGTAATATCTCAGAAACTAAAGTGACACAAGTCAGTAAAAATAGGTTTTCGTTTTTGTGGCGCGTAGCAGCACAAACGAATGGTGCATTTTTACAAACATGGGATGCGTATTGTCACACAGCTCATATGTGCATAGGTTTTAAAGACTATCAAATGGAAGATTAAGTGGAAGTCTTTAATGAGGGTTCAATTGGCAATATTAGCCAGGATTACATTATACCTCCCCCTTCAAATCAAAAACATGGATCTTGTCGGCAGTATCATTTTGTACCCTAACATTATACAGGGTGTTACATATTGAGGATTTATTTACTTATTCATCTCAGCCCACCTGTATTGAGGAGCGAGATACCCGCGCTTTGTTTAGCGTCCTCCTCCGTTCCCATCGGTTGATGGAGTCCTGTACCTCCATGCTCAGTTGCCGCGTCACAGTGATTTTGTCGTAATTCTTTATGTGTTCCAGCGCACCATAGGTTGTGGTCAAATAATAGGAACCTAGAGATATGTTTTACATAAATCAGTGAGAAAGAGCTACAGTACTCGGCGTATATAAGAATTGTTTACAAAAAAAACACAAAATGCTTTTTGTTTTACATCTTTCTATACTTAATTCAATTATGAGAAACCACAATGGACACTAATTGATGACAGTACAAACCTACTGTAGGTTTTAGGCTAAAATTAGTCATCATTGTGTGGGAGTGGATAAGGACAAGATATTAACTGACCTGTAGTAAGCAAATGTGGCCACTAGAGGGTACTATTGCACCACAGTTCACTGTGACTTGTCGCCAAAAAACACTCCATTATTCTGAACACAGTCCACTTTCAGCCAATTAAATTTAATAGGGCTCTATTCCAGTAGGTACATGATGCATTAATCTCCAGTTTCTTAGTTCTCATACTATCCTTAGCTGACATTATCATTTGTTAGCAAAAAAGCTTATAATAACTGCACCCACCTTAACAATGGAATTGTAAGGGGATGGCAATGTTCTCAACATGTCCCAATTATAATTGGGCTAAGTGTCCAGCTGATGGCTAGCACAGGGTGAAGGCATGATGGTGCAATGACTGCAGTGTGCTGGGCAAACCAGAATGACTCCCACAGGCCTAAAGCAGTTGGATCAGGACATGAGCCACCAGATGCGGTCAAGAACGGGTGGTGCTTGACCAGAGAGTCATGGCTGCAACTCATGACTGGCTCGCAGGTTTGGGAAACCTCCAGTGGGAACACTAGTGCCAATGATGAGTGAGCATGCAATATTAGGGGATTCTATAAGCAGCATCAATCTCTGTGCACAGACAAAAGTGGCCATCGTCTTCGCAGAGAGAGATGGTCTAAAGCAGGATAAGACAAACTTTGGCATTCTAGGAGTTAAGTACTACATTGGTCACAATGCTCTTACAGGAATAATGCTGGCAAAGCATGATGGGGGATGATGTCCACAAAATCTGGAATGCCAAAAGTCGCCTACCCGTGGTCTATAGCTATGATCAGGTTAACTGGAATAGAAACATTCTGCAGGCACTATAACTTTTCGCTGATGGATGTGGGCTCTCACAAATTATATTTTTTAGTGAACAATTCAACATGTGTAATGTCTTACAAAAATGTCAAGATTGTGGGAATTGTTCAATGAGTTTATGTTTTTTTTAATTGAATCAAGTTGTATAGGAGTGGCAAGCTCACGTTAATTATATAATTGGATGGGGGGTGGTTAAACCCTGAATGCAACCAGCTGTCTGGCAGAGGTAGAGAAGAGAAAGCAACACACCCGTTTTGTGCAGTTAGTGAATTAGCCTTTACCTTCTCCCAGCTGCAAGGAAGGATCCATCAATTCCATCATGTACTCGACATCAATGAGAAGAGCCTCAAGGTCGCAGCGTGCCAGCACGTACATGAGAACCGGTAGAAAATCATCCGCTCCATGAGGCTTTCCTAGGGCGATCAGAAATAGCAAACGCTTACTTTTAAACGGTTTAATGTCTAAACAGTTATAATTTATTAAACAATTTAAAATTAGACTGAAAAAAAGTGTCACCTTTCTTTATTTTGCCTATTCAAACCGATTTTATGGGCAGTTAAGAATACTGTGCAAATATTCTGCCTTGCTCTCTGGATTAAGATAAAAGTGGCGTAGGAGAATGGTAGAAAATAGAATGATTTTTTGGTACAAGAAAGCATAAATATTAATAAGTGGAAAGTCAACAAAGTAATACATTGTGTGGTAAAAAAAACATCAAAACTGATGTCATGCAAGGAAAAAAACAAAAACCACGAAAAGGTAAAGATTCAGACACACTTTGATAAATCCCTCCTATGTTTTAACTTTACAGATGCATTTTCTTTTTTCCCCAGCTCAGCTTTTCAGATTTGACCTAATCACGCTTTAAAAGATGTTAGATCTAGTCTTTTTTAAGATTGTGTCTGGTGGAAGCAATGCAGGAGGGCTTTCACGTGCTCTAACAAAAGCGCTCTTACTAAACTAGAAACTGAGAAAGAGAGAAGAAAAATCTCCTTTATAATTTCTCTGCCATTTGTCACAGCTATTGCCTTAAAGGGACACTATAGTCACCTGAACAACTTTAGCTTAATGAAGCAGTTTTGGTGTAAAAACATGCCCCTGCAGCCTCACTGCACAATCCTCTGCCATTTAGGAGTTAAATCCTTTTGTTTATGAACCCTAGTCACACCTCCCTGCATGTGACTTGCACAGCCTTCCATAAACACTTCCTGTAAAGAGAGCCCTATTTAGGCTTTCTTTATTGCAAGTTCTGTTTAATTAAGATTTTCTTATCCCCTGCTATGTTAATAGCTTGCTAGACCCTGCAAGAGCCTCCTGTATGTGATTAAAGTTCAATTTAGAGATTGAGATACAATTATTTAAGGTAAATTACATCTGTTTGAAAGTGAAACCAGTTTTTTTTTTCCATGCAGGCTCTGTCAATCATAGCCAGGGGAGGTGTGGCTAGGGCTGCATAAACAGAAACAAAGTGATTTAACTCCTACATGACAGTGAATTGAGCAGTGAAATTGCAGTGGAATGATCTATACACTAAAACTGCTTTATTTAGCTAAAGTAATTTAGGTGATTATAGTGTTCCTTTAATAATAGCGGTAAAGTAATGAATTACTAAATATTGTTACTTTCCACTTTTATTTTTACAAACATTGGAGGGCAAGTATAGTAAAGTGTATACTTTTAAATAAAGTGAAAAAAAAAAACAATACAAAACAATCACATGTAAAACTATTGTAGCAAATGGCTGATCTCATGTTAACAATTCATACAGGGTTATTCACTACAGTGAGAATTCTAAGTGAATTTCACATCTAAGGCCAAAAAAGTCAAACTGAAATCATAGCAAACTTAGAGGAGAATCTCCATTTCACCTACTTTTACCTTAAATTTAAATCTACTTTAACTTCTCACTACACTAATAAATTCTTTTAATACAAAAAAAATATATAAATTTGGAGTAATCATCAAGAATATCCACTTTTTTTCGTCCACATAGCTTGTCAGGTAAGAGAATCGGGCAAGGGAATGATATTACTGTGAAGTGAAAGCATTAATACACATTCCGGAGAAAACTGAGGGGGGGCTTAGTCAACGAACGGACAATTGTTGTAAATTGTCAAGCGTGTTGCGAAATTCAGACTAAAATAGCCGACCTCAAAAAAACAACAGAAGATAAATTTCTAAAAATTAAAACATTAGATCAGATTCTTTAAGCTCGGCCCTGATTTTTCAGTTGTAACGAGACCTGTCTGCATATTCCTAACTTTGACATTTAACAAACATGTCCCATAGCAACGGTACCAGATCCAACAGGTATTAACATAGGAGTTAATGACCAAGAGGATTATCATGTAAGACTCTTAGCAATACGTCACATTCTACTGAGAACGCCACAATATGTGCCAACAGTACTTGAGGTGTAACACGGTCTTAAGCCTGTTTTATACTAAATAGACCATGGCTATCAAACCAGGGAGGGAGGCCAGAAACGTCTATCTCACCACGTACGGAGTAACTCATCTTCCCGTGATTCTTTGCCAGCTCATTCAAAGTTGCTACAATACATTTTACCCCAACATCAATTGAAACTGTATTGAGCACCCTTGGTTAGATAGCAATGGTCTAGTATTTAAAGAAAGGATTAAAATTGTCCTTCCCCCAGGTATTGATGTCACATTATCTGGGAATTCCCAGAAGACTGTGACTGAAAAGTGACATATTGCTAAGACTCTTACTTTATAATCCTCTTGGTCACTAACTCATGCAGCTTTTACACGCTGGTTTATAAATATACACCCAATGTAAAATGTATAATTAAATGCATGCATGTTTTCATTGAGGGTATTATATTTGGGCGGTGGAGAATCCTTTAAGTTTGTAGATTTTCTTCAGAATTTTAACCATAAACTTTTTTATAAATTTCCCCTCTCCCCTTAGGATTGCGGCATTAAAGGGACACTATAGGCGCCCAGACAACGACAGCTCGTTGAAGTAGTCTGGGTGCATAATCCCAGGTCCCTAAACCCTGAGCAGGTAATTATTGCAGTTTTTAATCAACTGCAATAATTACATTTGATGGTTTACTCCACCTCTAGTGGCTGTCTACCAGATAGCCACTAGAGGGACTTCCAGGTCACTTGGTGACTTTTGGTCACCTAAATTATGCTGAACTTCCTAACGCTGTGCATGAGGACATCGAGCGCCATGTAAAACCTAATTGGAAAGCAATTGCTGCACCTGCACATTAGGACTCCCCCACTGGCTGACTTTAGCTGGGGAGGAGGGAAGGCAGAGCTTTCTCAGGTAAGTGACAGAAGGGGTTTTTAACTGACGGAGGGGGAAGCTATAGTGCCAGGAAAAAACTTTGTTTTCCTGGCACTATAGTTTCCCTTTAAGAAACAGGACCTTTAAGAAACAGGACTCCCCTCTAGCAAATCCTCATGTGGGGTATAGACATGCCAAAAGTAATTGTATTTGTGAACACTATATAGGGCTTTGAAGTAAAAAAATGCAGCAATACGTTAATTTGTTTCCCCTTTAGACGGGTTACATTGAATATACTGTATCTCATAATGCATACCTGGACTTCCTGAAGCCATGGAGTCATAAATAAGCTTGCAAGCCTTGAGGAGATATGTGATTTTCTTCTCTGGTGAGTAGGTTTTGTGCATTGTTCCAAACTTCTGAATTATCTTCTCCATCACACTGCTCTCGGGGACACTGGTAGTGACCCCAAGATCGGTGGTGGTCGTGTCCTCAATGACCAGCTGGTTCTCCTTGAGCAGCCTCAAACAGCCATCTTTAGTGTGGATTTCACGCAGGTATGACTCAATGGGAGCCTTCAGAGGCTTCAGGACGCACTTACAGAGAGCTGCTTCTACGATCACATCTGCTCCAGAGCAAGGAGAGAAAAAACAGTTGGCCATTAGTAGCACTCGAAGATGATAGTCTATTATTTTACACAGTTGTACACACATATTTATAAGTCCGTACTTTTGATATTTGCTACTTAACTTTCATTACTTTTCAAATTCAAGGTTTACGGAGAGTTTGCAGATAAATACAAAACGGAAACTACATAGAAGCTACCGGTAGTTAACAGCCTGTAGGCAGCTGTTAAAAGGAGACTGTGAATTAGAAATATCCCTAATTCACATCCCTAATTTACAATGTGTACAGTTTTAGCCGGCTTACTTATATAAATACAACCGTCCTTTGGTAAGGAACGCAAATCACTGACCAGGGGGATGTACCATGTGTATTTGTGTCTCAACTCTTCCCTTTGCATAATTCATATTTCTGCTCTGTGTTCAGTGTGATTACAATATCCATCAAGGCAGTGTGGAAAAAAAAACACGTAAAAAGGGAACCGTCAATTCTCTAGAAATTACATCACTGAATAAACATTTAACATTACTAATAACTTATGTAAAGAAAACACGTAAAGCTCTCTTTCCCGTAAAATTTATATTAAAGATTTAGCAAATAGCATCAGAATTTAATTCAGACAAGGCAAAGCCAGGGTAATCATTGCAAATAAGGAGAATAAATAATAACAGATTTCAGTTATCTTCTCCTTATATTATTATTATTTTATTATTTATATAGCGCCATCAGATTCGCTGTACAATATCTGCCAGATTTTAGAACAATGATTGACAGGGGACTAAGGCATTCTCCCAGGTGTAGATTTCTAGAGAGAAAAGTGCACCACTGCCTTTGTAATGGTGCACCATTTTATGATAAACAGTGCTTCTGGAAACAGCCATCTATTTTTATAAAAACAGCTTCCAAATTAAAGGAACAGTATAGTGTTAAACTGAATATTTAGAACCCCTGCTCCCTTTAGATTTCATGGGAAAAGTGAGTTTACTTACTTTTTCTCCCACGCTACGCCAGTCTAGCCGAGGCTGGTTCTGGCCTCCATGGTTGAGATCTTGATCTTAGACAATCCAATGCTTCCCATAGAAAAGACTTGGGAGGCTATTGTGCATGCATGCCAAAACACCACACTGCGCCAATCAGCATCTCCTCATCGAGATGCATTGAATCAATGCATCTCTATGGGGAGCGTTCTAAGTCCCTGTGCAGAGCGCGGAGACACTGAACACCAGTGATGCACAGTATGCAGAACAGATCCAGGAAGCACCTCTAGTTGCCGTCTAGTAACTGGCACCAGAGGTGTTCCTAGACAGCAATTTAAACACTGCCTTTTCAGAGACAATCCCACCAAAATCTGGATTGTTGGAAATTCCGCTGTAATGCTCATTATCAGTACAGTCCTGTACAACAGTGATTCTCCACCTTTTACAGAGACGGATCCCTACAGGTCTAAAAAAACAATTCCTAAGCAACCCTGCAACGAGAAAGTAGTCTATTGATTTAAATTCCAAATGAAACTTGTAGACACTGATATTTAAGTTAATCATATATTGGAGAACAAGCCTGATTAAAGGTAGTAAATAAGATTTTATTTATGTGATGAGGAGCGTATAAACGATTAATCTGAAGTATGAAAGTCACAAACTGAAATATAATACACACAATAGCAATTACTGGCACACACACTCACTGACAGACACTGATTTGACACACACACTGACAGACACAAACATAAATGATTTTTCTTTCTTTTTTTTTTTTTAATACTATATTTATCTAGCTCCAGTGGGAATGCTGGAGTAGATCCTTTCCCTGGGGTCCAGTAGAGCTTGTGAAAGGTTTGTGCTCTTCCATCACTGCTCCCTCGCACTCCGTTTAGTGATGCAAAAAACAGGGTGATGTCACGCAGGGGATGCTGTAAGCACACGAGCAATGCTGTAAGAGCACTAAGATACAGCTACCTCACCGTTCGCCCCCAGTCGGCCACCTCTCTGCGCACCTCCTGCCTGTGGAGCGTGCACGTACCGCGTGTTGAGAAACTAGGCTGTACAGCACCTGCCATTTCTGTAAAAATATTTCTGCATACAAGGTGTTGTCAGGAAAGACTGGGAGTTTCCTAAACAGTTCCATGAGGTTACAAAAAGAGAACTAAATAAATCATATATTTTGAAAACTTTTGGAGACTTAAAGGATAATCTTTTAATTATTATTGGAAATTACGTTTAAATATATATTATTATGAACAAGTCAGAGGACGCACTGAAAAGCGGTATTTATGTAAGGGTTCCAAAAGAACACACACAGAGGCGATAACACATGCAATCTATTTTAAAATAACCAGTATGAAAGCAGTTTTCCTTCAAAGAAGAACCATCACTTTTCTTGAAATTATACTATTGATTAAAACATTGTTAATATTTTTATTTCATGTGAACATCAGTTTTTTTTCCCTTAAAGTATATTAAAGATTTATCATTAACACACAAACCAGTTCAGGTGTGGCACATCCATGACACATACTGCATTGGAAGGGAAGTCATTAAAACAGTGCGTATACTATACTAATGCCTTTTAATCAAATCCCAAATGAACCAATCTGACCAGGGTTAGCCTGTGAATTCGGGAAGACCAGTTCATTCGGAAGTAAACTTTAAATAGCATTTGATTAACTCATTTTTGTCAGATTAGTAAATACAGTATTCAGAATCCTGGGCAGTGACAGGTCCCATTTAAATACACTTGTTCACTGGCTCCATGCATTACGAATCTTATGCTGTGTGTGCTAACAAATAATTGATCTCTCTAGGTTTTAAACGCCAGGTTAGCCGTAGAAAACATTTATTAAATTACAAATAAGTTGGTGACTGATGCCTTCCACAGATTTCTGCAAACAGCCCTCAACCCTAGCTAAAGACTCAAAGTGACAGTCTCTGTTTGGTGTCTTCTAAAACCAGGACAATTTCCAATTATTGTCCCTATCCTGATAGGCCATGCCTTCAAAATGTTTTAAAGATGGAACTGCAGAATTAAATTTAAAGAGTGATAATATCCCCCTGCAAAAGCAATAGGGGAATTTCTTACCCATACACGGCGTGACACTAGACCCCAATCAGCATACAACCAGCTCTATTCTCACTTACCTCCCCCTTTGTGTTCCTTCCAAATCTTTGCTCCCCCTCAGGTGTCTTTGGGAGGATGACTATATTCAAAAATTATCTCTCCCAAATGTGAAGCCTAGGACTCCTTTGTAACTTCAAAAACACACACACATTATATATACATACATACACACACATACACACACACACACACACACAATAGGTCACGTAGGATTAGAAAACAATAGTACTCACCTAGTTTGTCATCGGTATAAAGAGTATAATCAACCATTGATTTCAGCTCCGTGCTTTGTACAAGGTAACTCTTGAGTTGGGTCATCATAAGACGGATCTCTTGCAGCATCTCTGTACTCGAGCTCTGCTGGGCCATCATCTCCAAAGTGTATGCCTTATAGTCCTGGACTAAATTGCCAAAATAGGACTCCTTGTCCTGAGCTAGCTCAGTGATTCGCTTCTGCAGTTTTCTATCTGCAGACATAAAAGCAGTGAATACATTGGTGATTGCTACTATAGACAATCTATTCCTAGCCTTGTCCAACATAAAAGATTGCCTCTTTTTAATGGAAGGGCTGCTTAGCCTTTCTGCATCATCTTCCGTGCTGCTGGTAGAGTAGGAATCCTGGTCTGCATTCAGTAACTGAGATGAAGACCCACTGACTGGGGAATTCAAAGATGTATCAGAACCTTTTAATTCTTGAGAGGCCACAACTTTGGCACAGTCATCTTTCCTTTGCAAGCAGTCGACTTCAGTAACACTGCAGGACTCCACAGCTTCTAAGATCCTAGAACATTGCGGAGCCCCATTTTTTTCTGCCTTCTTCATACTACCAGGATCTATAACATCAAACTTGAGAGAAAGTTTTTTTGTTCTTGGGGGTGGAATGGGAGGTGCATTTTTTTTGGTCTTTCCAATCACTTGGTCTTGTTGGCTTGGTGATGGTTGTCCATGAACCTCCGCTGAAGTCTTTGATTCAGGTATGGGAATTCTGGCTTGACATTTTAGAGGACTTTGAATTTCTTTTTGAGCTTTATCCTTTTTCTGATTAAAGTTATTTGCTATTTCTAAAATTTTCCCCGATTGTCTTCTACTTGGAACAACTGGTGGTAATCTAGAGTGACATGGAGTTTGAGCTCCTGATGAACCAGAATTATTTCCTTCATCGTCTTTTTTGTCATCTACGCTGTTGATTATCATACTGCTACTAGACTGACCAACAAGATGTAAATCAGCACATATATCCTTAGAGATTGGAGACAAGTCCTTTGTTGTAAGAGTTGTAGGGAGAGGAGATGCTTGTGAAGAAAAAGAAGTTGAAATGACACAAGTCTTCTGCGGGGAGAGCGGACAAGATGCAGATGGAGATAGTGGTGTAGCAGTTACTTCAATCGAGGAACACTGAATGGAAATATCAGTGACAGAATTAGAAGATAAACTATGATCAGCCAAAATTGGAAGGAGTGGTGAAACCGGATAGGAAGTTGTTACATTTGTGGGAGGAGCAGAAGGAGGAATGGATGGAAGGGGAGGACTATGAAGAGCTGCATGTGACGGAGGTGGTGGCGGAGGTCTTCTGTAGACAACTTTTGGTATTTTATTTTCAGTGTTTGCTATGCAGTTTTGAAGAGGAAGTACATCAGGAGTCTCTGTGTTGCTAAATTCTTCTATAAAAATAGGGTTGACAAACCACAAACTGTTGTTTCCTGCAGAAATCTCAATTTCACACGTACACTTGCCATCGTCCTGAGAAACATGCTGGTCAGAGTTTACACTAGAAGTTCGTAAACTACATCCACGTGAGGGAAATTTCCCAGAGTGTGAGACCATTAAGGTCCTCTTCTCCCTTAAAGATGAATCCCAGAAAGCTGTATTGAGAAAACAAGAATTAAAATATTGTTATTTAGAGAGAATTTATGCAAGCAATTTTTATAAATACTATAACATTTCTGTGATTGAGAAAGTGAAAGAAACGCAGACTAAAAACCGTATAAATCCAGAAGTGGTCAACAGGGAGATTTCCAGCTTTTGGGAAAACCTCTACTCTAGCAAAGCATTCTGGGGGTTGTAAATCCAGTTGGCTATGGGGGGCTTGTTTCTTCCGTGACGTGTTAGAGAGCTGTTGTGACTGAGTGTATTCTATAATTCTCTCCATAGCATGCTTTTCTTTTTCTAAAGGAACACTCCAAACTTAGAATGGTTTTACAAATTACAAGAGTCCTGCGTCTGGGTACTCCATACACTGAGGAAAACGGCTATGCAGGGCCATTCTCGATGGCTTACAGCAACAACTGTGCACTCTGCTCTCAGCCAATGAGCATAGTCCTGTATTGTAGAAGACACATCAATCACCTTGATCTTTGATGTACTTGGTGCAGAATTGCTTTAAAGAGAATACGTCATAACTGGTTTAATTTAAAGCAGGGTTCTCCTAATTATGGCCCTTAACAGGTTTCTGAACTACAATTCCCATGACTCTTAAAATAAATAATTTTTTTACTCCTTGTGCCGCTGGCATGTGGTTATAAAGCCACAGAATGATTTGCATATGACGAGGTCAAACTTTTTAAAGGGCATTAAATTAAAATCTAAAGCTTTGCTACCATTTTTGCTAGCACAATCTTTGGTTAAAATGTAATGCTTTTTAATTTAAAGAGACGCTCAGGATTGGTATAGCAGTTCAGCTTGCTGTGTGAATAGCGCGTCCTCTTTTTAAAAAAAATTTATTTGACAAAAAATGAAAATTTCAACAGAAATTGGCAATTTTATAAATTAACCTTGCTACACTCCCAGCTGTCCCTAAGACAACCGGTTCTGGTTGTTTAGTTAAAGGACCACTATAATGCCAGGAAAACAAACTCGTTTTCCTGGCACTATAGTGTTAATAGGTCCCCCTCCCGCCGGGCTGAAGTGGGAGGAAGGGGTTAAAATCTTACCTTTCTCCAGCGCCGGGCTCCTTCGGCACTGGGGACTCTCCTCCTCCTTCCGACGTCAGCCACTAGAGGCTGGATTAACCCATATGTAAACATAGGAGTTTCTTCTGACACTTCATTAAGCTGAAGTGGTCTGGGTGCCTATAGTGGTCCTTTAAGTTGAGCTAACTCTAAGAAGCAGCAATTGCCCAGAACACCTGTTGCATTGGAATGTCTGTGATTGGACAGCCACAGAACTTCTATGTTGGAAAAGGGGAGGGCTTACATTAAATATATATTAAACAGTACTTTTTGTATTTGGGTAGTGGAGTGTCCCTTTAAGTCTTGGTTGTATCTACCAAGATAGACCCAAAGACCCTATAGTGCCAGGAAAACAAGTTTGTTTTCCTGGCACTATAGCGGTCCTTTAAAGTCTGTATTGCTTTTTCACACCATCTTCCCACATGGGCCATTTATGCTGCAGTATAGATGTGAAGGTAGATGGTTCACAGAAAGCTAATTCACATCTTTTATTTTCAAATACTACAGATAAGACTTCACCCAAAGTTGGTATAGTGGGTGCTTTCCAGAGTCGGGAGACGATGGAATTTGCTGAGATTACACGATGGCCTGGTATAATTTGTTTATATCTAAGCAGGTTAGAAGGAATTTGCTGAGATTAAAAGATGGTGCCATAAACCATCCAAAAGATAAAAATCTTCCTTTTTTCAAAAAAATAAATAAAAAATGCTATACTTGGACATAGTGTGCAGGAGGAGGCACTAAGCAGAGATAGGCCATCAAAGGCACTTTCTCTGCCACTCACTGTTCAATTTTACTTTGCACTACACTTGACCTTTTCCTGCCCTGCTTCTGACACTTACTAAAGTAAGAATGGTCGGGAATTCAAAATTAATTTCAAATCTTAGACCAAACAGCTGAATTAGAAGCATTGCGGATTTGGAATAAAATTTCCAATTCAGCGATTTTGGCCTTAAATCTGAAATTCACTTTAAATTTACTTTAACCCCTTAAGGACCAAACTTCTGGAACAAAAGGGAATCATGACATGTCACACATGTCATGTGTCCTTAAGGGGTTAAAGGGAAACTATAGTCACCAGAACCACTACCGCTTAATGTAGTGGTTCTGGTGTCTATAACCAGTCCCTGCAGTGCTAGCACTGTAAACATGGTCTTTTCAGAGAAAAGGCAGTGTTTACATTGCTACTTAGGAACACATCTAGTGGCAGTCACTCAGACTGCGACTAGAGTTGCTTCCTAGTCCAGTGCTGCACAGTGTGCAACATTAGCGTTCAGCATGTCCAAGCTCTGTATGGAGACGCTGAACGTTCCCCATAGAGATGCACTGATTCAATGCATCTCTATGAGTAGATGCTGAATGGCGCAGTGCTGTGTTTTGCTGCGCATGCGCAATAGCCTCACAATGCTTTTCCTTAGATTGATGATCTCAACCATGGAGGTGGGCCAGCTACAGTGAGACCAGCTTGGCATGGGAGAAAAGGTGAGTAAAACACATTTCAATGCAATCTGTCAGGGGGCCAACACCTAAAAAGCTATAGTGTTGGAAATCCATGTTTGCATTTCTGACACTATAGTAATCATTTCCATTTTCAACAACTGTCGCTTCAGTAAATACCCCTCTGAAATGTCAAATATTATATCTACCTGTCCCCAGATTGGAAATGGCTTCCAAATCTTCTGAACTCTGCGCTCTGGCGATGACATTTGGCAATTTCAGCGTAGAGGGGAGAATATCTCTGAGGGGACAAAACAGAGCGTTGCGTGACCAGTGCTACAAATAGTGATTCTGCAAGAATTGGTAACCACAGGAAGTTTCACAAGGTCAGAGATAAAGTACCAATGAAGCCACTACATTTACGCAGAATTTAAAGCTTATTGTAAAATTCTTTACTCATCAATTACCAAACAGGTTTACAATACTCCCCCCTCCTCCCCCCAGTTCTGGTCTCAAAGGGTTTTTAAGAATTGTTGGGGATAAAATCAGCCCGGGCCCTTTGTGGATGATGGATATTTGCCAACTCATACAGAGCTCTGGAAATTGGTCCCGCCACAATTACTATTTAGATTTTTTTCCTAGTTGCGTCCTAAATTGCAGGTATTTCAAAGTCTTTTAATTTTGGGCTAGTCTGTGCTGAACTTGTGTACATTCTGAAATGTTTAAAAATAGACCAAACATCAACACATAGTGCTGAATGGGCCAACTGCACCCACAATCCGAATTTGAGGGGAATGTTATTTGTCATTCAAAGAGAATATACAGGGGCAGACTGTTTTATTATTAATTTTGCAGATTGCAATACAAAAGTAATAACCAGCAATCAATTCAGGGATCATGCCAAACTCGCTTTCAAAGCAGGTTTTTTTTAATCACAGCAGAATTCTCGCAAATTTTCCTCATCATATCACTGCATACTCTGCGCATGTAACTACGGGGTAAAACGTATGAACCGGGGCAGAATGGCAACATTGTTTTAGATCAGAGTTTAATAATAAAACAGTCTGCCCCTGCACAAAAGTGATGTCCAAGCCCCCTAATAAAGAGTCCTGTGCTACAGGCACTTATTGTAGCATCTGATGTCTACCACGCTTATCAACTGTATGCCTATACTGTAATATGTTATGTTATACTTGACCACGGTATATGCTTAAACCGGAACATCTTGCCTTGTTCTATAATACTTTGTCAAATAAAATAAAGAATTAAAAAAAAAAAAAAAAAAACTGTCTGCCCCTGTATATTCTCTTTGAATGACAAATAACATTCCCCTCAAATTCGGATTGTGGGTCCAATGGGCTCATTCAGCACTATGTGTTGATGTCTGGTCTATTTTTAAACATTTCAGAATGTACACAAGTTCAGCACAGACTAGCCCAAAATTAAAAGACTTTGAAATACCTGCAATTTAGGACGCAACTAGGAAAAAAAATCTAAATAGTAATTGTGGCGGGACCGCTGCCTAACTGTGAATTGCCCTTTCTATGTGTGAATGTGCCCTCCTGGAATATGTGTTCCCCCTTTGTAATTTTCCCCTGTCATTTTGACCTTAAACCCTGCAAAATACGTTTTAACCACAGGGGGGCGCTGGACCACCCTGATAACCCCCATTTAGAATGTTTAATTAGAATGTTCACACCTCACTAACAAGGAGTGAAAGCCGCAGACCGCAATGGAAAAAGCGGCGTGTGCTTCACCTGATTGGCCCGCGTGCGCGCACAGCCTTCGATCCCTGGTTCGGAAAACCCCCTACCTGCTCCTAATGGAGCTATGATCACTGTTTACACTCAAACCTCGGAGCTACGAGGTTAGGCTCGTAGATGCCCAGGTGAACGCTCTCTCTGGCGGATACCTAAGTGGGGGAGAGAGGGACACGTGCTGCAGGCCCCCGCTGGCGGCGTGGAAGTCCGTGCTGACCAATGGGAGAGGGAGTGCCCGTTCAAACTGGGTTTGCGCCATTCTCCTGGTTGGTCGGCACGAGAGAGCGGTGATTGGTTGATGAGGGACGTCGGCGACCAATCAGAGCAGGAGCGCCCGTTCAAACTGGGTTTGCGCCATTCTCCTGGTTGGTCGGCACGAGAGAGCGCTGATTGGTTGATGAGGGACGTCGGCGACCAATCAGAGCAGGAGCGCCCGTTCAAACGGGGTTTTGCACCCTTTCATCTGATTGGCCGGCAAAGCCCCTGTCACCCCTGGGCGCTGATTGGCTTCGTACTGTTCAGCCGATTGGCGTAATCAAGTTTCGCGCCCTTTCATTGGATTGGGCGGCGAAACTCCTTCCTCTCCCGAGTGCGGGTTGGCGCGATTTGCTGGACTAAACCAAGCAACTCCCTGGAACTAATTTCGGGGATGTACAGAGCCTCAAGCCCCAGACTTTTGGATGCTGATATCTCTGGCTCTATACATCCGATCGCCCCGCTTTTTGCAGGGATCCCAGGTGAGACTCGGGGCTATTTATCAATATAAGTTTGAACCCTGTACCCCTTCCTGTCTCGGAGCGCCAAGTCCCAAAGTTCACTTCCCTGTATGTAATGTGTATTCATGTGTGTCCTTCTGCCTGGGATTGTGTTGTGTTGTATGGAGACAACCTGCAGGGGTCTGTGCATAAAAAGCTGTGTGCCCAAATAAAGATTGTCAAAGGCTGTACCCTGGAACTGTGTGCCGTCCAGTTACTGGGGAAATTGGTCTCACCTCTTATTACTAAAAGGGAGTAACCAGCCGGGTTACCCAGGTCCCGTTACAGTAGTAAGTTAAAAAATATATAAATTATAATAGAATATACAGTACATATATATGACCAAAAATGTAAAGTAATCCTGGGGGTCTTCAGAAAATAAAAATTTTATTTTTATTATCAACATTTCAATTTAATTTAAATAAAAAAAACAACAACTTTCAGCAGAATCTTAAAAAGGATTTTAATTAAAACTGAAATGTTGTGAATTATTTTTTTTCTTCTTTTTAATGAAGACCCAGGAGAACCTTCAGTTTTTGGTGAATTATATTTACTGTCAGCAGGATTAGAGCATTGGGGATTCTGTTTTTCTGAGCCCTTCCTAAAAGCCCTTTGTGGAATTTTTGGGAGAGCAGGAGAAGGAGCACCATCAAGCTCTTAGTTATCCTTTGTAACTTAGAATTATTATCCTCTAATCTACTAAAGAACAAAACATATATAATTAAGAGCCCATTCAATATAAAACTCATTTCTGCTTAGGGGAATGCCCATACTGTATTGGTTAAGGCGTCCCTGAAGGGCACACTATGGGTGTGATGTCCGCTTCCAAAGAAGAAGGGGAAGTTGGCAAATGACTTTCAAAACAGACTAAAATAGCACAGCTAAAAACAAAATACAAAAACAAACAAAAAGAAATAATTTTAAAAAAAAAACTGGAATTTTATTATATTTCCACCTGAAGTGCGTGTAATTTCCCCCAGCAAAAAGGGGTTATAATTAGGTCAGAGCAATAACAAAAATTCTACAGATCAGTCACAGGGAGGTGCCAACAGACTTCCACCTTGGGTGCTAGGTAACCTAGGCAACACCTCTGCTGTACATAAACTTGGGATTGGAGAATTTATCAAATTCAGCTATTTTTGTCTAAAATTCTAAATTTACTTCCAATTCATTATTAATTTACAGCAAGTCACACATTAACCAACAACCAAAGCTAGCATTGCAAAGATGTGGGAGACACTCACCTGCTCACGCAATAAAATGCAATTAATTTGAATATTTCTTCAAACATCAAGACCGATCCCTGCAGCAGCATCACTATCAGGAAACAAAAAAAATTAATGATTTTATTTTTCTGATTTCAAAATTCAAAAGATTAATTCTAAATTTGCGTGTACCTAGCTTGTGAACCCAACTAAGGAAGTTGATATACGATTTGCTTAGTTTATAAAATATAATCTGAATAGTGACGGTAACACATTAAATCTTATAGAATGGAATTGGTTTTTAATTTCATGCTGATAGAACCGGATGCTGTGTGCTGGTGGTGGATTAAGTAGCACGGACAACGTTGATGGCAAATGGGAAAGAGGTACCAGCACCCAGCCACATCTTACTACATGACAAGGTGTACGGCAGGCAGACACACAACCATTGGCCATTACTAGACCACCGGGGCAAGATGAATGAGGGGGAAGAGAGAAGGCGGGAGAAGACATTAACGTAGAATGTGACGGCAGATAAGAACCATTCTACCCATCTAGTCTGCCCAATTTTCTAATACTTTCATTAGTCCCTAGCCTTTTCTTATATGCCTATCCCACGCATGCTTAAACTCCTTTACTGTGTTAACCTCTACCACTTCAGCTGGAAGGCTATTCCACGCATCCACTACACTCTCAGTAAAGTAATACTTCCTGATATTTTTAACCCCTTAAGGACCAAACTTCTGGAATAAAAGGGAATCATGACATGTCACACACGTCATGTGTCCTTAAGGGGTTAAACCTCTGTCCCTCTAATTTAAGACTGTCCTCTTGTTGTGGTAGTTTTTCTTCTTTTAACTACGGTCTTCTCATTTACTGTGACGATTCCCTTTATGTATTTAAATGTTTCTATCATATCCCCCGTCTCGTCTTTCCTCCAAGCTATACATGTTAAGATCTTTTAACCTTTCCTTGTAAGTTTTATCCTGCAATCCATGAACTAGTTTAGTAGTCCTTCACTGAACTCTCTCAATCAATATCCTTCTGGATATACGGTTCTCAGTACTGCGTACAATACTCCAAGTGAGGTCTCACCAGTGTTCTGTAAAATGGCATGAGCACTTCCCTCTTTCTACTGTTAATACCTCTCCCTATACATCCCAAAATGTTGCTAGCATTCCCTGCTGCTCTATTATATCAGAAATAATCACCCCTAAATCCCTTTCCTCAGATGTCGAGGTTAGGACTGTATCCTATATTCTGTACTCTGCCCTTGGGTTTTTACGTCCAAGATGCATTATCTTGCACTTATCCACATTAAATGTCAGTTGCCACAATTCTGACCATTTTTTCTAGTTTACCTAAATCATTTGCCATTTGGCTTATCCCTCCTGGAACATCAACCCTGTTACATATCTTAGTATCATCAGCAAAAAGACATACCTTACCATCAAGCCCTTCTGCAATATTACTAATAAAAATATTAAAGAGAATGGATCCAAGTATCCCTGAGGTACCCCACTGGTGACAAGCCCAAGCTTTGAATATACTCCACTGACTACAACCCTCTGTTGCCTATCACTCAGCGACTGCCTTACCCATTCAACAATATTGGAATCCAAACTTAAAGATTGCAGTTTATTGATAAGCCTTCTATGTGCAACAGTTCAAAAGCCTTACTGAAATCTAGGTAAGCAATGTCTACTGCACCACCCTGATCTATTATTTTAGTTACCCAATCAAAAAAATCAATAAGATTAGTTTGGCATGATCTCCCTGAAGTAAACCCATGTTGTCTCTGATCTTGAAATCCATGTGATTTTAGATGCTCAACAATCCTATTCTTTAACATGGTTTACATTACTTTCCCCACTACTGAAGTAAGGCTTACTGGCCTATAGTTGCCCGACTCCTCCCTACTATCATTTCTTGTGAATGGGCACAACATTCACTAGCTTCCAATCTTCTGGGACTACTCCTGTTAACAATGATTGGTTAAATAAATCTGTTAATGTTTTTTACAGTACACCACTAAGCTCTTTTAATAACTTTGGGTGTATTCCATCAGGTCCCATTGACTTATTTGTCTTTACTTTTGACAGTTGAAATGGAACCTCTTCCTCTGTAAACTCACATGTAACAAATGACTAATTTGTCCTTTTTCCTAACTGAGGTCCATTTCCTTCATTTTCAATTGTAAATACTGAACAAAAATATTCATTGATGCATTCAGCTAGACCTTTATCCTCTTCTACATATCTTCCTACTTTTGTTTTTAATCTAACTAATCCATGTTTTACTTTCCTTTTCTCATTTATGCATCTAAAACATGTTTTGTCCCCTTTTTTTTCCTGACTGTGCTATTTTCTCTTCTATGTGTCATTTGGATGCTCTTATAAATCGCTTAGCCTCTTTCTGCCTAATCTTATACAAAATCAGAGGAAAAAGGATAATATAATAGTGTAGGGTAAAATGACAATAAGGAGACAGATGGAGTGACAGAGGGGGACAGGAGTGTGAAACGACAATGGACATGAGGGATGTCCGGCCCCCGTCATGTGCATCCTTACAGTATCTATTATGCTAATTGAACATCATAGGAAAAGTCATACGATGTGAGCTGTAACTCTGGATTCTCAGGTAGGAGGAGCATTTTGCTGTGGGCCCAGTTAGCAGTGGATCCTGGGAACCTTGTTCATTTTACTTTTCCATTGGGTGTTATCACTGTGCCTCTTCTGAGGCTGTGACATCTCACTTTACTATCCCATGTGTCAATCCGGATGTAGTGGCAATATAAATGTATCTTTCTACATCAAAAATACTTTTTTTTTCTCAAAATAAATAAAACTATTATTTAAATGTGCTTACTTTGGGCAATATGTTGTGCACCAACGGGATTATATTGTATACTGCAAATTGTTGCCAATTCTACCTAACAACTTTGTATTAGTGCACAAGTTACTGGTACCAGGAGTATGTCAAATCCATCATCGCAGACACAGCGAGCAAGTTTTGATTTCCTCCTTTGCTATGTCAATGCTGTGTGCATTGTGTGCTCAATTAGGACTGATCTCTGTCTCTCACTTTCAGAGAGAGTGCCAACATGTATGCCATCGTGGTCTGCAACTCAGGAAATCACTGCATGCTGAAAACAGTTCCACTCATCCTTTGTGATAATTGGAATTTCCTGGACAAGTGTATATAGGATAACATCAAACTTCACAGACCAGGAAGGGAGGCTCATGATCAGTGAAGTCTCTTTCTGGTGATTAAGGACCTGCTTTTATCTGCTGGCAGTCACTTCGAGATATACACGGAGGGAAAAAGTATTTGATCCCCTGCTGATTTTGAAAGTTTGCCCACTGAAAAAGAAATGATCAGTCTATAATTTTAATGGTAGGTGTATTTTAACAGTGAGAGACAGAATAACCAAAAAAATCCAGAAAAATACACGTCAAAAAAGGTATAAATTGATTTGCATGTCATTGAATGAAAGAAGTATTTGACCCTTTCGACTTAGTACTTGGTGGCAAAACTCTTGTTGGCAATCTTCCTGAGTTGTGTTTCAAAGCTGTGGTATACAGCAGACACATACTCCAAGGAATCCATGTGTAAAGTGGAATTATGAGGCAAAAAAGTGGTTCTTTGTTGAGCTCATTTGCATATGCCTACCCAGAATCCCTTGCAGTAGTACTAGCACTATTAAAGTGAGATTTCTTTGGCTTGACTGGTGTAAATAAATAGCCTGTGTCCTTGCACTCAGACCAACCCTCCAATGTGGGAGCCAGGTGCATATAGCCAAAAATAATATACAATGGAAAGAAGGCTTGCACTCACGGTCTTTTGAAGAAAATAGAAACTTCTTTATTGGGAATTAATCCATAAAATCACATCAACGTTTCAGCCCTCGTTCGGGGCTTTCCTCAGGATGAACTGACCACCAGAGTGTGTGTGTGTGTGTGTGTGTACACACACACACACACCTGAGGAAAGCCCCGAAAAAGTATTTTTCTAAAAACAAAACATTTAAAAATAATCCTATTGCTTATCTTTAAGGCTAAAGGCTAAAATGGTTACGCTGGAAAGAGAACCACCATACTGAGTTTCCAATTTAACCATTTTGGCCTTGCAATTCCCTTATCTGTGTTTAGTGAATCAATGTCACTGCGATGCACAGGATGCAGGACAAGTAGTGGAAATTGAGTGAATGCACTGTGTCCTAGATTCAGTTCTGTGAGTGATAAGAAGTGTGATCCCACCCCAGACTTGTGTTAATCTAGTATTAAATAATTGCATAAATGCTAGACCAAGCATGTCAAACTCGCGGCCCACAATGGACCTCCTTGCGGCCCGGGGAGCCACGAGTACATGCCTAGTGTAAATGCAGAGCAGGCACCTGCTCGCCCCGCATTGCAGGTGCCTACTCTGCTATCATTTACCGGGCCGGAGGAGAGGAAGCAGACACCGGCGAGGGAGCTCAGTGTTCCTTATCCTCACTGCTCCCTCGCGCCATCTGTAGTGATGCTGGGAGCCGGAATATGACGTCATATTCCGGCACCCAGCATCACTAAACTGCACGCGAGGGAACAGGAATACTGAGCTCCAGATAGAAGATTCCACTGGACCCCAGGGAATGATGTGAGTAAATGTGTGTGTGTCTGTGTGTGTGTCTGTCTGTCTGTGAATGTGTGTGTCTGTATGTCTGTCAGTGAATGTGTGTGTCTGTCAGAAAGTGTGTGTCGGTCAGTGTTTTGATGGCCGTGGCTGGACAGTGGAGTACCTGGAGGTGCACGGAGACACGCCACGTCACATTCCAACGTGAAGTCGACGTGCTCTACCTTCACAGGGTTTCAAGAAGTAGCGTGAGGATAGGCATTGGCACAGGGTGCAGACGGTGCCTTTTGGGGAATACCAGAGGCCGTACTCCGGAGTCGCATACTGGCAGCGGCAATGTAAGTGGAGTCTGCTTGTTGGCTAGAGGGGGTGCAGGGATTTAGTACAGAGGGTGCTGGGATTTAGTAGAGGGGGGGGGACTAGGATTTAGTAGAGGGGGGTGCAGTATAAAAATAAACCTACGTTTCTATGAAAATTTAAGTAGTTCTGTGATGGGATTCCAGCATGGTTAAAATTTAGTAGGCCAAAATCTCCATGTGGCATATGTGTATGTTGTGTCAGTTGGTTAGCTACATGTAGCTAGGATACTGTCATCAGTGTACTGAGCATGTGCAGGAATGCAGGAACTGAAATTGCACTTATTTCCTTTGTCTTGGATGAGCCATGTGGTTTGACTAGATGTACAAGTCTATATTCTGCTCATTGATTGGTCTGAGGATATAGGGGGGTATACTGTATGGGAGGAGATATGCAGTTAACAAAAGTCCCAAGCCACAAGTATATGTCTCTCAGAATGTTGGAACAGGAGTTCATCTGAGACCCGATCGGTAATGTGAATAAAGGCCTGTTACTTCCTGAAGACCTGTGTCCAATATTTCTGTGTTTGGCTTCTGCATGCTTACACTGCAACATTTCTGGTGCAATTGGGCCGGGAACCTCATCGCACGGAAGCTGGCACAGAGATTTGAGACGGTAAACTTTTACCAAACCTTCTACGCTACAATCCTGGACTTCTACTGCGTGGACCTCCTTTCGTCTCGGCGCCACTGGCCTTTTGTCCAGGAGATCATCGGCTTCTGCGCAGTGAGTCCCGGATTGTTCCGTCTATGAGTGAACCCAGGTTCAGTAATTAACAGGTGAGATTGATACCGTTAGAGCGGTAGACCCACAAGGGGTTTTATATTTGGAACCGGTTATTGGTATTGGCCCCTTCAATAGAAGGAAGAAGTGAAAGCGCAACACTTATCTGGAAATTAGACGCTCTGTAGTCAGCCCGTCTAATATAGGTGGTTTGGGTCAGACTGAGTTGTGGTGTAAATAGCTCATGTCGGACACCGGTGTCCTGTCTTGACTAGCGTATCTAGGGTGTAAATTTTGTTCGCTAGGTCGGGGGGACCGGGAGACTAGCATACTCTGTTGTATATTATAGTTTGCTAGATTTCACCCTATCTTAACTAAGTGTGCTCTGTTGTAAATCCAGCCACTAGCTTATTGATAGTTTAATAGACTAGCTGGGTACTGTGTAAATTCTGCCCTCTAGTTCGCTATACGTGGTGTCTGGGCAGCGAAGAACTTATCGAATCTCTGGTGTATAAATAGATCGAAAGCTCTCGAGGTGCTGGCCAGTTAGAATAGTTGGGATTATTGTAAATGTTGTTAAATATATTGTAGTTGGTGAATTGGTTAACTTGTATGTCCTACTAGAAAGTTAGAGCTCTGCTGTCTAGTGGGAGTGTAAATTGTGTGTATAACTGTAAAATAGCGCACGGTACCATAACTACTGACATGTACCATAACCACTGACATTGTGTAAAAATTACTAACAATTGCTGTTTTATGTTATATGTATAATGCCATAACTGTTACTAACTGATCTGTGACTTTAAAACTGTATTATAACCACTTACTAACTGTACCATAACCACTGACTGTAAAGATGAGGTTACTAGAATGTGATATAGTTGGTTAGTCAAAAGTTGATTTATAGTACGGATAATTGTAGAGATGAAATTTGTTGAAATGTTATGTGATCGGTTAGTTTATATGGATTAATAGCGTGGATAGTTGTATGGTTTGAATAATAGTTACATTGATAAGTGTATAGTCTTTGGTGGGTTTTTTTGATTTAATTTTGTGTGTGCGACGTCGTGATATTGTTGAGCATGTGAGGATCCTGTGTGTGTGTTTGGGCCTAGTGACTGCGCAATGTGTTGCTGGTGATAAGGAGATTGGTGTGACTGTTGAAACTGTGTGTATATTTGTACAGCTTTTTGAATCAGACGTTCTGTTGAAATAATCTGATTCACTTGGCTGTTAGTCTTTTGTCTTGTATGTTTAAAAAAAAAAAAAAAGTAGGGAGTAGCTTGTCCTGGTGGCCGCATGGCCTCCATGTAGCAGTCTTCACTTAAATTTAGTGCAGGGTGTACATGTGGCTGTAACTAGTAGGCTGGAATTCTATGATCAGTTTCTATATATTGACTGTTGGAAACTGATTGTTGAAAATTGCCTTGGTGAATTAAACTGTGTTATATGGGAAACAATGTAGCCATATGGTGGTCAGAACTAAGGACTTAATTACAACTGCTTTGGACATCCCCTCCCCCCCTGGCATCTGATTACCAACCCCCAAACATCCTCCAGAGCCAGAGTAGCCACGCCCATTTCTTACTCCCAAAACTGGTATATAGTCAGTATTTGCACTCCCCCTGCTCTACTGTCCCCGCCTACCCACATACCTATCTGTTCCTGTGTTTCAAACTCTTGTATTTCTGTACTACCCCTCCCCCTAATCAATGATCAATGGTATCAGATGGTATATTGGTTTTTTTAGTTACTGGATGGGCCCCTCCCAGCTTTGTCCAAAATGTCCCCTTTTACTAAACTACAAACTGAAATGTTTAATTTACCTTAGAACTAAAGATTTAATCAAGCCTAGCTAGCAGGGTGGACATTGATTAAAATAAGTAATAATAAAATAGGACATAATTAATTAAAGTCTATTTGTTTCATTTGACTTTAGGGAGGCACTCTAAGCCACCTACTGGCCATCTTCGGGAGTTACATTGATATTACATTGTTTATAACAGATAGATGTAGGATTGCTTACCCTATTTTAATATATTTATTGCTATAAGGTTTTATTTTATGTATAAATATATTAAAAGTTGAGTTTTCTTATTAGACCCATAAAGATTATTTTGATACAATTACCCTCTGGTGACACCTACTGGTAGGTTTTTGGTTTAACACTTTAAAAAAAAAACGTTTTTTCATCCACCAAATGCTGACTAATAAAATTAGCTCACCCCCTTACACCTATCTTACTACTCCTAGACTGGAACCTATTATTGGGCAGCCTTGCCGAAGTCCCATATTAGACACTGCTTGAGTCAAATAGGTTGTATACTCCCTTTAATCCAGAGGCCCCTGAAAACTTCCGAATGATAGACTCAGCATTTGTCAGCCAGGCCCAAGGTGATAGTAAAAGGAAATTACAGAAATTAGAGGGATTTGCAGGGATGTCCATAATACAGCTAATGGAGATTGCAAATACAGTATATATGAATAGGGAGATGGAGGAAGAACGTAAAATGAGGAAAAAGGCAGATATGCTAGCGGTAGCTATCTTAAGTGTAGAAAGACAGGGAAGTGAATAGAGGAGACGAGAATAGGCTGAGCAAGGGACTTTAAGTAGGAATTAATGTGCGTATTGTAGAAAGGAGGGACATTGGAAGAGTGAGTGTCCACAGAGAGAGCAGTATGAAGGTGATAGACAAGGAGAGAGAAGGGTATGAGGAGGTTATAGTGGTAGTTATAGAGTAAGAGGAAGTTTTAGAGGGAATGGTGGGAATAGTAGAGGAAGTGTTCAAGGAGACAGATACTATCCACCCACGCAGAGACCTAGAGAAAGAGAGGATAGAGATTTTGTGGGTCTGGCTGACACTATCATGGAAGACTATTGATACCGACTGGGCTCCATCCCACTTGGTCGAGCGGAGCCTATGGTCGATGTAGCAATAGGGGGAAAGAGAAGTTCTTTCATGATCGACACAGGTGCTGAACATTCTGTGGTGACTAAGATGGTGGCTCCGCCTTCGGGGAAGACTATAACTGTGATAGGAGCTACTGGGAGAAGTGCAGCTAGACCGGTTCTTAAGAGTCGCACTTGTATTCTGGGAGGCCATGTGGTGAAGCATTAGTTCCTATATATGCCAGAGTGTCCGATTCAACTTTTAGGACGAGATCTATTATCGAAGCTTTAAGCTCAGATAACCTTTTACCTAATGGATTAACATCTCTGAAGTTTAAGGGATTACCAGGCATAATGGTGATATCGGTGCCAAGGGAAGAAGAATGACGCTTCTATTCCATAGTGACAAGTGTTAACCCTAAGAGTGATGAATCCTTATTTGACATTCCAGGAGTATGGGAAGAAAATAATCCTCCAGGACTTGCTCGTAATATCCCACCAATACATATTGAGTTAAAGCTCGGGGTGTATCCTGTTAGCCTTTGTATGTTGTTCTTTTATCTACCCCAACAGCTGTAAAGGTGGCGGAAGTGACTCCTTGGATTCATCATTCTAAGGTTAAACCAGCAGCAGACTCTTGGCAAACTACTCCAGATCCTGAGAATCCTTGCAGGACCCGGTTGAAGCGTGCAACTCAGTCGGAGTGACGAGGGGATATCGAGACATTCTAGTTAAAAGTCTACAAAGATCATCAAGTAGGTGTTTTGACGGCCATAATAAAGCCTGACCACCTGCCTACGTGTCATAGCCAGAGTATCTTGAAGGGATCTCTGTGAAGGAAAGTGAGGATCAGAAGAACAACATCCTTGCAGCCCTCACAATCGGGAAGCTGAGAGGCCATCGCACGGTCGAAGAAAAATGAGGATTTCAGGAATAATGTGTTTTATTGTGTCTTAGTATTTTTATGATTTTTCAGGAAGGTAGGAGTACAGACATACCGAATTGCGATAGTTGCATTAAGACTACTAAAACAGGTAACCAAATATCCCAAACTCTCATCTGGCACTCACAGTATGAATGTAAGGGATCTCTATCTAGATGTAGATATTTGGATATTGATTATAGTGTGTGCAAGCCAATATCAGGAGAGTCTAAATGTTTTGATCCCCATTTCCAACCCCGTACAATTTGGTTGGTAATTCGGAATAGTAACTCCCAGGGGACATTAATAAATAGGACTGTGATAAGCACCATACATTCCACGGGTATTCTACTATTTGATGCATGTAAGGCGATTTCGGGTAGTGGAAGACTTTGGAATGTATGTGGTAATCTTAAATGGGAACGAACTTATGGGTTTAATGATAAATACTTATGTCCCAGTAAAAGATCTACTGATCCTGATTGCCCAAATAGAGACTAACTTCTGCCCCTATTTGTCATGTGTAGGTTGGGCAACCTGGGAAAAACAGTGGATCAAGATATGATTATCCAAAGGTTGCCTACCACACCATACTGTAAAACTATGTGTGTAACCCCGTTCACATGACCATTTCCAATCTGCAGTACTTTATTGACAGGCTTGGAGGTCTGTTTGGGTTTCAAATATATGGCACAGGAGTAGATTCAGGAACAATAATATATGTAGGTCTTGAAACTGAGACAGTGGCAACTCAAACTCATCAGGTTTCTCATTCCTTCTATGAGGAGATGAGTACTGAGGATAAAATTCCCCATAATGTTAACAACCTATTTATTGATTTGGCTGAGGGTATTGCAGGTAGTCTTAATGTAACTAATTGCTATGTGTGTGGAGGTACTAATATGGGAGACCAGTGGCCTTGGGAGGCAAAGGAAATATGGTACCCTGGCTCTGAGACATATGAACAACAGATACCTTTCCAGTCTGATCATCAAGTAAGTACTAGAAGTAAATTGGAATGGTGGTTAAAAACCTCCATTATAGGTCATGTTTGGATAGCCAGGAAAGGGACAATGTATAACACGTCTGTAGGTGAGCTAACGTGCTTGGGACAAAAAGCCTATAATGTTAATACTAAAAATACTATTTGGTGGTCAGCTTCAAATGTCTCGGAACCTACTAATCCGTTTGCCAATTACACTCATTTAAAGGAGGTATGGTTTGACTTATCGGCTACATCTAGTTGGAAAGCCCCAGCAAATTTATACTGGATTTGTGGTAAGAAAACTTATTCGGAGTTACCACAAGATTGGGAAGGGGCATGTGTATTAGGTATGCCAAAGCCATCCTTCTTCTTGTTGCCAATCGAAACAGGAGAGACCTTGGGAGTTAAGGTTTACGATGTAAATCATAAAAGGGAGAGAGCATCCTTGAATATAGGTAGCTGGGAAGATAATGAGTGGCCCCCTCAACGTATTATTAATTATTATGGACCTGCTACTTGGGCAGAAGATGGCACTTATGGATATAGAACTCCGATTATCTATGCTCAACCGCATTATTAGACTACAGGTGGTAGTTGAGATTATTACTAATGAGACAGCTCAAGTGCTTAATCTTCTAGCTAAGCAAAATACCAAGATGTGATCAGCCATATACCAGAATAGGCTAGCCCTTGATTACTTACTAGCAGTAGAAGGAGGTGTATGCGGAAAGTTTAATCTAAGTAACTGTTGTCTGCACATAGATGATGAAGGGCAGGCAGTGGCTGAACTTACAAGCCACATGGTTAAATTTGAGCATGTACCTACTCAGGTCTGGAATGGGTATAACCTAAGTAGTTGGTTTGGAAGTTGGTATGAGCAGCTTGGAGGAATTAAGACATTAGTAGGAGGAGTAGAATTTATTATATTTTTTGTGCCTCCTCCTGCCCTGTCTAATTCCACTAGTGGTAAGGTCCCTACGTAGTATTATAGAGAGTACTATAGAGAGAAAGACAGCGGCTCATGTAATGGCTGTCTGGAAGATATGATCCCCTAGCCCGAAGAGAATATATTCAGGATGAAGAATGTTGAAGGAGTTTTTAAGATGCTTACAAGGTCTACTCTGGTTCAATGGCTACTTGAGAGATGTAGGTAAAACTGTGATTGGTGATGCATCTGGAATAATGTTATATCAGAGGCATCAAAGGGGGGAATGTGATGGGATTCCAGCATGGTTAAAATTTAGTAGGCCAAAATCTCCATGTGGCATATGTGTATGTTGTGTCAGTTGGTTAGCTACATGTAGCTAGGATACTGTCATCAGTGTACTGAGCATGTGCAGGAATGCAGGAACTGAAATTGCACTTATTTCCTTTGTCTTGGATGAGCCATGTGGTTTGACTAGATGTACAAGTCTATATTCTGCTCATTGATTGGTCTGAGGAATATAGGAGGGGTTATACTGTATGGGAGGAGATATGCAGTTAACAAAAGTCCCAAGCCACAAGTATATGTCTCTCAGAATGTTGGAACAGGAGTTCATCTGAGACCCGATCGGTAATGTGAATAAAGGCCTGTTACTTCCTGAAGACCTGTGTCCAATATTTCTGTGTTTGGCTTCTGCATGCTTACACTGCAACAGTTCTTTTTTTTAGCGGCCCACATAAACTTAAGTTTTGTTTACGTGGCCGTGCTAGACTTTGAGTTTGACATGCTTGTGCTAGACAATTACAGTTTAGGCAGATCTCAGGAAAACCAGTCACCAAATCTGATCCAGAGTAATACATTTAACCATAAAAAGATTAAAACGAGAACTCCATGGTCTCAGTGTGTTTTTCAGAGTACAAGAGTCAACCGGCCAATGACCTAGCCAGGTGGAAAAGTGACACAAATTCTATTTTTTTTTTTTTTTTATACATATATATATAATTTTACAAAGACCCTGGTAACGTCTGCAGGCACTTTGGTTTTCAAATAAACTTTGCAGCAAATTACCCAATATCAAAGTTTTGTCATGTTAAACTGAATCTTAAAGAGACATCACAGTCACCAAAACAACTTTAGCTTAATAAAGCAGTGTTAGATCATGCCCCTAAAGTCTCACTGCTTAATTCTCTGACATTTAGGAGTTAAATCACTTTTGTTTCTGCTTATGAAGCCCTAGCCACACCTCCCCTGACTGTGACTGACACAGCCTGCATCAAAACAAAATGGTTTAATTTTTAAGCAGATGTAACTTAATTTAAAAGTTTTTACATCCTGCTCTGCAAATTGAACTTTAATTATATACAGGATGCTCATGCCGTGTCAAGCTAGCTATTAACAGAGCAGAAGGTAAGATATTCTAACAGAATTTGCAATAAAAGAAGTGTAAACATTAGATGACTCTCTACAGGAAGTGTTTTGGAAGGCTGTGCAAGTCACATGCAGGGAGGTATGACTAGGGCTGCATAAACAAAGCGTAGTAACTCCAAAATAGCAGAGAATTGAGTAGTGAGACTGTATCTATATACCAAAACTGCTTTATTAAGCTACAATTGTTTTGGTGACTAGATTGTCCCTTTGTTGTCTCCATTTCAAACTCGGCAGGATTGAGTTCCTGTGGCATTTTGTCAAGTTAAATTTCCCATGTCTCAAGTTTTGCAGCTGAGTTCACTTTGAGAAATACTCAAAAGCATAACGTTAAGATGACAGGTGAGTAAATCTAGCCTGGGGCTCTCCAGATTAGCGGTCAAAACAGGTGTGGCCAGAATCCTAACTGTTGCAGAACTACATCTATCATGATGCTTTGCCTTTGCCAGCCTTACAGAGGATAATGTGTAACCTCTGTGGCTGGAAAAGTATTTGAAAGGTTATTAAGGGATAATATTCAAGAATTTCTCGAGAAGGACATGTTATCAGCAAAAATCAGCACGGTTTTATGAAGCACAGGTCATGTCAAACTAACTTGATTGCGTTCTACGAAGAGGTAAGTAGAAATATAGATCAGGGTGTTGCCGTGGATGTGATCTATTTGGATTTTGCCAAGGCGTTTTATACAGTTCCACGCAATATATTAGTGTTGAAACGCAAAGAAATCAGTCAAGATGAAAATGCTTGTTCTTGGGTAGAACATTGGCTTAAAAATAGAGTACAAAGAGTTGTCATTAATGGTAAATTTTCAAGCTAGACATAGGTGGTAAGTGGTGTCCCTCAGGGGTCTGTTCTGGGACCCCTTCTATATAATATGTTTATAAATGATCTTGAAAAAAAGCATTGAAAGTCATGTTTCAGCGTTTGCAGATGACACAAAACTCTATAAAGTAATAGAATATGAGCAAGATATTACTTTGCTGCAGAGAGATTTAGATAGACTGGGGGACTGGGCACTCAAATGGCAGATAAAATTTAATGTTGAAAAACGCAAAGTTATGCACTTGGGCGTAAAGAATGCACAAGCAACGTATACCCTTAATGGAAGCGAATTAGGGATAACAACACACAAAAAGGACCTCTTTAGTTTAGAAAAATGTCGCCTGAGAGGGGATATGATAACATTATACAAATATATCCGGGGCCAAAACAAACCATCTATTGACAAACCGGACTTTAAATAGGACACAAGGTCATGCGTTTAGACTGGAAGAAAGAAGAGTTCGTCTAAGGCAAAGGAAAGGTTTTTTTACTGTAAGAACAATCAGGATGTGGAATTCTCTGCCTGAAGAAGTGGCTTTATCAGAGTCCATACAGATGTTCAAACAGCTACTAGATGCATACTTGGAAAAACAGAATATTCAAGGATATAATCTTTCAATGTAGGGTAATAACTGCTTGATCCAAGGATTAATCTGATTGCCATTCTGGGGTCAATAATTAATTTTTTTCCTAGCTTGTTGCAAAATTGGAAGTGCTTCAAACTGGGTTTTTTTTTTGCCTTCTTTTGGATCAACAGCAAAAAACAAATGTGAGGAAGGCTGAACTTGATGGACAGCGGTCTCTTTTCAGCTATGTAACTATGTAACATAGGAGCTGTAGTTCGCTAGTGATCTAATAACATTTTAAGCAATCTAAAAAGCCCCGACCTCCACTCCCCTGTTGCCCCCTAAATATATGATAGATTATATGTTCTTATTATTCAAACAGATTTCTACAGTAACGGTAACCTAAACAAGTTGTCTATGCTTTATTGCTTACTATGGAAATGGCATAAGAGTGAATTTACTTGTTTTCTCTTCCTTGATGTTGTATCGCAGAACATCTGCCGTCTTATCTTGCATTGTGTAACGCACCCAGAGCACCATGCATTTCCGTTCCACGTCTCGTGTCACCAAAAATACCTAATGCAAACAGAATACAAATAAGTCCATATGCAGAGTACAAATCCTAGCAATTCTATTGCCAGCATAAATTTGACTGACTTGCTCCCCATTGCAAACACTAGTTAGAGTTTTTCAAATAAAACAAATAAAATGTGGGACATTTTTGGTTGTGATTTCTGAATTACTAACACCTCTGTATAACGTTTTGGCTACTTACCTCCTGCATTGCACATGGGGATTCATTGACTGTGTATGGAGTAGTATATTGTAATTCAAACTCCAAAAGTAGTTGAATTGGAGTTTTTGTCTATTTAAACCCTTCCCGATAAGGGTAGGCCTAGGGTTAGGGTTAGTGTTAGTCCCTAATCCTAAAACAACATTAACCCTTACCCTACGCAAACACTAACCCAAACCCTACCCCAAAACGTTATACAGATGTATACGTAATTCAGAAATCACAACCAAATGGATTAGGGACATTGTAGGGTTAAGGGAAGTACAGTTAGAGTTAAGCATTGGGTTACTGGTAGGGATAGTATAGCATGGGGGGAGGGGGCTGGTATAGCATGGGGGGGAGAGGGGAGGCTAATATAGGTTTGACAAAAACTACCAAAAATTAGATTTGTGGTTTGGTTGTTTTAATTGCACATTACATATTATCCACATTTAATATTGTATTAGGTATACATATAGGTCTACGACAATAAATAAAAGTCCTTTCTGTCCTTTAAAAAAATATATATATGTGATGGGGCACTTAAAGAAATACCCTTAACTAACTGTGGAACAAACCCATGTATTCCTGACACTATTGTGGTAAAATAACTATTTAGGTCCCAAGCCCCCTCTCTTTACCTGAAAAAGATGATTAAATTCACCTTTTTCCAGTGCCGTGCCAGTCTCGCCCTGCCTCCATGGCTGAGAGCATCAGATTTTACCATCTTAGTCAATCCAATGCTTTCCCAGTGGAAAGCATTGGGAGGCTATTGCCCATGTGCGGAAAAACACTTCCCTGGCCAATCGGCACCTCCTCCTAGAGATGCATTGAATCAATGCATCTCTACAGGGAAATTTCAGTGTCTCCATGCAGAGGGTGGAGATGATAAACGCCAGTGCTGCACACTGTGCAGCATGGCCCCAGGAAGCACCTCTAGTGGCCTTGTGTTCCTAGGCTGTAATGTATACACAGCCTTTTGTCTGAAAGCGTAGTGTTTACATTAAAACGTCTGCATGGAAAGGCTATAGATACCAGAACAACTACATTAAGCTGTAGTTGTATTGGTGACTATAGTGTCCCTTTAATGGGGTTACAAGGTGAATTTTGTTTTTAACTTACCAGAATTAGTATTTACTTAGTAAATAAACCCCACAACTTCCCTTGCATTCTACATCAGTTCCTCACATAGTGAAATCACATTAAGTCACATTACGTTGATATAAGCGGTTATCTCGGCAGACCAACTACTTGGTATGGTTTGCACTGGTATTGCAGAATACATCAGTTATGAATGCATTGAACTATTGACTAAACTAACTAGGGTGATGCAATTTAAGTCTTGCAATTGGCCAATATTATGGGCTCATATAAAATTAAATAATCTCTAATAATGTGGGCTAAGCAATTTTATTTCTACAAGTCAAACCTTGCACATTCAAAATATCTTGCATATAGTGAAAATGACTCACTTGTGCTAATGAGCAACGAATACCTTAGGCAGTATTTATCAATGAAAAATAAATACAATTATTGAGCAAAAGGCAAAAAGTGGGCCAATCAATACGAACATTCCATTAAATGCTCCAAATTCAGCAGATTAAGTGGTTTCACTATTGCCTTCATAAAGGAAAATTTAATACTGGATATTGTCACAAGAAAATAAATAAATAATTTCTTGTATTTTTAGCGTTGTGGCTGAAATACACTAGTTAAGGACTGAACACACGCCACAAATCAGTAGGAAAGTTTTTGCGGTGTCTGGGGACAAAAATACAACAGTTTTTATTCATTAAACAGTGGACTGTTGTAGCTTGAGAACGAAATGTCAAACTTGACAAAATAAATACAATTTCTATATATATTTGAGAGGAAAAAAAATGCAAATTTGCGAGGCTGAATTGAAAAAAATAACTACAAATCCTAGTCTACATTTTGAAGTTTAATTAATATTCATCCAAATATATATTGGTTTATTGAATATTTTATATTTCAACGTTTATTTTCTGTAAACACCATCATTTTAAAACTATGCATTTTCAGCTACACCAAAACATTTCAACTGCTTTAAAACATGGATACTTTGAATACAAACAAGGCTGGTTATATTCCTTACTTATGGATAATTTCACACATCTGGGAAGGGAAGTGTAAACAATGACAGCTGGAATTCCAGTGTTAACTAATTCGGATTTATAGTCTATATTCTCTGTCACAGTTGATATTTTTTAACGAACATTCATAAGCCACACACAGAGCAATGAAAAAGCAATAAATAAATAGGCAATGGATATGTCGGATCACTAATGTAATATGAAAATTGGGCCAAAAAGAAGAATGAAATACAGGAGAAGAGGGGTATTGGGAACAGTTAAAATAACTGCTCCATGTTAAAATGAATAAAATGTCACATACTTCTTCCATGATATGCTCGGTTTTCTTTTAAAATGTATATTAAAGATTTAGTAAGTGACATCATAATGCAGCCCAGTTTCAGTCCAGGCACAACCAGGGCACACAATGCAAATAATGACATTGTTTAACCCCTTAAGGACGGAGCCAAATGTACACGTTGTGAACGAAACAAAATGTAAACAAAACCTGGCATTTGCGCTACATGTCTGTCCAACTGTAATTCACCTATTTCATAGTAAATGCACCCACCCTTATTATACAGGGAGTGCAGAATTATTAGGCAAATGAGTATTTTGACCACATCATCCTCTTTATGCATGTTGTCTTACTCCAAGCTGTATAGGCTCGAAAGCCTACTACCAATTAAGCATATTAGGTGATGTGCATCTCTGTAATGAGAAGGGGTGTGGTCTAATGACATCAACACCCTATATCAGGTGTGCATAATTATTAGGCAACTTCCTTTCCTTTGGCAAAATGGGTCAAAAGAAGGACTTGACAGGCTCAGAAAAGTAAAAAATAGTGAGATATCTTGCAGAGGGATGCAGCACTCTTAAAATTGCAAAGCTTCTGAAGCGTGATCATCGAACAATCAAGCGTTTCATTCAAAATAGTCAACAGGGTCGCAAGAAGCGTGTGGAAAAACCAAGGCGCAAAATAACTGCCCATGAACTGAGAAAAGTCAAGCGTGCAGCTGCCACGATGCCACTTGCCACCAGTTTGGCCATATTTCAGAGCTGCAACATCACTGGAGTGCCCAAAAGCACAAGGTGTGCAATACTCAGAGACATGGCCAAGGTAAGAAAGGCTGAAAGACGACCACCACTGAACAAGACACACAAGCTGAAACGTCAAGACTGGGCCAAGAAATATCTCAAGACTGATTTTTCTAAGGTTTTATGGACTGATGAAATGAGAGTGAGTCTTGATGGGCCAGATGGATGGGCCCGTGGCTGGATTGGTAAAGGGCAGAGAGCTCCAGTCCGACTCAGACGCCAGCAAGGTGGAGGTGGAGTACTGGTTTGGGCTAGTATCATCAAAGATGAGCTTGTGGGGCCTTTTCGGGTTGAGGATGGAGTCAAGCTCAACTCCCAGTCCTACTGCCAGTTCCTGGAAGACACCTTCTTCAAGCAGTGGTACAGGAAGAAGTCTGCATCCTTCAAGAAAAACATGATTTTCATGCAGGACAATGCTCCATCACACGCGTCCAAGTACTCCACAGCGTGGCTGGCAAGAAAGGGTATAAAAGAAGAAAATCTAATGACATGGCCTCCTTGTTCACCTGATCTGAACCCCATTGAGAACCTGTGGTCCATCATCAAATGTGAGATTTACAAGGAGGAAAACAGTACACCTCTCTGAACAGTGTCTGGGAGGCTGTGGTTGCTGCTGCACGCAATGTTGATGGTGAACAGATCAAAACACTGACAGAATCCATGGATGGCAGGCTTTTGAGTGTCCTTGCAAAGAAAGGTGGCTATATTGGTCACTGATTTGTTTTTGTTTTGTTTTTGAATGTCAGAAATGTATATTTGTGAATGTTGAGATGTTATATTGGTTTCACTGGTAATAATAAATAATTGAAATGGGTATATATTTGTTTTTTGTTAAGTTGCCTAATAATTATGCACAGTAATAGTCACCTGCACACACAGATATCCCCCTAACATAGCTAAAACTAAAAACAAACTAAAAACTACTTCCAAAAATATTCAGCTTTGATATTAATGAGTTTTTTGGGTTCATTGAGAACATGGTTGTTGTTCAATAATAAAATTAATCCTCAAAAATACAACTTGCCTAATAATTCTGCACTCCCTGTATATCATTTTATTCAGGGGAAACAGGGCTTTCATTTAATATCAAATATTTAGATGTGAAACATAATTTAATATGAAAAAAATGGGAGAAAATATTTTTTTTTAATTTTTTTAGTTCTACATGACATTTTAACTGTCAATGTCATAATACTGTTTGCTTTTACTGCAATACAATACACATTTTTATTCAGCAAAGTCTCACGTGTAAAACAGTACCCCCTATGGACAGGTTTTATGGCGTTTTGGGAAGTTACAGGGTCAAATATAGCACGTTACATTTGAAATTGAAATTCGCCAGATTGGTTACGTTGCCTTTGGGACTTTATAGTAGCCAGGAATGAAATTTACACCCATAATGGCATACCATTTGCAATAGTAGACAACCCAAGGTATTGCAAATGGGGTATGTCCAGTCTTTTTTAGTAGCCATTTGGTCACAAACACTGGCCAAAGTTAGCGTTAGTATTTGTTTGTGTGAAAAATGCAAAAACGCCAATTTTGGCCAGTGTTTGTGACTAAGTGGCTACTAAAAAAGACTGGACATACCCCGTTTGCAATACCTTGGGTTGTCTACTATTGCAAATGGTATGCCATCATAGGGGTAATTTTCATTCTCGGGCTACCATAGGGTCTCAAAGGCACCGTAACCAATCTGGCAAATTTTAATGTGAAAAAAATGAAACGCAAGCCTTATATTTGACGCTGTAACTTTTGAAAACACCATAAAACCTGTACATGAGGGGTACTGTTGTACTCGGGAGACTTCGCTGAACACAAATATTTGTGTTTCAAAACAGTAAAAAGTATCGCAGCAATAATATCGTCCGTGTAAGTGCTGTTTGTGCGTGAAAAATGCAAAAAAACTTCACTTTTACTGGTGATATCATCGTTGTAATACATTTTACTGTTTTGAAACACTAATATTTGTGTTCAGCGAAGTCTCCCGAGTAGAACAGTACCCCCCATGTACAGGTTTTATGGTGTCTTGGAAAGTTATAGGGTTAAATATAGTGCTAGCCAATTAAATTCCCTTTACTTTCGGGATGGGTTGTCATGCAGGTCCCGCTAATTGTAATTAATTAAGATACCTAATTATGTAAAAATATTACATAAATATATATGTAGAATTAATATATGTATATATATATATACATATGTGAATCTATATGTGTATATCTATATCATTTTTTTTAAATATTTTTATTTATATATAGGTATATATAGTGATATATACGTATATATTTATGTATGTAGATATATATTTCGTTCTACGTGTATTTTGATATAAATATATATATTAATATCACAATACAGTTAGAATGAAATAACACATCTATATATTTTTTTTATTATTTTGTTTTAATTTTTTTTATTTTAATTTTTAACGTATTTACATATTTAATTTTTTTTATATTATATATAAATATATATATAACAATAATTATATATATATATATATATTTAACCAGTATCAGTCTACGTGTAATTTGATATTAATATATATCGCTAGGACCCCACTCTCACATGGCCGGGGGGCTTCGACGATGACGGACGTGCCGCGGGGGGCTCCCTGGGAGTAAGTAGGCAAAAACCGGAGGGCGTACAATTACGCCCGGCGGCGTTTAGAGCCGCCTATAATAGGGCGTAATTGTACGCCCTCCGGTCTAAAGGGGTTAAAGTTTTTCTTCTTTCACAAACTCTGTTTAACCCCTTAAACACATGTGTGACATGTCAGGATTCCCTTTTATTCCAGAAGTTTGGTCCTTAATGGGTTAAAGGAATGCTATAGGCACCAAACTAACGTTAGCTGGGTGGAGATCATGCCCCTGCAGTCTCACTGCTCAATTCTTTGATATTTACGAGTTAAATCACTTTGTTTATGCAGCCTTTGTCTGCGACTTACACATCCTTCCTAAATACTTCCTGTATTACGGAGATCTAATGTTTAAACTTCCTTTATTGCACAGCCTGTTTAGTTTAGAATTTCTCATCTCCTGGTCTGTTAAAAGACTGATAAAGCATGCAGGAGCCTCCACATGTGCTTAAAGTTCAATTTACAGAGCAGGTGATAAAAATGCCTAAAGCAAGTTAACATCTGATTGAAAATGAAACTTTTTTTTTCATGCAGGCTGTGTCAGTTAGAGCCAGGGGAGGTGTAGCGAAGGCTGCACAAAAAAATAAAAAATAAAGTGATTTAACTCCTAAATAACAGTGAATTAAGCAGTGAGACTGCAGGGGCATGATTTATACATCAATTCGGCTTCATTAAGCTGGGTAATTCTATTAATTAGGTGAAATAGGTGCGCGGCTAAGGTATTGCACTTACTGGGGCCTTGCAGGCACCTGTCTCACCTTATGGGAGACTGATCAGTCGGCCCTTGGTCCGGACAAGGGCCCAACACCAGGAGGGCATCTAGCAGCTTGTCCTGTGTGCTGCTTGGTATGGGACCCCTCAACTCAGTTTGCCTAGAGATGAAGAGAGCACCCAGCCAGCAGGTGCAGAGTTGCAGATCGTGAAATAGGTGTCTCACAAGCTCCAGCCAATCAGATCATATCTGCGTGTTACCACGGCAACGCTCAGACACTTCAAGTGCAGGAGCTTGAAAGACAAGTACGACATGGTCTACAACTCTGCTCCCGGCAGAATGGATAGCTAGCCCAGCGGATCACCAGGAAATTGATTACTGCCAAAATAAAAATATATTACAGTGCAGGGAGGCTGGTCACTGGAAAAGAGTCTCCACACACGGTCATCCCCCCTTCACCTTGCCACACTCACATTAAAACCAAATACTGTCACACCTACCACTTCCAACTATGTCAACACTCACCCCCAGCCCTGTCACACTTGCCTCCCCAGTGACAATCCATCCTCAATCATGCCACGTTCACTCCAATCTTGTGATACTCACTCCCCCTAACCATGCCAAACTCACCTTGTCACATTAAGCCCCTTATTCTGTCACTCTTCCCTCCTCCAACTATGTCAAATTATTTTGTTTGCAAATTATGCCATAACTGCAGCCATAGAGCTCACAACGCCGCAGAACAGGGATCCGCAACACTACGAGCCTCTGAACGATGAATACAGAGACTAGCTGTGTCCTGTGCTGCAAGCCCGCCCTCCAATATAACTACAGCTTATACACTCACTGTAACGGCACCCTCAGAATAAAAGGGTTAAACCGCCGTTTAGGAGATCTTCCCCTTCCAGAGACACAGGCACAGCTACTGCAGAACCCCAAACTCCCGAACAGGATACCAAGTAGCACTCCAAACTCACGAACTGGAACCTCACGAATAGCTGCTAGCAGCTGAACAGGAAAAGCTCCCAAGCGGCTTACACGCCTGGCAATCAGTCTCTAACAGCATACAGTAAATCCCCCCAAGAACGAGACAAAGCTCCGCGTTGAGGGTCAAGCAGTGAACAGACAGAGCTGTGGGTTTATTGTTCTTATGTACACATTCTTACACATTAGTACCACCCACAAGGTTTTGGAAAACAACCAATAAACATGTACAATACACTCAGACACTCCCACACAAAATCCTCCCCTCTGCCTGTGATACAATTACCTTACACAATGGGTAATGTAATTATAACAAGCAGAGAAATAAAATTTGTCCACATTATTCATAAAAGTATACATCATATTCACATAAAACCTACATTTTCAGAATTAGCATACTCCAAATACAAACATATGTCAAAATCATCCAAATTGGTCCAGTGGTTCACAAGATAGATCGTAGTCCTTTGTGACCAAATGAAGCATGGCTTTTCTGCGCAAAACCAGTTCCACAGAGTCTTCTATCCTGGAGATAATTGGGAAGTAATCCAATTATCTCCAAGGACAGAGGCAAAACTCCATTAAACACATGGCAGCAAAAGACAATAAAACACATAAAAACATATAACTGTGCAGCCATTGCACAAAACAGGTACATTCAACAAATCCCCAGATAGCCCAGATCTAAGCGCACATTATTACTGAATGGCGCTCAGAGCACACACATACAGTTCAATTGCCATGGAGCCAAAATCTTTCCCATAGTCTTTCATTATACGAATGGGCTCCATGGCATAGCTATCTGGGGTATCACCGCTCAAACAGGGCCAGCACCAAATGACCCAGCTTTCGTGTCTCCGCAGGGGAAAATCAAGAGTTTCAACATGGGGCCATATTCTAAAGGCAGCAGGCAGGCAACCAGGCTCCTCCAATGCACAGTGGCGAGAGTGGTCTCGTCACACTCACTAACTCACTATGCAACCCCTATTTATTTCCACTATGGGTGTTAGCAGGGGAGTCATGTTTGAGTTTCTCCTAAGGCCCTGCAAAGTGTAGAGTTGCCACCGTTTGCTGCCTATATTATTTGTTTAATGGTAGAAAAAGGCAAACATTATAACGAATATTGACAGGGAGACATGGTGTTGGTGCCAAACTCCAGGAGAAATGTGTGGATTTCTAAATTTAATTTTACATTTAAGACTTCTGAAACACACTTTTTCTAATCATAGGGCACGAGTAAACATACTATTAAAAATCCTGTTTGCACAGGTGTCAGCACATTTTTCAAGTGAAGAGACCTTTAATGAACCAGATCCCCAAGACAAGGGCTCATAACACTGACTCTACAAAAGGTAAAAAGGGGGGAAATGAGAAGGAAATGTTAAAGCTGGAAGAATGGTTTGACTTCTGCTGGGCATTGCTCCCGGCCTCTACTACCAGAGAGCAAGAAGCTCTAAAAAATCAATATCGATCGATCCCTACTATATATGTAAATATAAAGCTCAGTGAAGGTCTGTCTTATACGAAATATAAAAGGTGTCTCAACCCAAACGCAACTTACCCCATCTGCTTCTCCCTTCAGTATCTCCACAACTTGCTCCTGAGACATGCACAGCTGGAGCCAGACCGGGCAGGTTTTTATCAGCCGGTCTAAGAGGCTCATCCCAGAGAAGACTGGACGGACCCTCCGTTCTGGAGTGGAATGTTCCTTCTTCGGGTGGACAATGTCTGCAACAGGACTGGAGGAGAGACCAAAAGATACACTAGTAAGACAGGAGTAGTATGAGCCACGAATGGTAAAAAAAAATAATAATCATAAAAGAGAAACAGTCCCAGCTCCAAAGTGGATAATATATTAGAAAATGAGGATGTAAGATGCAGCCAGAGTCCAAGTTTGGAAAGACATTCTGCTAAAGGGCAATTGTGAGCAAATAACCTTATGTGTCTCACCAAGAAGAATAAGATGAGATTTAGCATCTCCAAGTAGATCTTGGTGGATAGATATGAAACTCTGAATCGTAGTGAAGTGAAATCCAGAAGGCAAAAACAGCCAAACTGTGACTATTGCCAAGATGGAAATGCTGCCAATTTCAGCTATTTTAGCCTGTTTCGGGTTTGAATTTGTTACAATTTGGCGTTAGGGAATGGACCTCTTGGATAGGAGCAAATATGGTGCACCAGACAATAAGGATTCTCTGGCTGTAATGATGAATATATTATGGTCTGATCAAATTATCATCATTTATATAGCGCCAACCTACAGCACTTTAAAATAATACAAAGAGGATAAAACCGCAAATAAGAGGCAAACTATGACAAATAACAAATACAAGCGGTTTCTGTCCACTCAAGCTTACAATCTGACATTAGTGTATACATTATGTAATTAAAAATTAGATTTCAAATTTAAAACATAACCATCATTATATCAATGCTACAATCTTGCAACGCAAAAAAAAAAAAACAACCCACACAGCAGCATCATAGCGCCTTTTATAATGCAGAAACAAGTACAATAGCATACTTACTGCTGTTGATGCAGGGTACAGCAGTGCACCCAGGGATGTAGGCTTAGGGGACATCCTGGCAAAGAATCACAGGAGGTGTAGTCCACAGCATCTTAGCCCAAACCCTAATTCACCTAAAGCTACAGAGTCGTCTCATGCAAAAACATTTCAATGCCAAAATTTGCTTAAGATCAAATTGGTCACCCACTTATTTAGTGTATATTCTGCATACTTTTTTTAAATATAATTTTCCCCATAGTTCAGCTATCAAACAGGTAATAACTCTAGAATTTGAGATTAAAATACAAGTTTATCTTAAATTAAGCCCTTTGTGCCAATACACATGTGTACCAGCAACACAGGCTTGCAAGCACTCTCATAAAAAGTTATAAGAGAGCACGTAACAGACATACTAGTTAAGACATGCACATGCCATAAAATTACTTTGTTCAGTTATTATAAATCATTAAAGTGCTAAATATAAGAATGTACTGCCAAGCAGACTGGAATACCTCTAAATTCCAAAGAACGCAAAATATATTACAAAAACTGTCTCTGGTGCAATTATTGTGAATAAATTACCATAAGGTGTCACTGCAAAAAAAAATGTGGACATCTTTAGAATTTGCAGTTTCTTAAAGGGACACTATAGTCACCAGAACAACTACAGCTTATTGTATTTGATCTGGTGAGTATAATCATTCCCATGAGGCCTTTTGCAGTAAACACTTTTCTTTTCAGAGAAAATGCAATGTTTACATTACATCCGAAGGATATAGCTTCAGTGGCCACTTTTTAGATGACTTCTAGAGGTGCTTCCTGGGGCAGTGCTGCACATTGTGCAACATGGACATTCAGTGTCTCCATCCACCCTCTCTGCATGCAGACACTAAACTTTCCTCATAGATATGCATTGATTTAATGTATCTCTATGAGGAGATGCTGATGGACCAGGGATGTGTGGCTTGTGTTAGCTCTGCCCCTGATCTGCCTCCTTGACAGTCTCAGCCAATCCTACGGGAAAGCACCGTGATTGTCTCAGATAATCACTTCTGAGGATGTCAACCAAACAGGAAGATCAGGGGCAGAGCCAGCAGCAGCAGACCACTAAAAGTAAGATTTTACTATATTTAAAGGGGGTCCGGTGGGGGGGGGTTGGAGTTAGGGGGGCTAGATGGTGGATTTAACACTATAAGGTCATGGATTTGTGTTTTCTACCCTATATGGTTCCTTTAAGGTAACAGTATCCTGATTTTTTTATGCACTGACAATTGTAATGGTCTGTGGCGCAATTAATGTGAATAAATACACTTTGTAATATAAAGCATAGATTTATTCCGTAATGGCAATGAGGGGGAGGAAGGAGACTTAAAGCGACAGATAATAGTAACATAATGCAAGGAGCCAAAGGGAATTTATTTTACCACAACCTATTACAAGAAGGATAAATATTTGTGGAGTTCGGAGAGTCCCATTTAACAGAACAATTACATGGTTCAACTGACTGCTTGCTAACACAGGATGTTTAACACTGCATGAATGGTTTCCCTAAGGGAGCAACAGGAGGATGGTAAATGTGTTAAACTCATAATCCATGTGAGTGAACACAAACTCGAGATCGTGCACATTTACCATTTGTTCCTTTCGTATAAAATAATTAAACAGGAGGTACAAGGAAGCTGCCAGGATTTCCCCTGAAATTCAGATACAAAAGAGAAGCATGATTTCAGTCCTGTGCGTCTGTCTTATCTGCATCCTGTCCACGTCTTCCTCCAGCTAGAATGGATCTTTCCTGTGGAACATTCAGATATCGGAACCCAAAGGCTCATGGTGTAAAAGCTATTGTGTCAGTGATGATGTAGCTCACGTTCCATCTTTAAGGAACATACCTGTTCGCAGCACAATGGGGTTTATTTGCAAAACATTTAACTGTATTTAAAAAAGGGAAATTTTGACAAAAATAATCCAGCTGTGATTTAAGCTTAATTGTGGGAGAATTGTTCCAAATCAGCATTGTTTGCTTAAATTTTGGAATATGATTTACAATTCACTACAATTCAGTGATTGATGAGAAAGGTCTTGAGAAAAAAAAACCAAAAAAAAACAAATCCTACCTTCATAGCTAACAGCATATTAAAGGGACACCGTAGGCACTGTATCTGCTTCATCTCATTAATCTGGTTATAGTGTCTGGAGTCCCCGGTACCATCCTTTCTTTTAGCATTAAACATTTTCTAATGTTCTAATGCTAAACAAAAGCCCCAGGCAGTCCATCCCCTCTGTGCTGCTTTGGCTAATAAGGAAGTATTAGCCTGTGCAGCATTGGGCAACTATGATTGACTGAGAGTGTCAGCTGACTGCTTTTAGCCAGTCAAAGCTCCAACTGGCGGTATGAATGGGTATGACAACAAGGAAGTGTGTAATCTCTGCCTTAGCTACACATACAGAAGGGGCCGGACTGTGGGTGGCCAGGGACTCTTATTTTGTGGCATACTGCACGAACATGGTAAAACATAGAATGGAGGGACAGTGCCAGGGCACTCCAGGCACTATAACCAATTCAAAGAGATGAAATGGTTATAGTGACTACAGTGTCCCTTTAACGGACAATTCCAAAGCAAACAGACATACATGGCATATGCAACATTATATACAGATCATTGTACGTCCTGGAGCATCAAGTTGATTTTCAGAAGCTTGCTAGGGTTGTGATGTTCAATAATTAGCAGTAAACAATGCTTGTACGGTAATCACCATTCTCCACCAATCCACTACTTCTCATACTGAGAAGCATTAGCCATGTTCGTGGTCAACGACATGTGCATGACAATGAGCAAGACCATCAGAAGGGGGTAAATGCCCACAATAGGTTCAGAGTCCCGGACCAGTGCAGGGGCCCACATGGGACCCTTTCACATTATGCAGTCTTCTTGGAGAGAACGTTCTCTCTCTTCAAACCAGACTGCATTGAGGAGCCGCTCCATTACTAGCCTAGCTGTGCTCACTGTATAAAAAGATTTCATATCACTTCCTCCCAGAGTGCAAATACAGTCCCATGTGAGAACTGCTAGACTGCTAGAGAGAGCTAAAAAAGATATGGAAGGGCTGCGCCAAATAAGGGTAGATAGTCCAGTAAAGTATTGCTAGGGTGCCAATAGATGGTCTAGGATACTTGATAGAGTTCCTCTGTGGATGCGTCTGGTGTAGACCGTTCCGTATATGTAAATACAAGAGAGGTAGAGGCGACTAATGGTATAGTATGAAAGTTCAGGGTGTGATAGGTAACAAAAAGTAAAGAACTCACATTCAGGAGAGCTATGGCCAGCTCTGGTGTGGATTGCGTACAGCGGTATAATCCCCGCTTATGGGATATGTAGGGAGGGGTCTCCGTCAGCACCGTCTGGTAGTCCAGAGCTCGAAAAAGAAAGACAGAAAGCAACAATAGTGCTCTCAATTTTGATGTGGTTCAATGTGCAGATAAGAAGAGGTAAAAAACTCACATTTGAGGGAGCTATGGCCAGCTCTGGTGTGGATAGCGTACAGCGGTATAATCCCCGCTTATAGGATATGTAGCGGCGATACGTCCGTCAGCACCGTCTGGTGATCCAAGGCTCCAATATAGAAGAATAAAAAGCAGCAATAGTGCTCTCAATTGTGATAGGTTAAGAGAGTAGTAGAGAAAATAAAATAATACTCACAAAGATAGAGCAGAGGTACTGCTCTATGGATAGGCGCTGGTGGTATGATCCCCACCTAGGATTTCTTGGAGTACTGGAACTTTAAAATTGCCAATGGAAGTAAAAGTAACCAGGAAAGGTTAAAATGCCAGGAATAGGTAAAAACAAAAGTTGTTTAAAGTGCATAAAGAGTGCAATAAAAAGAGGATTGGTACAATAAAGTAGCCAAAAAACTTTTATTGATCTAAAATACACAGTAAAATACAGAATTAATAACCATAAATGCGTTTCACCATAAGTGGCTTCTTCAGAATGGGATCATAAACGCGTTTCACCATAAGTGGCTTCTTCAGAATGCCATTCTGAAGAAGCCACTTATGGTGAAACGCATTTATGGTTATTAATTCTGTATTTTACTGACAATAATAAAAATAAAACATTTTGAGAAGAAGGGCAGGGCAGCATTGCCAATTTTTTACATTTTTTGGCACCAAGCCGTTACCTCACGGCGCCTTAGTCTGGTTTTCCGCCCTGCACTGTCCTCGCAGAAAAGCGCTCCAGAGTGCTGACCTCGTGGATCGCTGCAGATACATACCGCAAGGGCATCGTGCAGACCGCTGCCTGATGCCCTCGCGACCCGCTGAGCACTCGCAGGCTTGACGGACAGCCTAGCTAAAATGTGTACATGGTCGAGTGACCATGTACTGTCTGATAATTAATTAGGACACATTAACGTAATAAAACAATGGCATGTTTACCATTGTGCAGTGTACAATCATTAGTAAAAGGAAGAATTTGTGGCTCAATCGTGTCGAGTCCCAGCTTCCACTACTGTTAGCCACTCCAAAGGCGCCCCTCCATTATGCCAGATCTTTCATGCATTCTGGTATAATTTTCCAGCCGGCCTTCGACCTGTGCTCGTATCTGCAGTATTTTGGCTCTGCACACCCAGCAACATAAATCTTATACCCCTGGATCCGGCAGGCTGCATTGGGGTGGAGAGGATAGGCATCCCGCAGTTGGGTTAAGTAGGTGCAGGAGTTAAGGCCGGTGCTTTGAGGTATAGTCGACCGTTGAGGCCTCTTGCGCCTTTTCTTTCGTAGTGGAACTCGCTGGGAATACCCAAGACTTTGGTGTCAGTCCACATAGAGCCTCTCCTAGAATTTCAATCGATCGAAAGCCAGGAGTAGCAGGTCCATGCATATGGGTGACTGTGGCGAGGTGCACATGGCTGTAGGCCCTGGCAGGGTGGCCATCTTGACTGCTAGTCCTTAGCTGTTGTTGAGCTGACCACTCAAATACTGCAGTGGGGAGTGGAATATCTCCCACCAGTACAAGAGGGGGAGGGAGGCCGGGGGAGGTGAGACAGTGAGTCAGGGCTCAAAGCCCCATACAAGGCTGGGGATTTAGGTGTGGGGGAATATTTGGCAGATTGTATCTGTGTGTGCGCAAATGTGTGTCTGGGTTGGTTTGTGGATTGAGCATGTTGAGTTGTGTTCCAAGGGACCCCTTAAAATAATTCTACCTTGAGATCCACAACTACGGATGGTAGCTGTGACGTTGAACGTGAAGGCCTTCAAATACTGAAAGTGTTAAGTAGGAAGTGTCTAAGTGTGACAACCACTAGAGGCATGTTTTTGGAAAACTGTTCTCGGAAACAACAATGTATTACATTTCCAGAGAAGAGATTAAGATATAGTAGTTTAGATACAATATGTTGAAAATATTGAAAATTGCAGTCCCACAACATCTGTTAAACTACGTTTGGCCGTCCCTGATTTACACAATATAGTCTGCACGAAATATACTGCATGGTAAATCTATCATCACTGCCCAGTGGGGAACATTTATGAGGGATTCAATTCCATGGTGTGTGTGTGTGTGCGCGTGTAATAGTGGGGTGTGTGTGGAATAGTTCCTATTTAAGCAGCTTAACTATTAACCACCCCCAAGAGTTGCTATTACGGATGCTGGCATATTATACTACGGAATTTGAGGCATTTATGCACTAAAGCAGGCCTTATGGAGAAGTGACTAAAAAAAATAAAAATTGATGGTCAAAACAGCCGAGCTGCAAAAATAAACATTGAGCTGGATTTCCCCCCGCCTCCTACAAAGTCTAATCTTTAGACCTAAAATTTAGAATTCACCTGCCAATATAAGTCATTTCTTCACAATTCCTAATTAAGAATATAAGCCCCAGAGATGGTGAATGCTTTCCATAGGGATACACTGATTCCATGCATATGTTTAAGGAGATGCTGACTGGGGTGAAACATCAAAATATCTGAGATCATCAAGATTTAAGGATTTCAGCTATGGAGGCGAGGCCAGTCGCTGAGGGAGCAGCACTGCAATGGATTTAAGGTTAGTATAAGTGATTCTTTGCTCCAATCTGGGTGGTGGGGGGTGGGAAGAGTACTATATCATTAGGAATATAGGTTTCTATTTCCTAACATTACAGTGTTCCTTTAAATTATCTTGGTGCCTGGAAAATGCCTGGAGTGTCCCTAGAAGTACAATTATTAGCATATGTAAAAAGATCAGTGTTTCATGGGAATATCTTTAATTGCCATGTTCAGGTAGGTTATTTTATTTTTCAATGTACCAGAAATGATTCTTAAAATTCATATTACTTCATAAAACTGACAGATCTAGTTCAACATAAAGCAGTGCAATAAAAAAAAAAAAAAAGAGCTAGAATGTTTTTTTCAGAGAATAAATATATGCTGACATATAAAAGTGACATATTACGGCCATCTAAAATCAATCCATAAGAGTGGAGTTACCCACCATGGGCCACTATATAAATATGTAACTAATGGCCAGTGTGTTAACCTCCCGAAGGAAGCTGGATAATATTGTCCACATTTAGAAGACAGACATTTCCAAACCAGTATTGTAACTCAGCTGCCAATACTTCCTTAGCTGTGTTATCACACGGTTAGCTTATACCACAAACAATGGAATTCACACCGCAATACCAACATTTTCCCTACAGCTCTGGTTTTTCCAGTCTCCTGGTCCGGAAACTGACTAAAACGAGCAAGCTGCATGACAGATCTGTGAGATAAACAGCCCGGAATACCAGTAACTATGTAACGAACGAACATTGCAAACTCCAAGTCCAAGAACCAATTAAAATGGCTTAAGGAGATTATGCTTTAACTGAAAAGTTCTAAACAGCACCAGGTGTTCTATATAAATATTTTCTGTAGTTCTGCTATGGGACAGAGTCCAACAGTAATGTTTTGTGATTTCATCCAAACCATGAACACGATAATCAGAGGTTTGAGAATAACAACGCGCAGAATGTACATAAAACAAGTTTATTCTAATTAACTACTCATACTGTATTAACTATATTACATAGAGTCGCTTGCGTGATTCTCACTGTGAAAATCACAGTGAGAACACGCAAGCGTCCATAGGAAAGCATTATGAATGCTTTCCTATGAGACCAGCTGAATGCGCGCACAGCTCTTGCCGCGCGTGCGCATTCAGCCGAAGGGGAGGAGAGGAGGCCGAGAGGAGGAGGAGAGCTCACCGCCCGGCGCTGGAGAAAAGGTAAGTTTTAACCCCTTCCTCTCCCCAGAGCACCCTCAGGGCACTATAGTGCCAGGAAATCAAGTGTGTTTTCCTGGCACTGTAGTGGTCCTTTAAGGTTCTGCCACACATACATTTGGGTTGAGATCTGGACTTTGTGCGATTGCAACACCTTCATTATTTTCTTTTCAAGGCATTCTATTGTAGATTTGCTGGTGTGCTTGGGGATCATTGTCCTGTTGCACTTTACAATTTCAGCCGAGCTTGCATTGTTGGACAGATGGCCTCACATTTGACTCTAGAATACTTTGGTATACAAAGGAATTCATGGTTGACTCAATGACTGCAAGATACTGTGGCTGCAAAACAAGCCCAAATCATCACCCTTCCACCAACGTGTTTGAAAGTTGGTATGAGGTGTATGTTCTGAAATGCTGTGTTTGAGTTTCGACAAATGTGGCGCTGTGCATTATGGCCAAACACCTCCAATTTGGTCTCATCTCTCCAAAGGAAATTGTTAAATTAGTCTTGTGGTTTGTTCAGATTTGACTTTGCAAATCTAAGCCGTGCTGCCATGTTTTTTTAGAGAAATTTAGAGCAATTTTTCTGAACATTGCACGGTCTGACCTTGGGGTGAATTTGCTGGGAAGATTGGCAATGGTCTAGAATTGTTTTCACTTTTGAATAATCTTTATCACTGTAGAATGATGGACTTATAAATTGTTCGGAAATGGCCTTATAATAACGCTTTTGATGGTTTGATGGTCAGCAACAATTGCTTCTCTTAAATTATTGCTGATATCTTTCCTCCTCTGCATTATGTTGGCACACAACTCAATGCTCCAGACCAGCAAACTGCTAAATCCTTTTATAGAGGTGGTCATATTTGCTGATGTTCAATTAATCAAGGGCATTTGATTAGGCACCTTGCCTCCTAATTCCTATGGAAGCAGTACTTTGTTTTTCACATGTGGCTTCTCCATTTTTTGTTAAATAAAACATTACACTGTAATATTGTTCATCTAAGGTTGTATTAACCTCATTTTAACACCTGCTAACGAACAGATAATTGTTGTTATGCCCTGATCTGTAAAACCATAGAATTAAAAAAGGGGTGTACTTTCATTTTCTCATGACTTTATTTCCTTCCCCCAGGGGAACCATAGCCAATTTATTCTTTAACACAGAAAAAGAAATAAAAACGGATGTTCGATTCCATGTGGAGCATTTGCAAACATTAATGAAGTTGAGCTGGGTCGTTTTATTTGCTCTCAAAATCAAGAGCAGATTAAAGACAAATGTCAGGCCAAATGATTACTAAATTTGTCTTTTTCTGAATACATCTGAAACATAAACAAAACATCAGAGACGTATGAAAGAGAGAATATGCTTACAGGCAAAGTTTGTGTTTTAAAATCTAGAGAGACAGAAATATTGAATAATGTAGAGATGTGGCACGTTCCAAGAATAGGGGGCAGTGGTGAGACACACACACAGCCGACTGCTCTCAGCCAATGAGCAGCATCCCTGCCCGGCAGCACTTCTCAATTTCTGTAAGTAAAAATTTCAGATGCCGGATGCCACTAGGGAAACGTGGACATCACCACTGGACTGACTCCAGGCGCTTTCTACTCTGTTAATACCCCAATAGAGCCTGCGACAGCCTCCAGTGTGTTCTTAAAGGGACACTATAGAATCAAAACAACTTTAGCTTAACAAAGCAGTTTGGGAGTACAGATCATGCCCATGCAGTCTCACGGGTCAATTATCTGCCATTTAGGAGTTACATCACTTATATTTCTGTTTAGCCACACCTCCCATGGCTGACTTAAATAGCCTGGATGAAAACAACATTTTCATTTTCAGATATTAATTTGCTTTAGAGGTTTTTATCTCCTGCTCTGTAAATTGAAGTTTAATCATACAAAGGAGGCTCCTGAAAAGTCTATAAGCCTAGTCCGAGCAGGAGATGAGAGATTCTCAATTCAGAATGAGCAATAAAGAAAGTTTAAACATTACATCTCTCTCTCACAGTCAGAGGGAGATTTAGGCAAAGCCTGCATAAACAGAAGCAAATATGAGTTAACTTCTAAATGGCAGAGAATTGATCAGTGAGACCATAGGGGCATGATCTTTACACCAAAACTGCTTCATTAAGCTATAGTTATTTTGGTGTTTAGAGTGTCCATTTAAAGTGACACCATAGGCACTCAGACCACTTCATCTCAATGTAGTGGTCTGGATGTCATGTCCTCATCTACGTAACCCTGAAATGTAAAAATGTTCCATTGCAGGGTGTAAATGCCTCTAGTGGCTGTCACTCTGACAGCCACTAGAGCAAGGCTAGACAAATTTGCTTTGAATCTAGGAGCCAGCTAAAAAAAAGTTAGTGCACAGTTTGTTTTATTTTTCAACTATCAGAGCTTTGTTTTCAACTACCAAAATACAATTTTTAAAGGGACACTATTGTCACCGCAGGCTGTTCAAAGTAAACACTACCTTTTCAGAGGACAGGCAGTGTTTACATTGCTACCTAGTAACGGAGGTGTTGGTTTCATAGAGTTATGTGTTTTGTCACACGTGCACTAATCTCCCCTACGGCAAAGCACTGGATTTAAACCTAGGTCTGCCTAACAATGTGTTCATCAATACAAGTCACAATTCAGAGTTGGAAAAAGTTTCCACCAGGTAAACAATGTAAATATCAGCAACAAGCACAATCTGCATAGGTGTGCAAAATACTGTCTGAGCATTACCTACTTCCAATAGAGGACACACAAAGCAAAAACAAACAGAAAACTGCATCTATTCTATAGAGCAAAATTTGCCAACAAATACCTCTTCCCCTCAATCCTTCAGCAAAATTCAAGTGACCAAAGCCTGAATATTCATCTGTATTACAAGTATTAAGAATGTTTGGCCTGTAATTGTGGGAGGGGCATGTGTATTCCCTAATTAAAGGGAACCCTTACCTTACTCCACACCGTTCGTGGTCTGGCGATTGCATGTCCCTCTCTCCACTCCCACTTCTCAACATATCCTCCTCCTTCCTCCCTTTACCTTGAGTGGGCCCTCTTATTTACAGGCCCTACCGCATCGTTGGTTCCGGCACACCACAACCGATTTGCTCTCATATTCTAGACTACTCTTATACTTATCTCTTACTCCATATACAGACTTTTTGCCCCTAACACAAATATACAGTATTGTGTGAGCTGCAAGTTGGCTAGTCTTTCCAAAGACCATTAAAACCAGTCTTAAGTGTATCAGTGAATACCCTTCTTGATAATAAAGGAACATGTGTTCCAGTGGGTTGATTCTACCCTAACTCCAGCTCATGGCACTTTAGTATATCTTGCCTCTATATAAACAGTCTAAACCTGGCGGCATTTTTGCATAGAGATTAGTGATAACTGCTCACTCTTAAAGGATCATAACCATACCTCCCAAGTGTCCTTATTTAGGAGGGACAGTCACTATTTTGGACCGAAATCCATCTGTCCCTCTTTTCTAGGAGCTGCATATTGTTGGTGTGTATGTGTGTAACAGAGCTCCACAAGTAATGTGTCTTTAAAGGGGCACTATAGTCAACCAGACCACTTCAGCTCAATGAAGTGGTCTGGGTGCCAGGTCTCAGTGAAACTGCTATGTTTACATTGCAGGGTTAATCCAGCCTCTAGTGGCTGTCTTCCTGACAGCTGTTAGAGGCGCTTCTGCATGCAGAACGTCCATAGGAAAGCATTGAGAAATTACAGGCATGCTCTTGACGCGCATTCCGCTCTACCTGGGAGCTGACGTCAGCGGGGGAGGAGAGGTCACCAGTGGGGAGTCCGGCGCTGGGTAAAGGTAACTGGCTGAAGAGGTTTTAACCCCTCAGCACAGCAGGAGGAGGACCCTGAGGGTGGGGGGACCTAATGGTTATATAGTGTCAGGAAAACTAGTTTGTTTTCCTGACACTATAGTGATCCTTTAAACTACATAAATATGTATAGAGATTAGTCCGTGGAAATAAGATACATTGTTCTTGTTATAAGTTACAATGCGGTTGCTACATCAGTGTTTCTCAAGCTTTTAGGGAGAAATAAATCTGCAGGTCTAAAAAAAAAAAAAATCCTAAGTAACCCCTGCTTCAAGAAAGTAATTTCAATTGATTTCAATTCCAAATGAAACGTGAAGACACTGACTTTAAGTCAGTCTGTCGCCTCCTGGGGAGCCCTAAGATGGCCAGCTTTCAGAGTACGCTCTGCTTGTGGTGCGCGTACCCCTGGAGTATGCGTACCACAGGTCGAGAGCCTATGGCCTACATTGTCATTAGTTACTTATTTTTTTCAGAACAGCCCAGCTCCTGGCCACACACCCCTAAAATGTATATGTCCCTCTTTGTTCATTTGAAATGTTGGGAGAGATTGACAAATTTGCTTGGAATCTAGGAGCCAGCTAAAAAAGTTAGAAGCCAGTGGGGTTTTTTGTTTTTTGTTTTTAAACTAACAGTTTCATTTCCAACGACAAAAATACATATGCATACAAAATACATATCCTGTCCCTGCACGCTTTATAATGTAAACACATTGCCTTTTCAGAGAAGAGGCAATGTTTATTTAACCCCTTGATGACTGATGACGGTTCAGGACCGTTATTGGGGACCAATGACGGTCCTGAACTGTCATAACGGTCTGGGGGTACTTACCTCAGCGCTTCTCCTAGTCCAGGGGGACTGCCTGTCTGCCCAGGCAGTCTCCCCGCGGCAGATCTGGACCCTGCGGCCATATGATCGCTCAATCACGTGGCTGCAATAGGTGCCTGTGTATCTGCCTGCGGGGGGACTGTCTGTGCAGACAGGCAGTCTCCCTGCAAGTGAAAAATCATAAAATAGTTAAAAAAATAAAGCAATAACTGTAAAAAAATAAATAAAATATATATATATATATCATTTAAATATAAGGGTATTTTTATATTAATATATATATATATATATAATGTCATACGTATATTAATATAAAAATACCCTTATATTTAAATTACACACGTATATATACTAACTATATATATATATATATATATATATATATATATAATAAATTATAAATGTTAATAAAAATAAATAAAAAGTAAAAATAATTTAATAATTAAAAAAAATTATATATATGTAATTTTATTCTAACAGTATTTTGATATGAATATATATATATATTTATATCAAAATACACTTAGAATGTAATGATATATATATCTATGTATAAATAAGTAAAAATACGAAATATACATATGTCCATGTACATAATTACATAAATAATTTCATAAATATACACGTAGATGTCAAATATATAAATATGTATATATATTAAAATTCTACATGCATATTTATGTAATATTTTTACCTAATTAAGTAATTTTAATGATTGCAATTTGAGGGACCTGCCTGCCAACCCAGGCCGAAAGTCCAGAGAATTTAATTTGCTAGCACTGTGATTAACCCTGTAACTTTCTATGACACCCTAAAACCTGTACATGGGGGGTACTGTTTTACTCGGGAGACTTCGCTGAACAAAAATATTAGTGTTTCAAAACAGTAAAACATATCACAGCGATGATATTGTCAGTGAAAGTGACGCTTTTTGCATTTTTCACACACAAACAGCATTTCCACAGATGTATTATTGCTGTGATACATTTTGCTGTTCTGATACACTAATATTTGTATTCCGCGTTTTATAGTGTTTGTGAAAGTTACAGGGTCAAATATAAGGCTTTTACTTTTTTTTTTAAATTGATATTTGTCAGATTGGTTAGGTTGCCTTTGAGAGGGTATGGTAGCCCAGGAATGAGAATTACCCCCATGATGGCATACCATTTGCAAAAGAAGACAACCCAAGGTATTGCAAATGGGGTATGTTCAGTCTTTTTTGGTAGCCACTTAGTCACAAACACTGGCCAAAGTTAATGTTTTTTTGCATTTTTTACACACAAACAAATATAAATGCTACCTTTGGCCAGTGTTTGTGACTAGGTGGTTACTAAAAAAGACTGGACATACCCCATATTGAATACCCTGGGTTGTCTACTTTAAAAAAATATGTACATTTGAGGTGTGACTCGGGGATTTATGACAGATAACGGTGTTACAATGTCAGTATTGATACATTTTAAATATATATATATTGAAACAGCAATTTCCTACTTATATTTTTAGGCCTATAACTTTAAAAAAAAATTAATAAAGCATATAAACACTGGGTGTTTTTAAACTCGGGACAAAATTTTGAATCTAGTTAGCAGTTTCTTTCATTAGCTTTTGTAGATAAGTAAAAGATTTGTCAAGTAAAAGTCCAAAACATGTTTTTTTCAATTTTTCACCATATTTTATTATTATTTTTTTTTTATGAAATACATGACATGATACAAATAATGGTATGTAAACAAAGCCCTTCTTGTCCTGAAAAAAAACCAATATATAACTTGTATGGGAACCGTAAATGAGAGAGAGGAAAATTACAGCTAAACACAAACACCACAAAAGTGTCAAAACTGCTCTGGTCCTTAACGTACAACATCACAAAAACAGGCCGGTCCTTAAGGGGTTAAATTGCTACCTAGTAACACCTCTAGTGGCAGTCACTCGAGGTGATTCCTAGTCCAGCACTGACCAAAGAAGCATCTCTGATGGCCAACTGAATGATTGCCACTGGAGTAGTTGCTAGACAGCCATGTAAACACTGTTTATGTTTACATTGAAAATCCTGCAGTGACATGCTACAGAGACCAGAACAACTACATTAAGCTGTATTTTTGGTGTCCCTTTAAGGCTATCGGGATTAATAGTGGAGACAGGGAGAGGCAACATGGAAGACTCTAGAAAGAAAACAAAATATTACAATACAAAAACAAATTTATTCTTTAAAATAAAGGGGGTGTCAGTGCACTCCTACACTGAGCTGTAGTGGTTATGGTGTTTGAAGCGTTCCTTTAAGAAATTAATATTTTGGCAGAAAATGTATAAAAACGCAGCTACTAAAGAGTGGGCTGAGGTCAAAATAAGTTTATTTTAACGGCTTCCTCAATATTTCCTCTTGTTGCTACCAACAACTATAAACTTGAGGTTAATAATGCTCTCATAGCTGGCAACAGAGAAATAATCGCCTCAGAAAGCCCAGAAGTATGGGCGTACACGCTACCAGGTATGTGAAGAAATAATGTACATGGCATTCTGTGAAAAATTCCAAAGCAGTGTCTGCAAATCAGGAAGTGATAGAATTCTTGAACAAAACACAATTCACAATGATAAGTATAAGAATATATATACACACACACACACACACACACACATTTAAAAAAAAAAAATTCTCTCTTTTTTTTTTTTTAGACTAACACAGAGCTTAAATCCCAGCCTTCAATTTGTGAGCCGGTTCCCTCCAAGCACAATCACTCGGGCCCAATCATCAATAAGGGTCGCCTGAAGGAGCAGAGCAGGAAGATCACAGCTCCCTTGCCGTCTGCCTACAGTACGCGCAGCTGATCACTCACTGGACACCATGAAAGTGGATCCACTCCAGCTCTCCCAAAGGTAGGGAGGCTGGGTGGGCTTAAATTTTATTAAAACATATAAGTTGTGAGTGTGTGTGTCAGTGTATCTATCATGGTATGAGGGTCTGTGTCTGTCAGTGTATGTGTGTATATGTTACGATGACCAGCCCCACTGCGATTACATGGGAATGGTGTTTTTATTCACCTTGGTTACTCAATTTACTCAAGCTTGATAATCTCAGCCAACTTGATGCTTTCCATTAGAAGCATTTGCACCAATCAGCATCGCCACATAGAGATGCATTGATTCTATGGGGAATGTTCAGCGCCTCCATGCACGGACGCTGAAAGTAGCGTACTGAGATAGGAAACACTTTATCGGCCGCCTAAGTGACTGCCACTGGAGGTGTCACTAGGCAGCAATGTAAACACTTCTTTTTCACGGTTTAGCTGGCTACTAGATTCAAAGCAAATTGGTCAAGCCCTGGACTAACATAATACTAAAAAGACAAGCTTTCGAGAGTTTTCCCTCTCTTCCTCGGGGAGAGGAAACTCTTGAAACCTTGTCTTTAAGTATTCAGTTAGTCCAATAAAAAAGGTATCACTGGATATTGCAATACTGCAACCCCTAAGCAGTGACGAAACTACTGTCAGTGTGGCTGCACTGGGGTCTGCACACTCAGTGGGTCCATCACGTGGCCCATGAACTTAAGGCCTTTCCATGAGAACTGCTGAGCAGGTCGGTGCAGTGCCCATTTTACAGGGCTACAGTGCCCCTGTAGTAACTGTGATGCCGGGAGGAAGTGAAAGCAGGTCACTTCCTCCCACATACGAAGGAGCTGTGCGGGAGGTAGAGAAGCTGCACTGGAGCGGGAAGGAGAAAGGTTACGGCCAGCACCTGCCCCACACTATCACCAGCCTCAGCCACCATCACCCAAAGAATGTATGTATGTTGCAGTGTATGTGCATACATCTCCGCAATCAAACACCAACACAACCTTTTAAATGTAAACACCACAGCATTCCAATGTTAATAGTACATACAAATATACCCAGGGGAGGACTGGCCCACCAGGATACCGGGAAATTTCCCAGTGGGCTGTGGCAGCTGGGGCCGGGCAGACAGCTGGTGTGCTGGCGGCCGGAGGGAGACCTGTGCTGTCTCTGCTCTACTCCCCCACCCTCTACTTAATGAGACCGGGGCCAGAATATGACGTCATATTCCGGCCCTGGTCTCATTAATCTGCGTGCTGGGGAGCAGAGCAAAGACAGTACAGCTCCCTATTCGCGCCACCAGCTGCCCACCCTGCATGACCACCCAGCATGCCGCCTGCTTGCACAATCCCCAGTCCGGTCGCAATAATGTGCAAGTCAGACTGTCTGTGTCTGTGTGTCCTGGTGTGTCTGTCTTTCATGGTATGTGTGTGTCATGGTGTGTGTGTCTTTCATGGTGTGTGTTTAGGTTACCAGACTCTTTCCATTTGCAAGAAAATTGTGTTTTTACTCACTTTTTTCCCCCACGCCATGCTGGTCTTCCCTCGACTGGCCCTGCCTCTATGGCTGAGATCAACAAGCTTGATGATCTCAGCCAGTCCAATGTTTTGCCATAGGATTGGCTGCAAAGCGCTACACTAATCAGCATCTCCTCATAGAGATGCATTGAATCAATATATCTCTATGGGGAAAGTTCAGCGCCTCCATGCAGAACGTGGAGGCGCTGAATGTAGGTGCTGCACACTGGGTATCAATGAGCTTGAGTGTTTCAGTGAGACTGTATGTGTCTGCATGTGAGTATGCTTACTGTCCGGCCACGAATATACCCGTACATGAACAAACCTTCACACATTCAAATGCAAACACTGATCACAAATACAATTCTGCAAGGATGGGCAAATGGTAAATCCCCAGCTGACATAACATTGTGAGAGTTCGACAGATGGGGATTTCAATTTTGGGCACCCTTGTGCTGGAGTGGCCCAAAGAAAATTTCTTGCACCAGGGCCCGGTCTACATTAGTTCCACCACTTGCTCTGAGTGTAACGCTACACTTTCTGGGAACATTTCACTGGTTTTCCCAAAAGCAAAACACCAGGGAACAAGACCCAGAAATTGGGGTTGTTCTGCTCAAACCGGGTTGGTTGGGAAGTATGCTACGGGTGTATTTAGCAATAAGTGAATTATAGTGAACTTAAAACAAAACTGCAAATTGTAGGCAAAAATAAAATAAAAGTATTTTTAAAAATTCTTTAATTTATCCATTTCTTAAACGTTGCTATTTTGACTGAAATTCAGTCATTTGTGTTTTGGATTCACAACATTTTGCCACTTACTAAAAACACAACTATATTGTCAGGAATAGTGTGTCTGGAAGTTTTAAATAAATAAAACACTAGGTAGCAATAAAAGAAAAGAAAATAGCATCCTTTTTAAATGAAAGCAAAACTTCTTACCGGTTTCAGAAATAACATTTTACATCAGCTAACCACCTTACGAAAAAGGCAGGAATAACTCTTATATCTATACAAATATCTTGTATCAGTCCAATCTTTACGATTTTAGAGGGACATTCCTGATTTTCTTGTCCTCTCCCATCATTCTATCTTTGTTTCCTGGTATCCCGCCTTTGGGGACTCCAAGGAATGGACCCTAAAACAGTGGGGGGTGTTTTCTTTGGCAATAGAAACTGCTGAGTGACAGCTGTTTTTAGATCCAAAAAAAGTAGAAGTACAGGTCCTTCCCGTTCCTTGCAGTTACCATCGAGAAGCTACAGATATTGTTTATTTATAGGAAAATAATATTTTTTTCCCCATTAGGTATGCTAGTCCTTTGAATGACTCCTATAAAGATTTACAAAATGTACAGCTGTATGTTTTACATTTGTTATCTCACCATCTTCTTTACACAGTTATCTAGGTTAAATAAAGGAAAAGTCCATCATGTTGAACCTTTCACAAATCTAATGCTGTTGACCGAAAAGATGTTGAAAAAGTTCAATTTGGCCAATCATGCCACAAAAGGGGGAAAAATGTGGACACCCAGATTTCTCCTTGGATCTATGAGAAGTTCCCCATTGTAAAAAAAAAAAAAAAAAAAAAAAAGGGGGCTGACTGCGGACTGTTGCATGGTGTTGGAGTTCCTTAGAGAAAACCACTTATTTTGCTCTAGTTTAAGCAAAATCCTACTTATAGCCCTGGGGTCACCCTGCTGACTGTCCTACAACTATTTTACCAGCGGTTGGCAGACACAGTCTACAGTCACGATCAAGGCAGTGGAGGAAGCCAATACTCAGCCTTGACCCAAAGCTCTTTGGCATTGTGGTCATTCAGCTAGCTATACAATTTACCAATAAATTAGAGGGTTGAGGCCTAACAATCAAGATAGGCCTACAGCCTCAGGCACTTTCCTGCAGTCACACACAAGAAAACCCGCTACTCTTGGCTTTTGACCGCATCTGTAAGGCCTTCTAAGAGAAGATTAATGTTTGCGGACTTACCATCACTCCTGCGGGACGAGTCGTGGCCATCAGCAACCTTGCTGTTGGCTGATGTTGCATGCATTGATACTCCCTGAGAGTCCCCTGTGAGCCGCTATGTCATAATATGCACAAGAGGCCGCCGCCGATGTCCAAACCTCAATGCTCTGGCCTTCCTTCCCGTAATGACTCAATTACCAATTACTGGAAAACAAGCTCCCTCAATCTCTGCACAACATACCCGATCCGGAGTCCTGCAACTCATAACGCCAGCTGTGCCAGACCATCGGAACAGCTAATGGTGGTGGAGGCTGGGACTCTCCATCTCTAGGCTTTGGTCCAATATCCTTGCCTGCAGCATGGCTATTTTATTGACTTTTTATTGCACAAAATGTTTGACATGTTTCCGTTTTTTTAGTCCTAATTGTGCATAATTGATCTTCTGCAACAGTTAAACCTATTCCTCCAGTGATATTTCTCTCTTGAGTTTAACAATTCTATTTTACAACTTCTCTCATTCTCTCTTTGTCTAATTTAATAGAATTGTGTTTAAAAGTGCAGTATTCTTGATATTTCCTGTTACACTTACAAAATTGCTGAGTTATTTCACTATTTGTGTATGTTATTCTATGTACTACAGAAATAAAGAATGTCAAATTTTTGTTCTTGTAAAAATGTACATAATCTCATAAAACAATCTCCTTGGACAGAGAATTTCACATCTTTATTGTTCTTACTGTAAAAACCTTCCTCTCTGCTGAAATCGCCATTCTACAAGTCTCAGTGGATGACCTCTTTTCTGTAGTATATTCCTGCTAATGAACAGGTAACCGAATTGCTGTTTTTACTGGCATTGAATAAACATGTATATTGTTATCAAGACCCTCTGGACATTTTTGTTTATTTTTCTTGAAAATTCATAACTAAAATCTAGTATTTCCCATTCATTAACTTTTTGCACTATTTCCAATAATACAATATCCTTCTTTAAATATGGTGTCCATCTGATGCAGCACATATTCAAGATTGGGTCTTACCATTTACAAAGAGGCAAAATTATACTTCATGTGATATAATGCTATTTTTTAATATCAAACCAAAGTGCAATACTTTTTGGCCAGTGTGTCACAGAAGAAAAAAAAAAAACAGCATGCATGTAGCATCTTGAAATTGAACTAAAAAAATATATATATTTTAAAGGATGTGGCGCATAGGGCACCCTGACCCTACTGTCAGCTCTGGGAGTAGCTTACAACCACAGGGATTTGCACAAGTCAATATAATGTGGCTATAATGCAGAAAGGTCAATCAGGCTGCTCAGTTCCCAGCCAACCTATTACAGTTACATAGCTGAAAAGAGACTTGCGTCCATCAAGTTCAGCCTTCCTCACATTTGTTTTTTGCAGTTTATCCAAAAGAAGGCAAAAAAAACCGAGTTTGAAGCACTTCCAATTTTGCAACAAGCTAGGAAAAAATTCCTTCTTTACAAAGTGCTCGAATTATACCACAAAATGCGATAAGTATGTTATGGCTATGTACGCCAATATACGCTCTCTGGACATCATAACTAAAGAATACCATGTCCAGTGCATGACCCCAACGAGATGCAGAGTAACATGGACATAAGATACTATGATGACTCATGTCCCAGATCAATAAGTCATAGCAATTTAAGCAGAGAGTCTGAATCGATTTTAACACAAAACGTGCACTTTGTTCATGCCTCAACAATGTACCCGCACTAAGAAGTAATATGTGATGAGACTGCTGAACGTTTAATATTGTCTGTATTATCACTGTTGTGGCGACTAAAGCTGGACTGTTATCCATGCACAACAAAAATAAAGAATTAAAACATTTTTAAAAATCCTTTTTTATCCCAAAATAGCAGTCAGATATCGCCTTGGATCAAGCAGCTATTACCCCACTATTTAGAAATTATATCCCTGTATGTTATGTTTTTGGAAGTATTTATCCAATTGCAGTTTAAACATCTGTATAGACTCTGACAAATCCACCTCTTCAGGCAGAGAATTCCATATCCTTATTGCTCTTACTGTAAAAAAACATTTTCTTTGCCTTAGATGAAATCTAATTTCTTCCAGACTAGATACGTGACCTTGTGTCCTATTTATAGCCCTGTTTATGATTAGATTTCCAGATAATGGTTTGTACTGGCCCCGAATATATTTGTATAATGTTATCATATCCCCTCTGAGATGCCATTTTTTCAAACTAAAGAGATTTACATTTTTTTTAACCTTTCTTCATAACTAAAATGCTCCATTCCTTTTATCAATTTTGTATCTCAACTTTGCACTTTTTCTAGTGCCATGATATCCTTCTTTAGAACAGGTGCCCAACATTGCACAACATATTCAAGGTGTGGTCTTACCAGCGATTTATAAAGAGGCAAAATTATATTTTCATCCCGAGAATTTATGCCCCTATTTATACATGACAAAACCTTACTGGCCTTAGCAACTGCAGATTGACATTGCATACTGCTGCTTAATTTGTTGTCTATAACAATTCCTAAATCCTTCTCGTGTGTTGTTACCCCTAGTTCACCATCATTTAGGGTGTAAATTGCTTGTGCATTCTTAACCCCGAAGTGCATAACTTTGCATTTCTCTACATTAAAAGGGACACTATAGTCACCAGTGAATTCACTTAGTGAATTTGTTCTGGTGAGTAGAAGCATTACCTTCAGGCTTTTTGCTGTAAACACTGTCTTTTCAGAGTAAATGCAGTGTTTACATTACATCCTAGTGATAACTTCACTGGCCACTCCTCAGATAGCTGTTAGAGACCCTTCCTGGGTCATGGCTGCCTAAAATGCATCCAAACATTCAGTATCTCCTCCCTCTGCATGCAGACACTGAACTTTCCTCATAGAGATTCCAACTTTCCCCTTTCCAGAGCCAGGCGGGAGGGGGTCCCTGAGGGTGGGGGCACTATAGTGCCAGGAAAACGAGTATGTTTTCCTGGCACTATAGTGGTCCTTTAACTGCTTATCCTATAAACCCCTTCTAGACAGAGGTTTATAGCATGCAAGTATCTGACTGTATATACCTGTAGCTGCAGGTTTACCCACTAAACATTGCTCAGCAAGGTATTGATATATGCATCTTTAAAATGACTTAGCACTTTATAAATTATAAAAAAAATTTGCATTATTCTTGTAATGCATTATCTATACAACGCATTAAAACAAGTAACATTTTCCCAACAGCTTTCTTTTAATTGCACAGGGCTGAGTACACCTGTTAAAAGTCTAGTTTACCCAAACTTGTACTTAAAGGACCACTATAGTGCCAGGAAAACACACTTGTTTTCCTGGCACTTTAGTGCCCTGAGGGTGCCCCCACCCTCAGGGACCCCCTCCCGCCCGGCTCTGGGGAGAGGAAAGGGGTTAAAACTTACCTCTTTCCAGCGCCGGGCAGGGAGCTCTCCGCCTCCGATCCTCCTCTCCTCAATTTCGGCTGAATGCGCACGCACGGCAAAAGCTGCGCGCGCATTCAGCCGGTCTCATAGGAAAGCATTTACAATGCTTTCCTATGGACACTTGTGTGTTCTCACTGTGATTTTCACAGTGAGAAGCACGCAAGCGCCTCTAGCGGCTGTCAATGAGACAGCCACTAGAGGATTTGAGGGCTGGATTAACCCATTTATAAACATAGAAGTTTCTCTATGGGTTAAATGGGTTAATCCTAGCTGGACCTGGCACCCAGACCACTTCATTAAGCTGAAGTGGTCTGGGTGCCTAGAGTGGTCCTTTAAGTAGCCATGAAATTATAGTTTTGTTGCCAAAACTGTTTGTAAAGGAGACTCTCCCCCTAGATCTGCACCATTTTTTTTTTTTAATGGGAGTCTCGGTCCATAATTAAACTTTTTGACATTGTTGCAGAGGTTTTTAACAACTCTCAAGAGTAAGTTAATCATCTTCTCCACATACAGGAAAGCCTCTGCTATCTCTAGAATAGCCGTCACACACACTGCCATCTGTACTGCGGAAGTTACTGACCCAGGAAACCTGCATACGTAGCATGATATACTTATCAACAGTGTTAGTAAGCTGAAAGGCTGCAATGTTCAACATACGTGCTGCAAGAGTGAAAGTAGATTTACTCTAGGAAATAAATGCAATATATATATATATATATATCTATATCTCAATAAGATGGCACTTATAACTCAATAGGTCATGCAGTTCTTAATAGAATTGCAGCAACCAACATAAAACCCTGGTAATTAGGTTACAAAATTTCATACAAAGAAAAAAAAAAAAGAAAAAAATGAAATCTGCGCACCAGCACTTTTTAAAAATCTTTCTAGGAAATAAATGCCACAACTATAGGGGTAAATGTATATTAGAAAAAAAAACAAAAAAACTACTCCCAATTGGACATACCATGCTTTTTAAATTGATTACAGGGTATGTATTAAAATAAATAAGTGCTTAAAGGGACACCCTAAAAACGCAAGACCGACTATTGCTCTTTGTAGTGGTTCTGGTGTAAACAGACAGTCCCTGCTTTCTCAACAATAAAAACAACCTTTTCTGTGAAAAGGCGGTGTTTACATTGCTTGCAAAGAGCTTTTCTGGTGGCAGTCCTTCATATAGTCACTGGAGTGTCTTCCGGGAGTAGTCCTGCAATCCTGGCAAGACCAACACTTAGCATCTTCACTCTCACCATGCGCATATATTTGCATATTTAAAAAGCTAATATTTGCTGTCAATCCACAACTTCAATAGAGATCAAAAAAATGGTTGCAATCTCAATACCACTTTTAGGGAGCGGATCCACTATTCCAGGTTTTTTTTTCTCCTGGTGTGGGACATCTGGGGACCCAATGGAATTGTCCTCTGCGTGAGAGCATCAGCACTAAGCAAATCACACTCAAGGAATTACGCCTGTATTTATAGGTGCTCCCCAATTCCTGTTCTTCAGGTTTGTATAGAAAATAAATCAGATATGACAAGCCGACATAATTAAATAATATTTAGATCAGTGCATGATAATTGAAGAGTCTATTTACCATCACACGGTCTAATTGGAAGATGTACCACCTCTCCTCGGCTTATCAGAGGGGGGGTGGGGTGGGGTGGGGTGGGGTGGGGTGTGGTGTGGTGTGTGTGTGTGTAAGATTTCTCATCATGATACTATAGCAACACATTTAAAAAGACATTAATAAAAGTCCGCCCCCCCCACCAACACATCTAATTACAATGGTTTCTTCCACCTAATATACATATTATATAAAGTGTATCCTCCACACAAAGTTCACTTTCTATATCTACATCCTTTTTAAATATTACCAACAGATTTTTATTTTTTTATTTTTTTTATGTAAATGTTCTTAAATGATCATGGATTACCCAACCTGCAGCCCCATTATGGACGCTAGGATGTCAATTTGTGGGTGTCACACACGTATTTCGAGGATTGATTGACAGGTGAGAGGAAAATGACATTTTGATATTTGAAAGATCTGTCACCTTCCCAGGAATTCTAATCGCACAAGTTATGGACAGAATTTAAAGAGATACTACGCACCAAAAACCTTTACAACCTAACGTAGTGGTTTTTGTGCACAGTTTCTTCTTTGGTCTGGCAATGTAAAACATTGCCATTTCTAGGAAACGGCAATGTTCACATTTTGCCAAACACACTAGCAGCCACTGATACTGCCTCTTAATATCTTGAATTTCCCAGTAGGACGGTGCCAAGCACAAGTAAAGCTAAATAACACTGAAGTCGGGTATAAGGGCTGGAGTTGTAGGTGTGAATGAGGTGCGGCTGTGATTTAGTGATCAGGAATGCAATCGTGCGCATTTCTCAAGAGTGCAGCAGATTCCACACTTATCACAGTAACACTGCATTTAAGGCTTGTTCCAGGCAGCGCTGAGAAACTGCTGTCTGGAGCTCCTCCAAATATTTATACTGGGACTCACAAAGTGAGGAAAACTTGAATGTTTATTCGAAAGAGAACCGCATGTCCTTCTAGGTAAACTCTGCAGGAGTTTTAAATTAGGGTGTTTGAAATTAGGCTCTTAGTAGCTGGATTGTCTTTACAAAACAATGGAAGGCTTATCAAGAAAAAAAAAATCAATACAACACGCATCAACATTTATTTTTATTGTTTTGTAGCATGCAAGCCACTATATATAGTTCTATAACTAGGGGTTAGGTTTTGGGTATATTTGGTGATAGCACGGGGAAATCCTTTCACTGGGTGGTAGGATAGTGCCCATGATACTATATTGCAGAATGATTTTTTTAATTATCCAATACCACTGTTTTGTATGCTCCCACATAGATGGTGTAAGCCAGGATTTAGTGTACCCTTTTCCACAACCTGGCGTCCCCCTCGACTGTTTGAATCTTGTATTGGATTGGGTGTTTTCCTTTCTCACAAGATAGATACATTCAGAGAGACTAAAAACAAAAAAAAACATTTTTTTTCCTCCAATTCAGATACGACTGAATTGCCGTTTTTCCTTTATTCCCATAGATCTAAGGGGGCTCATGCTGTTGTCATATTTATTGGAACGAGAGAAGACTAGTATCTGAGCACATTTTTTTTTTTTTTCTCCCAATTCTTTATTTCTGTTGTGCAAAGATTTGACAATCTTGCTATGCCACAACAGCAAATATAAGCATTTCAAGAGACAGGATATAACTGCACATTTTGAAATAATAAACACGCTAAATGATAAAAAAAAATAAAAAAAATACAAGTGAATATAACCAGTGGCCATCAGGCACACCCCGCAATGCATGAGGACAGACAGAAAAGGCAAAAAGTTTAGCTCAAGAACTCTTGATGGAGCAATTGTACAAGGTGAGATAAAATGTAAACTTCGAAGAGTGAAGTTTACCTATGCCCAAATTCGACAGAGAAGACTAAAAACTTACCTATGGACAGATGTGCATCCCCCAGACCCGCATTCGCAGCCCCAGGTCTGTACCAGAAACCACACAAAGTGTCCGAGAGCCCGCCACACCCAGTTCTCAGGGTGCAATCCCCAGACCGTCTCTGATTTCTCCAGGAGTACGGACCATATGTAGGGATGATCCTCCCGTTGGTCTCCAACCCAGGAGGGGAGCGCGCCATCTCAGCGAGCTGTACTGCAGGCTATGATGGTTGTTGTTTCTCCATAGTAGATCACGTGTGGCATCAAAGGCGGATTTCCATTGCTGCTGCTGCTTGACCTCCATCGCTGGATCAGCAATTGGGTAGGCAGGTACTACGCTCACGTTTAGCTTGCATAGGGCCCAGCTTCCAGGGCCCGCCCGCTGCTTCAGACAGGGCTGGATTAGGAGCCCATTGGGCCTGGTGCTGACAATTATGATGGGCCTAATTACAGAATCTGAAGGACAGAAAACACTAAAAAAAAACAAAGCATCTATCTGGTTGAATTTAGTGAAGGTAGTGTAGAAGGGAAACTCACAGGATATAGCTATAAGAAAACACATACCCTATGCTAATCTCTCACTTTAATCTTTCAAGTAAATCCATACCCCCTTACAGCAGTGTATGGTGAAGCAGGATTTCAGTGGGTTGCGTAAAAGGGCCACTGATGTGAGTCACATAACCAGAAGCACCCAAAGGGACAAACATGCCCAAAAAGAGGGTATGTCTGCACAAAGAATGAGATTGTCAGACTGGTGTGAATAATAAAAGCAAACAAAAATGGTGACAGCTCTCACCATTTTTGTTTCCTTTTATTTTTCACTCATTGTATTTGTGGTTTGTGGCCCACGGAGGTGATTGTAGCACCACGTTCCAGGAATTTTTAATCTATCTGTATTTATATTTTATTAGACTGGTGTGAATGCATGTTTCCTGATAGCTATATTATGCAGGATGACCAACCAACACAGCATACTGTGCATCTAATGATTCGCTAGCTATATGCTTTCTAAGAACTGTCCACTAGCACTCTCTGTTCCACTCCTATCCTAACCTTCTTACTAGCAGGCAGAAACTCCTATTATACAGTCTGTGACAGAGAAAAGGTGTATGTAGTGAGTGTAGAAGAAAGAGAACATACCACAGTGTTAGAGAGACTGAAACAGCAAGAACATTTGCATTGTGCGCAAAGTCAGCTTTACCTTAACTAATTTCATTGTCAGACAGTCCACAGCAGTTTAGTTACCCTGCATCCTTCTTAAGTTTACATACTTAAGCAAGAGCATGCGAAGAGCAGTAAAAAATAATAATAATTTTTTATATATATATATATATATATATATATATATATATATATATATATATATATATATATATATATATATATATATATATATATATATATACACACACACACATATATACACATACATATACTCAATGGACTACAGCTTCATTAGCCCCTATGTTAATCCGCCCTGGATCCAGTGAGGACCGGGATAACCCCCAGAGGTCTGGGGGCACCAAAAGGACTCTGCAACAGAATTAGCAAGCTCCATGCTGGGAGATCGGACGCTTATTACAGTTCTCACAAAGATTTATTGTATAATTCAACATAACTTCCTATGAGATTATTAAAAATAAAACAACTTGCACAAGTTATAAATGGAATAACCAGGGGGTCCCAAGAGCACTACTGGCACTGTAACCATTATAAGAGGCTGAAATGGTTATTTTGCTTGGCGTGTTTCATGAAATAGGAACTGCAGGGTGTACGTGGTTTGACAATTTACCATCGGCACCATTATTACTACAGCAGTTATGCTGCATAGAGCGTGTTCCTTGATATAAGAGCACAGAGACATAAACCTCCTACAATATATATGGTTTGCCTTATGAATTTATATAGGATACAGATTATAGCATACAAAACTACAGAGAGGCATGAGAGAGACTGCCTACACATACACATACTGATCAGCCACAACATTAAAACCACTTAACTCATATTGTGTAAGTCCTCCTTTTCCTGCCCAAACAGCTCTGTTGCGTTAAGGCATGGACTCCACAAGACATCTGAACGTGTCCTGTGGTATCTGACACCAAAACATTAACAGCAGATCCTTTAAATCCTGCAAGCTGCGAGGTTGCGCCCCCATGGACCAGATTTGTTGTTCCAACACATCCCACAGATGCTCATTAGTATTGGGATTGGAATTTGGAGGTCAAGGTAACAAGTTGAATGCTTTGTAATGTTCCTCAAACACTTCCTGAATAATATTTGCAGTGAGGCAAGGTGCATTATCCTGCTTAAAGAGGCAACTGCCATCAGAGAATACCAATGCCATGAAGGGCTGTAAGTGGTCTACAACAATGTCTAGGGAGTTGGTGCATGTCAAAATAACATCCACATGAATGTCAGGCCCCAAGGTTTCCCAGCAGAATGTTGTCCAAAGCATAACACTGCATCCGCCAGGCTGCCTTTTTCCCATAGTGCATCCGCTGCCATCTTTTCCCATCATGGTCAAGTTCAGACACTCATGTACACACGAAAGGCGTTTTCCGTGGTGGACAGGGGTCATCATGGGCACTCTGTCTTGTCTGCAGCTGCAGAGCCCCATACGTAATATATTGCACTGTTCTGACACCTTTCTATCATTGCGAGCATGAGTTTTTTCAGCAATTTGAATTACAGTAGCTCTTCTGTGTGATCGGATCAGATGAGCAAGACTTCGCTAGCATCCCGTTTTTGGCGCCTGTTTACCGGTTGTCCTTCCTTGCACTACTTTGATAGGTACTAACCACAGCATACCAGGAATACCCCACAAGACTTGCCGTTTTAGAGCTGCGGTGACCCAGTCATCTAGCCATCACTATTTGGCCTTTTTCTAAGTCACAACCCATTTTTCCTGCTTCCAACACATGAAATTCAACAACTGATTGTTCACTGGCTGCCCAATATATCCCACCCCTTGACAGATGGCATTGTAACGATGTAATCAATGTTATTCACTTCACCTAACAGTGGTTTTAATGTTAAATACCTTGTCATAGACATACGTTTTTTGTTGTTGCTTTTAATGCTGCAATCTTTGATATTTATTGAAAATGTGAATAGCAACACATTACAGACAATATCAATATCCATATTCCAATTTAATATTTAGCGCCACTGTAGATAAACAAATCCATAATGAAAAGGTATTAATAATTTGACAGAGGTCCGATATGGTAGGTACAAATGGCATAGGCAAATTTCTGACAGGAAATAAAATTCTTATTGCGCCTAAGTGTAAAGTGAGTTCGCGAGCAGTGATTTAAGAGAGTGATAGGTGGACAGAAAGATATACTTGGAATAGGGAAGAAGGTGGGGTGCAGGTGAGGGGGAAGGGAGTAAAAAAAAAAAAAATGTAAATTATAATGTCAAGTACACTTTTCTACAGCTAATCTTTTTAGTTTTTCAAATACTTTAATAGTATAGCACGGAGCTGGACAAATCAAAATCACTCCACTGCAGAATTAATAAAAATAGGAAAAATCACTTTAGCAGCTATACCCCAATGAAAACATTTAATGATGCTTTTAAAAAAAATTTCATTGTGGGTATACATTAAAAACAGCGGAGGATCTCGTCCGAAGCCTTAGCATGCCCTCCCTTATTTCCCAGCCTCGACTTTCCAATTGAGCTCAATGCGAACTTGTTAATCTGCTTAACAGTCAGAGGGGTATAACCAGGTTAGTTCATAACTGTGCTAATTTCTATTAAAATTTGCACTTTTTAAAAAATAAATAAAATGAAAAAGATGGACACACTCCAGCAAGTGCTTTAGGGTCTGGAGTGTCCATTTAATATTAATATTAGCAAATCCTCCCTTTTATTTTAAACAAATAAAGCCAGCTGTAGTAGTTATGGAGCCAGGAGTACCCTGGCATCTTCCCAGTGTAAGTAGTCAATCCGTTTAAGAATGGTTTGACAACTTACTAGTTTCTACGTCTGTTGTGTGCCACCTCCTCTGCAGCCCAGGAGCTCCCTGAACTGAGCCAAGCTCAATGGTTCAGGGATGCAATAAAAAACCGTAAGCACTTAGTTGATGCTCTCAGCCAATGAGCAAACCGTGCATGGCTGGGCTAAAATCAGGGTAGCTAACTAACGTGCCTTGCAGGAGCTATCAGTACCCAGGGGATGCAGCAACCAGAAAACCCTTGTTAAATGGTTTGACTACTTTAACTAGTTGGGCGCGAGTGTACTCCTGTCACCATAACCACTCCAGATGCTGCAGTGGTTATGGTGCTTGAGTGTTCCTTTAACCTGCCATGAAATATTTATGTTTGCACTTTCATACATGCAGTTTTACTATTAGGACTTAGGACTATTCAAGCTCTAATAAACAGGACAATATAGACAATGAGATATACAAAATTCAAGTTAAATTTCCCAACAGTAATTGGGGCAAAGCACGCACCAAATTCCTATTAATATCTACATTGTCTTTCAGGACAAAGTTTCTCCTACACACAATATATATTCGCTCACCAATTCTCTAGCTTTACCTGTTTGCTGTATACAGTACACATTACCAGGCAAGATGCAAACCTTTAGTTTCTGTGACCAGACTACTGTGGGAACTGCTTTGAAAGCGTAAATATGTGGCTATATAATTTCCTCCTCTGTATGGTAGGTGTCGATCATTAGGTCTCCCGCTAACCTGTCTATAAACGTGCCTAGACTGTGGCTGCACATCACAAGACACAGCACAGTTCAAGGTAGAGCTGGCAATGAGGACTCCATTGGCCACTTGCCTAGTTTTCCCTGGGCTGCGGCCTCACATAATATTTCTGCTGATTCAAGTAACAGGAGGTGTGTGTTTGGATGTTTGATGGCACAGTAGTGCAAGAGTGAGGGGGCAAGCAAAAACTGTGCAGTGCAAATACTCAGCACTGTATGTAGTGGTAGGCCCAATCATAATGTCCTCCGCGTCGTAAAACCAAGCATTTTGCTAGCCGTTGTGTGAATTTTCAGGCGATTTGTTCATGAATTGAGCTGATCGAACATCTGAAATCAGACACTAGGCTATTAAAAAAAAAAATTTTAAAAAAAAATCTATTGAATACAAATTTGTTTTCTGAGTTCTAAAATGGGATGTATATAAAAAATACCCCTTTCTGTCTCATTAGAGATATTTTTGCCAGAAGTTCAAGGAAACACGGCGAATGGTTAGAGTTAGGACCCACCTAAGAGGTCTGCCTTGACGTGGCAGGTGGGCATAACCTCTCATGGCCATTGGAGGTAACTAAAAACCTCCATTTGTTTAAAAATACATAGGGATGTGGAAAAGGCGCAGGTGACTTTTTTCTTTGGTTTTTACTATAAGCATTTGGGCTGGTGTCTACTATGGTTGTTGCTGCCGCCCAGGAGTAATGGGAGTTTGAGCGCAGGACTTGTTTCTTTGTAAAATGGAACTCTAGCTTCAAATCCGATTTAAAACTTAGAGTTTAAAAAAAATGGGGATTTGAACATGAAATAGCAAATATTTCCTCTAAGTTATTTTTCTTTGTGTACATTTTCAAATTGTATTTATAGTATTCATATCTGAGGATGCGTTCCTCAGTGGAACACAAAGCCACCTTTGAAGGTGGCTCCGGTTATATTAAAACTCCTATATTAGAATCGAACAGATATTGAAGAAACTGATATAACACGGACAGGCCATTTATTCCTTATTTCATGCATATTTTTTAATAACATTAACTGGATATGCACATCAGCTGACCAACTTAGCCTTTGAATGGCATTCAAATATGGATCTAATTGAAATTGCAAATGTAGAGACTGAAGTTTCACAATAGCAATGCTGAAGGTTCCTTTGAGTTTGATCAATTCGATCACAAATGGTTTAACATATTATTATTATATTAACTAGCAGCTAGGGGACAGCGTTCACAGTCTAGTGGTATATTGGCATGTAGTGGTTATGGTAACAATAAACATAAGATGTATTTGTTGTGGTATCTAGGCTGCTCCTTTATGCATAAGTGTAATGAATGGCATTGCTGCAAAAAGTTATACATAATCCGCGGAACACAAGTTTATGGGATAGGTTTGTAGGCCACTAAAAAAAATAAAGGGATAGCTTCTTTATTGGTAGAGCCATTAGGTCTGGAAAGAGCGCACTGCAAAAGATGGAAACCCAGGAAGTACTGGGAAAATAAAGGAGAGTAACTTTAATTAAATTTCTTGGAATACTTTGCAAATGCACTTACTACAGATTCATTAAAAATAGGTGTCTGTTTCAGGCTGATAGTCACCTGAACCAGGGCTTGACAAATCTCAGGCGCCAGGTCATCATAGCAACTAGGAATTTTTTCCTGGCGCCTGGAATTTGTCAACCTGTTCAATCCTTGAGGGTGAATGGATGTGGCCCGCTGAGGGTGAATGTGGGTGAGAGGCCCAGCAAGGGAGCATGGTGGCAGCCTGCTGAGGGTGAATGCGGGTTGCTAGGGAGGGAGCTAATATCTCCCTGTTCTTGCTCTGCTCCCTCGCGCGTCCTGCAGTAATGCTGGGAGCCGGAATATGACGTCCCTCCAGCCCCAGCATCATTAAACAACGCTCTAGGAAGCAGAGCATGTAGAGCTCCTCGCCCAGGGAAAGAATTCACTCTCTCTCTCCCTAATGTAGGAAGACTGGGTGGACTTAAATTGAAATAAAAAAATAATTTGTGAGTGTGTGAGAAAATGTGTGTGTGTGTGTGTGTGTGTGTGTGTGTATCTGTCAGTGCGTATGCGTATGGCAAATCAGCGAGTGTAAGTCTTTCAGTAAGTGTGTCCGTCTCTCAGTATCTGTTTATGTGACCACCTCCCCTCCGATCGTACGGAAAAGTTGACTTTACTTACCTCTCTCCTCACGCTGTGACGGTGTCGCTGAGGCTGTCCCTGACTCCATAGCCAAGATGATCAATCTTAAAGATTTCAGCCAAGCCAATGCTTTCCCTTAACCCTGTGTACACGGTGTGCTGAGAGCTAATGGAGTAGCTGATATGTTTCATCATCAATATTTAATAGAAGGCTAAAGTTATTAGAGCAAACAAAGATGAGATCATAAGAGGGGAGCTCAGAGAGGAAGAGAGAGAGAGAGAGAGCTGCAGCATGATACGGAAACATGTACTATGTGGTTATCTATGTATAATCTATCACAGTGACCCTGGCTATGTGGGATAGTTATTAGTATCCCCCTTTTGTCCCTAGCTGTGTGTTATTTCTTTATATTGTGCCCAGCTCGGTGTATTATATTTCTATTTTGTGGTATGGATATAGCTGTATTGTTCTCCGGTCTATGTATTTTATGAATATGTTTATGCTGTGTCCAGTAGTTTTATTGTATGAGCATCTCTGCGTTATGCTCAGGACTCTGTATTATACGAGTATCTATGTACCGTATAGGAAGGAGTAAAATTCTGGAGGAGTCGTCTGGCACCCCACAATCCTAAAACTAGGGACCGACCAATTATCAGCCGATATTCAGGATTTTCGGCAATATCGGTATCGGCCAATAGAGATACAGATATTGCCGATAATACATGCCCATTACAAGCCCGGCGGTCCTGGGGGGGGGTCCCACAGCAAGCACTTACTTACCTTCCCAGCAGCTCCCTGTGTAAATCTCGCGAGTCCTTCGGCCGTCAGAGCATTGCCACGGGTTACCATGGCAACGCTCCGCACGGCACGCTGGCCGCGAGATTTACACAGGGAGCTGCTGGGAAGGTAAGTAAGCGCTTGCTGCAGGCCCCCACTGCACAGTCCATGCCACTGGACCACCAGGGAATGCTATATCCCCCCTCCCTGGCCAAGTCAGAAGCAGGGAGGAAGGACTAAAAAAAAAAAAATAGTAATTAAACATTTTTTTTTTTTAAATGTATATAAAAAATGCCCCCGCCCCAAAATTACATACCTACAGAAACACACACACTACATTGTATACACACACTACACAAACGCACTGCATTATATACACACACACACTACACAAACACACACACTCTGCATTCATTATATACACACACTGCGCTATATACACACTACACAAACATACACACACTGCATTCATTATATACACACACACTGCATTCATTATATACACACACACTACACAAATACACACTGCATCCACTACATGTGGCATGTATATTTTGTGAATTTTCCTTTAGAAATAGGTTTTTTTTTCAAAATGGTAAATGTACAGAATATCGGTAAGTTATCAGCTATCGGTATCGGCTCTAAAAAAATCAGTATCGGTCGATCCCTACCTAAAACTTCACCAGTCGCCACTGGTTTGAAGTGTAAGTATTACTTCCCTTCGGCTAGGTTTTCAGCTACAGGGTTAAAACTACAGGGACACGGTACCCAGACCACTTCATTGAGTACAGCACTACATAGTTTGCTGGCGCTATATAAACAAAATCATAATAATTGAGATGAAGTGGTCTGGGTGTCTATAGTGTGATTTAAGGGGGCAGCATGACAAATGCACCAACTCAGAAAAGGCAGAATTTACATGCTATGCGCCCCTGAACCAACACGTTAAGCTGTACTGGTTCTGGTCACTAGTGTCCCTTTAAACTAAATTTCAAATTTTAGTTTACAATAACCAAAATGGAAAAATTTTTCCAGATCTAAAATCCAAGCCTAGAATTTGAACTTCACTTTGAATTCTCAACAACTTAAATTAAGTGGATATACTTTGGCACGGTTCACTAAACTTGACGTTTAAACAAATAAAACAGCTAAATGTGAGCTACAAGAGTCCAGCTGTGATTATAGTGGTGTTTAAAACTTTTTGTAAATCAGCTATTTTAACCTCAGTTTGGTTGATCAGTTCTAATTCACCAAATTCATAATTAAGATAACAACCTTTCTATTACAAGCTAAATTACTAATCATAGGATTTTGATTGAAATGATTGCTTGTGAAGTGACATCCTCTCGAGGCGGATGAGTGACATTTAGTCTGGTTGGTGACCACAACTCATATCCTGCATCTAGTTGGACTTGCAGGCCTCCTTATCCAAGTACCTATGTTTGAGCAGAAGACAAGGCAATACAGGTCTACACTGATCACCCCTAACCTGCACTAAAGTCTTAACCAGGGGTGCCCAAAAAGTCGATCCCCAGATATTTAGAACTCTTACGCCCATGATGCTTGATGTCCTTTAGAATGGCAAGGCATTGTGGTAGTTTTAGTTGTACATCTGAGGGTCTACCTATTGAACAACCTAGCTCTAAACTACAACTTCAAGCTCTGTCAGCCAAGGCATGCTCAGATTTCCAAAACTTCCCATCAATTTGCACACTCAGATTAAAAGGACTATTCCGGGTAGCAATTCAAATCCACTTGACATCAATGAGGTGATTAAGATGCTCGGAGTCCACTGGCACCTTCTTATATTTAAGTGCATCCTCAGGGGGGCAATATTTAGGCCACGAGTATATTGTCCAGACAACAGGCTAAAATTCTTGATGAGTAGTAATGGCAAGACTTTCATGAATGACAGCTTGACAACATTTACTAGTTGTTTTTAATGACAAGAATATATACACAAATGAACGTAACTTGCAGTGATTAATAGACTCACATGTGGAGATTTTGCTTATTTTAAGGAGTTTATTCACTAACCCCCCACCCCTGTAATACAGCACATGCTGGCATAGACCATACAGCTCGGTTTCGTAAACTCTCTCAGTGCAGTGCAGAGAATTTTTTCTGTGTACGTTGGGTTAAGCCTGGTGTTACAGTAAGCCTTTGTTCTCAACCATTCGTAAAGCTATTTAAAAAAAAAAAAAAATCATCTTTCTTCAAACCCCCACCCCCCAACCAATCACCCCAAAGTTGACTAAAAGGGATTTCTTAAAGAGGCAAGCTTCACAGAATTAACATATACACATACAGACACACACACTCTAATAATACTAATACGAGAAACAGGACACATAATATTCCAAGGAAAGATTATTCACTTTATCACAACACAAAAATGTTTCCATCCACTCAGACAGCCAGACAGTAGCCCTTTCACTGCCCGAGGCACAGGCAGACAATTCAGATTACATTTTAAAAACTAAAACATATACTGCAATACTGTACAGCAAGTAAATAAAACATAGCAAAAACTACATTATAAAGGCCATTGTTTACCTTTACCTATAAAAACAAATCAATAAACACAAGTAGTAGTTTTATACATCTCCATTAAGAGAACCAAAAAAAAAAGTGTCAAAACAAATAAAACTATTAGTAAAAGACAAAATAATAACTGAAAATGTTTAAACGCACCAAACCTTTTAGAGATGAGCCATTAAAATGCGTAAAACTATTTTTTTTAGCAACATGCATACGTTTTAACATTCAGCCATCCACTATTTTGACAAATATTTCCTCACTATATCTTTTACCCATTATTGGAATAATGAAGAACTGAGAATTGTGTGGTTTTGAGGAAATGCACATTATAGAACCATAAGTCATATGCTGGCGTGTTATAAAAATTGCAATATATATATATATATATATATATAAATAAAGCAAGAGGGGGTTGGCTGCACTCACCTTAACATGCATAAATGGGGGTGCTGCTGGTGGCCAAATAATCTTGATCTTGTGTATTATATATATTTATAATCTTGCTTTCTAAAAGTAACAGTACAGTAAAAGACCAGCAATTTAACAGTTTGATGTTTTACACAAAATACTGTCAATACTTTTGAAAGACACATTCTAAGATGAAAATAAAAAAAGTTATTTCTATTTATCTGTATTAACTGCAAATGTACAATTCCCTTGACACATTTTCACTATTCCTGGTTTACCCCTTAAGTACCTTTATTATTATTATTAATTTTTAAATTTATATGGTTAAACCAAACTTAAAACGTGCTCAGTTATAGTTGCTGAATGTTTTAGCATTAGGCAGGGGTTAAAAGTGACAGGCACGGGATAATTAAACAGCTGATCAATTAAAGATCAGACAAGCCTGGGGGATTCTCTCTGCCTCTCTTTTCATACACTGTCTTAGACTAAAAAAATACCAGTGAAAAACCGGTCTGCAAATGCAAATAAATATTATATATATATATATATATATATATATATAAATAAATGTAGATTTAAACAAAAAGCATTCACATGAATCTCTCTGTGCACAATTCGATGGACCCCTCCCAGTCAGGGTAACGTTTATAGTTGAATTTGCTTTCTATGAGCCCAGCAACACTTAACACTTAGTTACTATGAAAGCTATTTGAGAATCTTACCCCGAGTCCTGTGCAGCCTCCTCCATCCCTGGGGCAGATCCAATCTCTGTCATCCAGAAGGAAAAGGTGCAGCAAAGCAGGGACCCCTAGCCTGTCTTATAAGTGGGGGCACCAGGCATGGTGTTTTAAAAAAATAGTTAACTTCTGTGGCTCTCAGAACACAGTATGGGGCAGCAGCAATTGCTGTGTGCTCTGTCTCACTTCTTGACTTCCTGTGCTCATGTGTTGGGGGGAATTCAGGAAGAGGCAGTCCTATGGTCAGGTTATATGAAGCCAGCTGAGGTTCTGTATTTAAACATCTGGAAATGTCCCAGCCAGGAGAGGCTTTGAGTTGCAGCTGGGTGGAGCTGGGAAAACATCAAATGTACCTTAACCCATTCCATTTCTCCAGGCTAGGCAGCACAGCCCTGCCTGCATGTTGTCCTGGACAGACATGCTTGTAAAAATGTTTATTGCCACCCCATGAAAAGTGCTACCCTGCAGTGTAGAGCTTTCATGTGTGTGACTGTTATAGTTCACACAAGTTTACTCTATTTTAAAGAGCATTACATTTAGACTGTACAACTCGTTATGCTAGTAAATTACTTGCATATGTAAAGTTTTTGACAAACTTTATACAAACACACCGAGAGGGCTGCACTCATCTGAATATGCAGAAGTTGCTGGGACCAGCTGATACAACGACATACTGAATCCAGCATACTCCACTTAACTATAAACACCATACTTAGGCAAAAATAATGGGGATTTAGTTACAGTATATTATGATATATTGCATGAGCCTGCCACTGTTTAACCACTGTACTGATGTGGCTATGTTGTTTGAAATGCTCCTTTAATCCCCTCCAAAAGGATGGACTGTTAAAGAAACACTATAGGGTCAGGAACACAAACCTGTATTCCTGACCTTGTAGTGTTAAAAACACCATCTAGCCACCCCTAACCTCTATAAATATGGTAAAATCTTACCTTTATGCCAGTCTGCTGCTGCTGGCTCTGCCCTTTATCTGTGTGCCTGGCTGACATCATCAGAAGTGGTGATCTCAGCCAATCATAATGATTTTCCATAGGAAAGCACTTGATTGGCTGAGACTGTTAACCCCTTAAGGACACATGACATGTGTGACATATCATGATTCCCTTTTATTCCAGAAGTTTGGTCCTTAAGGGGTTAAGGAGGAAGATCGGGGCAGAGCCAGCACCAGGGCCGGACTGGCCCACCGGGGGCTGTGCATATAGGTGCCACCGGGTGGCCGGTCCAGTGGCACACTCAGAGGGGCCCGGCCGCGTTCCACAATCCCCAGCACAGGAACCGCGAGGGAGCATGGTAGACATGCTCCTCCTCCTTCAGCCATCAGCATCGCCAGTGACAGGAGTGCCGCCGGACCGGCGAAGCTGCCACCCAGCCCGGCGGCTCCAGCCTGGAACGCGGCCGGCCCCCCTGACTTCTCTAGGTAAAGGGGAGGGGGGAATAAAACAGAGATGGTGGAGGTAGGAGGGAGAGACACAGGGAAAGGGAGGAGGGAGAGACACACGTGAAAAGAGATTTGGAGGAGGGAGAGACACAGGGAAAGGGGGGAGGAAGAGAGATGTGGAGGAGGGAGAGACATGGGGAAAGGGGGGAGGAAGAGAGATGTGGAGGAGGGCGAGACATAGGGAAAGGGGGGAGGGAGAGACACAGGTAAAAAGAGATTTGGAGGAGGGAGATACACAGGGAAATGGGGAAGGAAGAGAGATGTGGAGGAGGGAGAGACATGGGGAAAGGGGGGAGGAAGAGAGATGTGGAGGAGGGCGAGACATAGGGAAAGGGGGGAGGAAGAGAGATGTTGAGGAGGGAGAGACATAGGGAAAGGGGGGAGGAAGAGAGATGTGGAGGAAGGGAGAGACACAGGGAAAGGGAGGAGGAAGTGAGATGTGGAGGAGGGAGAGACAGGGAAAAGGGGGAGGAAGAGATGTGGAGGAGGGAGAGACACAGGGAAAGGGGGAAGAAGAGGCAGAGGGGAAGAGAGAGACAAAGAGGGAGAAATGAGACACACACACAAGGGGAGGGGGAGAAAGAGGCAGGGAGGGAAGAGAGAGACTGGGAAGGAGAGGGAAGGCATTGACACAGAGGAGCAGTGAGGGGGAGAAAGAAACATACAGAGTGACTGGGGGAGACAAAAAGGCACACAGAGGGAATGGAGATAAAGAGACACACATAGGGGCAGTATATATAACTGGTGGATGGGGGGGCAACGGGGAAATTCCCCCCCCCACGAGGCTTTCCCTTGCCGGGGGGGCAAGATACAGAGATGGCTCAAATCTCGCCCACAGGGGCTAGAGTTCACCCTCCACTGTACCACCAGGGAAAGCAGCAGCACGATCCCCCCCTCCCTACAAAAGGTAAGAAGGGAGGGGGGATAGCAATTAATGTACCCCCACCTCCACCCCCACACACATACAGCACCCACAGACATACACAGCACCCACACACATTCAGCACCCACACACATACACAGCACCCACAGACATACAGCACCCACACACATACACAGCACCCACACACATACACAGCACCCACACACACACACCCACACACACACAGCAACACCACACACACACGCCCACGCACACCACAGACATACAGCACCCACAGACATACACAGCACCCACACACATACAGCACCACACACATACAGCACCCACAGACACACACAACACACACACACACATGCACCCACAGCACCCACAGACACCACCCACACACACACATACAGCACCAACACATACAGCACCCTCACAAACACACAAACAGCACCCTCACACACACACAGCACACTAACAGTACCCTCACAAACACAAACAGGACCCTAACACACACACAGCACACTACCAGTACCCTCACACACAAACAGCACCCTCACACACAGTACATTAACAGCACCCTCACAAACACACACAAACCGCACCCTCACACACAGTACATTAACCGCATCCTCACAAGCACGCACACACAAACACCCTCACCCACATAGCACACTACCAGCACCGTCACACACACATCACACTAACAGCACCCTCACACAGCAGTGTGTGTGTGTGTATATATATATATATATATATATATATATATACACATACATACATATATATATGCGGCGTGTGCTTGTGCTTTAGGGTGCACACCCTAATGCAATAGGCTGCGCACGCCTATGATTGAATCAATGCATCTCCACTAGAAAAGTTCAGTGTCTCCATGCAGAGGGTGGAGATACTGAATGTCAGATACATTGTGCAGCACTGCCCCAGGAAGCAACTCTCCTAGCCATCTGAGGAGTGTCCAGTGGAGCTATGCCTAGGCTGTAATGCAAGCATGTAAAACTTGTGGCCCACAATGACTATTTTTGCGGCCTGTCTGCCCTGGGGCCGCATTGTGCTGTGGCTGTGACCAGCACAAGACAGGAGAAATCTTTCCTGTCTGCTCTACCATAGCTGATCGCATGCTCCAACGGCCGCGCTAAGCATTAGTCCACACCAGCCACATGCGCATACAGCATGTGGAGTCATAATCGGCAGCAGTGCTACAGTGTGCATAGAGCAGGCCAGCCACTCCACCCTCCCTCCTGCTCGCAGTGCCAGAGGAGCGCCTGGCCTGCTTGAGCAGAGAAGAGCTGGAACTGGAGGACGGGTGGCTTATCTTAAGGTAGGAGAAGAGGGCAGAGAATGTGGCGAAGGGGCAGTGCATTAGATTGGGTCTGCATGGGAGGTACTGGACGCTCCCCATATATATGCTGATTGGCCGTGTAGTGTTTTTCCATACATGCACTATGGGAAAGCATTGGATTGGCCCTACAAGCGTGAGGACATCCAGTGTCAGGCACTTTTTTATACTGTACTTTTTGAAATAAACCTACGTTTCTATGAAAACTAAAGTTTGGGTTTTTTTTGCAGCCCACATAAACTTAAACCTTGTTTATTTGGCCTGTGTTAGCCTTTAAATTTGACATGCTTGATGTAATGTAAACACGGTCTTTTCTCTGAAAAAACAGTGTTTACTGCAAAAAGCCTGAATGGAATGTTTATACCAGAATAATTACCATAAGTTGAAGTTATTTTAGTGACTATAGTGTCCTTTTCATTGTGCAATAACATGTCGGTGTGAAGTAGCAGAGTGTACTCTAATTACACAATATTGTAAAGTAAATAGAAAATTTGCAGATGTAGACAAAGTAAAGTGGGTATAGACGATGAAAAAGGGTTAATGTGAAAGAGGTGAACGTGGTGAAAATGAGAACAAACTTGTATTCACTCAGTTTTGTATCTGCTCTCAAGACTACAAACGCTAATGTAAAATGCATGACTAGATTCTAATGGCCAAGGTCGAATTCTCACGCTCAAGGTCACAACATCATGGTCAAAGCCACTTTTTGAAACGGCATGACAAGTTTCTTAGTTTTCAACGTTTAACTATACTTTGTATGCGGTTTGTAAGAATTCTATTCTTAATTTTGTAAAAAGAAAGATAGTTGAAAAGATGGCAGCAGTTACAATGATTCTTTTTGATATGATATTCTATATGTTAAAGAATTTGCTAAGAGCTTTCGGGTTTAAGTATTACCATAAAAAGCCTCTTATTTAAAATAATGCGGGTTACTCACAATTTATCATTTGATGCATAGACATGTTAACACCTGCTTGCAACATATTTACCATTATCGATTACATTAATAAGTCAAGCTATATCAATCACAATCCAAAGAACATTTAACAACACATTCACAGAACCGTCAGCACTTTGTCAAGTCATTATTCAACCAAAGCCATTCAACCATGAACAGCCATGGTAGGCTCTGAACGCTGAACATCGGTTAGCATAGCACTGTCTCCAAAGACGATCTGGAAAATGTCAAAGATGCTTGGGGAGGCCGGACTTTGGCTGCCAAGTAATCGTAAAGAAGCCGGGGGAAGAGGGGCAACCACAACTAAAAAGTACTTGTACTACAAATATTAACTTTCAGTTCTCCAGTGTTAGTAGTTGAGTGACACC